TAGCTGAATGAATTACTTCAACCTCTCTTGATATCCAAAGGTTCTAAAGTCTCCTAATTATTTTAAGACAGCCTCCGAAAAACCATAAGAAGATTGCAAAACCCAACTTTTGCCGGCAAAGCTCGTTAGAGCCAAATTATCCTGGGAATTTCCTGCTATCCCTGCAATTTAATAAATTGTCCATGCCAGCCTTATGTGATTTTTTTCGTGGGCACCCCCTTGGCGTTGATTCAGACATAGCAAGCATGCAGAAGCCATTCCCAACCAACAATTCCCCACCCCCGATTCGATCAGCCGGAAAACCGAATTTCGCGCTCTTTGGAAGGATTCTGCCAAACAGGGTGAGGCTAACCACAAAAATACCCCGCAAAATATTCCGGAGCACATGGGTAAACAATTTTTTTTTGGAAAATTCTGCAAATTTTCCATTTGCTAATTCCATTTGTTTACTTCGTGTTGATACTTGGCCCTGGAAAATGGTCCAGTGTCGAAGCCAGATGCTGGCCATTCATTCCTCGTCTTTCCCGGCCTGTTTGGTGGCTGTTATGGGTGCCAATTTTGGTGTGCCGGGCCATCCATCTCCTCCTCCTCTATCGGCTGCCCCTCATTTTGCTCTTGCTCCCTAGCCATCGGATCCGAATGAGCACGGCCGTAGGATGAGCGCGCAAGAGCACCCATTCATCGCTCACCACCCAGAGCACCCCCGAAAATCATCTGGGTGAACATGGCCATTTCGGGGCTGTGTTTGGGCCGTCTGCTTTTGGAATGTTGTTTGCAGGGTGGATGGACTTGGTACCGTAATGCCTCGTTTTTAAGCGGATTTTTGCCAGATCCATAATTGAACAGATGTAATTTTCTAAGTTTCGGCATACCGTACCTTAAGTTAAAATTTCAAGGGGTAGGACCAACTCTCCGCGAATCCATCTCTATCGCTCCATCTATCTCGCACTGTCTCTCTCTCTCTCTCTCTCTCTCTCTCTCTCTCTCTCTCTCTCTTCTCTCTCTCTCTCTCTCTCTCTCTCTCTCTTTCTCTCTGTCTATCTTTCGCTCCCTCCCTCCCTCCCTTTCTCGCTTACTCGCTCTCTCTCTCTCTCTCTCTCTCTCTCTCTCTCTCTTTCGCTTAGTTGCTCACTATCTCATCACGTATTGGCTCTTTTTTTTACTGATCCATCTACGTCAAAACCTTTTTTAATCAGGTTATCGTACCAAGTCAAATCAAAAAATTTCTGTAAATTAATTTTGATCCCAGTTTTAGTCCTCTTCGTAATATTCCCAGCAGTTTTGTAATCGCTGAGACTAGAGCCTTCCAGCAAACCAATAATTTTCTGACGCAACCTTTCTCAAACTACCAATTGAGCTGGTTACTCGTTTTGTTTCATTTTGATTTTTTTTAAACTTCCGTTTTTGCCATTTTTTTTTTGCTTGTAGCCTACATACTACAGATAAACTGCAAATGGGATCCGGATAGAAAAACATCAATTTCCAAATCGTGTCCTTTTGCCCAAATGTACATCCCATTCCCCCGCATTTTTCGTAATTACCCATCCATTAGACCCATGCTAAAACTATGGCATTAACCCAATGGCCACTCTCATTACTGAATTTTTCTTTGGACGCAACTCCATTTTTCCAGCTTTTTGGCTTATCCCATCCCAATTTTCTGGGGCGTCAAAGGGAGGAGGAGGAGCTCATTTTCCTCATCTCCCTTTTGTCATTATTGCATTTCCGGAGGGACTTCAGACGACAAATTCCCATTCAGAAAATGTTCGCTTTTTTCCTAACGGTTGCCGCTAGTAGGCCTTCTTGGCTAAATAGTTTTACGGCCATTAAAAAGACTAAAAGGTTTCGATTTTAAATTTCTGCAATTTTATTCGATCTATTAGAACGATTATCTAAAATTATGATAGATTTCTTGCTCTTAAATACCATTAAAGGAACAAAAAACCGATGAAAAATTTCACAACCTCGTTACCTTCTAATTTTCCAACTCGATCCTTTCTACACACCCTTTCAGATATTCCTGGGATTCCATAGTTTGCACCCAGAGGAAAGAGCCATCTTTCTCTCGCTCTCTCGCTCTCTCTCTCGCTCTCGCTCTCTCTCGCACTTGCTACCACATACTCTTCTTCAGCTAAATTATTCACGAATTCACCGCGGGTGAATCTGGAAGGATTCCGGGAATACTCTTGAATTTTGCACGCCCCGACTGGTCAAAGTACACGCGCGTAGATGGAGGTGTATCTTGATGTTTACGCTGCTAAATATACTTGCCATTTTGACCCGGTTTTTCCAAATGTTTTCGTTAAAAAGCTTATTTAAATGGGCAGCGTTCTAAAATAAACTTTTCAAGTTGCATAAAAGTCAGAAACTAAACAGCAATTTTTTTTATTGTTTGAAACGGTTAATTTTGTCATTTAAGACATCGTCCAGAATTCAGGCTTCAATATGATAGAAATAAGCAAAAATAAAGTCTGATTTCGCTCAAAATTATGCTAAAAATACCGAAGTTTGCAATCATTAAAATAAGCAGAACAGAGCACTATATTATGAAAATAATAGAGCCGTAAAAAAGCAAAAAGTGGATCGTATTATACAATTTTCGTGCTACTGTAACTCGAAAAACCGCGATTTCCTGCAGTTTAATCCACCAAAGTGCAGAGCGATTATCGGACTATTTTCAATACGGCACCTTTTAATATATTTGCATTCTGTCCTTGCCCCAAAAGGCAAATAAGCCTAATTCCCGTCGGACTTTTTCACACGGCGCGGGCCCTTGTTTTCCTCGTTTGGCCCGTCCTTCACCACCCCCAAAAACCCCCAAAAATATGCCATCCATTCTAAAGTATGCCCCCGTTCCATCACACACCGTCGTGGTATGCACTCCACGAAAAGCCGTAGCCCTTACTGTAACCCTCTTATGGTCGAAGTGGAAATCCCGTACGTGAGATAGCACATCTTGTGCAGAATTTTTTGCTGATTCCCGAATCTGTTTTCAAAAGTTGCGGAACCCCTCAGATTAAAAAGTTACAAGCGTTTTAAATACCCAAAATGCCACAAATCGCTTACTTTAAAACGTTCTAAAAATTCCGTAAAATACTTTTGAGGGGAGAGTAAGGCATGTCCCGGGGTAAAAAAACATGCTCTTTCGAATGGGTTACCTCACAAACCCGTAGCTCAAAATTTGTAAAATTTCGAAAATCGACGATCTTGGGCATGGGTCCGCCAAAAAAAACTTTTTTGCAAATTTTGAACTACGGGTTCGTGAGGTAGCCCATTCGAAAGAGCATGTTTTTTTACCCCGGAACATGCCTTACTCTCCCCCCAAAAGTATTTTACGGAATTTTTAGAACGTTTTAAAGTAAGCGATTTGTGGCATTTTGGGTATTTAAAACGCTTGTAACTTTTTAATCTGAGGGGTTCCGCAACTTTTGAAAACAGATTCGGAATCAGCAAAAAATTCTGCACAAGATGTGCTATCTCACGTACGGGGTTTCCACTTCGACCATAAGAGGGTTACAGTTAGCGTTTTTTTTTTTTGTTTACGGAAGCCATCAACCAGCTGGCCGGCTACTCCATTCACGGAACGTTAAGATTTAGAATTTTTAGGCCTATTTGGCAGTTTTCGGCAAATTTATTAATTAAATTTGTGAAAGAAACTAAGCAAAAATTAACTTTGTCATCAACTTAATCGAAGAAAGGGCTCAGGCAATCAAAATGATACTAAATTCCTTAGGAAATTAGGTAAATTCAAAAGAAACTATTACAGCGCTTGAATTTTTCTGATTTTCCGAGTTGCAACCCTTTTCCGTTGAGGGATGTGAAATAACCCAAAAAACTGGCATTTATCGCTGAAAAACTGAAAATATTGCTATTCCCATCACCTGGAAGCAATATCCAAACGATTCCCCAAAAAGCAAAAAGTTGGTGCCTCATGCTGGAATCGAACCAGCGACCTTCTGTTTACTAGACAGACGCTCTGCCACTGAGCCAATGAGGCGCTGTGGGTGGTCCGCCGGGTGGGGTCTTTCCCCGGGGGGAGCCCCCAATCGGCCAGCCCGGCTTGTCAATCGCTGACAGTTGCCTTGTCGGGGGTATGGAAAAGGGACCGATTTGGATGCAAAATTCCCGGGATTTTTCCTATTAATTTTGTTTAGCCTTTTGATTGAAGGTATTAATCTTCTTTAAGTAAACTAGCTAAATACTTTTTGTTTCTAATTTAATTGATAGAATTGGCTTGAATAAATTGTTTATTAGATTTTATTAAATAGATTTTCGGAAAAGCCAATTTATTTGATCTCTTCTATGTCTTTTTCAAGTATGATGCAGCTGTGATATTTCTTTGACTTAAGTGCCTTTCCTGATGATTTCCGGTGCCATTTTAGCATTGGCCAAGCTAGCGGCAACGATTTCGCGCAGCAAGATCTTCGGCGGGGATGGGCTGGGGACCATGGACTTCTTCGACTTGAGGCGGATATCGGCGACGAAGAAGCACCCACACGCCAATGTACATCATCAGCATGGCGGCAGCGGTTAGTGGTTTTATCTCTCTTTGTCTCTGTCTCTCTCTCGCTCGCTCTCTCTCTCACTCGCTCTCTCACGCCCTCTCGAAATTCCAAAAATCGCCGAAAAATTGCACGTAAACTCCAATTCCGATCGACAGCTCAGTCTACAGCTACTCGCAACTTTCCAAAAGGTGCCAATTTTCTGGCCGTCTGGAGAACATTAAATGTTCTACAAAACGCTTTCTTGTATGTAAAATTACAACCTACCTGTATTCCTGCAAAATAACGTCTAATCTGCCTTCCCATCCCCTTTAAAAACTGCCATCCAATTTCCTGAATTTCCACGCTTTTCTCTGCGATTTTCCACCTCCCAATTAGTCGCCTGAATAGCCGGCCGGTGTTCTTCTGCTCGGTTTTTGTAGCTGGCAGGGTCTGGGATTACGGGACGCTCCGCTTGCTCGCATCAGAATTTCAAATTTCTCGAACTTTCCGTATGCTATGATGGGCCCGCTGTTCATCTTCGAGCAGCAGAGCAGCTTCAGTACGTTTTTTGGTGATTTTTGTCTGAAAAACGGTTCCTAAGTGATCTTTGCTAGATTGCCTTTTCCCAGAGGTTCGTAAAATCAAAAAAATCAAAATCCAAAGGAAAACTGCCAGCTCGCCTGGATAGCTGCAGCATTTCCATACTAATAGCAAGCTAAAATCTTCAGCGACGTTTGCTAGCTTGCTTTTTGCTTGCAAAGTTTGACGGCCGAAGCCCTCAAAGATTTCTGCTAGCTTGCCTTGGTCCATACAAAATTTGAAATATGCCGAGATCCAGAAAGATCTCTGCTAGCTTGCCTTGATTTTCGGTGTTCAGCAGACCGGCTTCCTCAAAGATCGCTGCTAGTTGGCCCTCGATCATCCAGGCTGCACCATTTACCGATTTTTAAAACGTTCTCCGCTAGCCTGCCACCCCTAATCCCGTCAGGCCAATTCCTCAAAGATCACCAACAGTTTCCCCCAAAATAATCCACCGGCCCCAAAAATAACTTCCATCATTAACCTTTCTCCGGCGTTAAGCCGGAAATCGGAAGGATACGGTGGCCGCACCAGGTATCTTGTTAATCCTTAGGCATCGGTGAGGAAAGCGTCGTACACAAAAATATTCACGTCGCCCGGATCGGCTTCTTGGCTTTCGACTAACAAAGAAATCCCTTAAAAATGGGCCCATTGTTCACGGTTCAAGGTCAGTTTTTAATTATAATTCTCTTTAAGCAACCTTCATTTGTAATTTTTGCCATTTAAGCGACAACTGGTATAGTATTTTAATTTTTCGTTCTTCGAATTTTTCTGCTAAAAAGCGACCCCTTATGGCGCTACGATAGAAAAATCCAAAAAGTCTCGACTACGACTAACACCTGCCGATACGGCAGCTGAAACCGCAGCTAAAATAGCGCACAGGCTACGGTACGAGATGAAACTTGGCAAATCCGACTCCGCATCTCCTACCGTAACCACGACTTCAAAATGGTAAGGAAAATGAAGCGAAGAAGTGACCGTTTGATGGGCATTTGATTGAGAATTGAATGAAGCGAAACATTGGATGAGCTACTTCGTCTCGGGACCACCGCAAAATTCTAATTAGCCCCCGGGGACGCCGGTGAGGGAATTCGAATTTGGTGATTCAGAAGAGAAACCGAGAGAGAGAAAGAGAGGGAAAGAAAGCGAGAGATAGCAAGACGTGGAGAACCAGGAAATCTATATCCAAAAAGACCTCAGAGGCTACCGTAACAAAAACCAGAGCTCATGCTCAAGCCAGAGAGCAAAGCGAGAGCAAGAGAAATAGAGGGCGAGATCAAGAGAGACAGAGAGCGAGAGAGCGCTAGAGAACGAGATAATAGAGCAGAAATTTCAGAAAACAGGAGCTTACTTCTGAAACGGCTCGCTGACCTGACACGTGTCGAAGCGGGCGGGGAATTGGAATTTTGTCGTATCAAAAAAAGCGAGAGAGAGTGAGCAGAGAGAGAGAGAACGAGAGAAAGCAACATCAGAAGACACCTGCCCTTCGTGTCCTTCAGAAAGCCAAAAGCGGCAGGAGGCAGAACTCAATTTGTGGGTCGAGTGCCTCTCCGCTCTTCGTCTATTTTTTCTCATCTATCTCCATCCGGAAAGGGCCCAAACAAGGCCCTCCCTTCCTTCTTCTAACCGGCAGAAAAACGTCTTTTCTATCATCATCCAATATGGGGGACTTCGTTTCGTCGTTTCGGCTCGGCTTCTTCCTCCCCCTGGGCCAGCATCGTCGCCGGCACTTGGCCCTTCTATTCTGGGCGTCCACCCACTTTGCATTCAACCCAGGCGCCTATTGCCTTGGTGTCGGGAGACGCGACGCGTATATTTTGTACAGGTACTGTAGTTTTGGATTTTCCTTTTTGCCGTTTTTAAGGGTATTATTTCGTATTTAGCATTTTAAGAATTTTTGAAAGCCATTTCCTTAAAAGGACTGTTCTCAAACTATCTTTGTAATTTTTTATAGTTAATTTTGGGATTTTAGAGTTTCGTTTTAGAAAGTTTTAGCGTTGTGGAGAGACTAGATTTTGACGCAAAAAAATCTAAATCCGAAACACGTTCAACGGTGCCGCGCGTAGCCCAGTTTTTGCACCGCGCCGAGTCACGCGGTGCGTATAAAGCTTTGAGTTTTATGAATCTATTTCCACAAAATTAACATGTCACTGTCCCTTTAACGGAAATATTTGGCAAGCTTTTCATAGCGTAAGTGATTCTAGAAAATCCGAAGAAGGAGAAAACCCAGAAAATGCAAGGGGAACGTTGGAAATATTCCCACGAAGCAATTTTAAGGAAATTTTTCGGTTTATAACGTAAAAAAGGGAAATCGGAGTCCTTGGCCCGTCATTTTTTAACTGGTAAAATCAATTAAAGGGCTGGAGAAAGATGGGCCGGCGTCCGTCGGGGTGACGGACCGCCGCGGCGCTACCATCGACGCTTTCCCCCTCGCGTAAGCGCCCCCCAAAACCCCCTCTCGCGTTTGAAGAAACCAGTTTATTGGCTATAACTTTTTCATTTAGCAATGTTTTCAACTAAAAATTTCATGAAACCAAGGAGTTAGTGATACCCACCGATGGTAAAAATTTGAGCCTGATTGGATAAAAGGCGGTCAAGTTCTGAGCCATACGGGTTTTTGGGACACTGTTTTGGCTGAAAAAGAGGCGCATAGACAGCAAAACACCTCTAGAAAGTTGCAAAGTACGTTGTTATCCTTTAGCAAGGTTTTCTACAACATTTTTTAGCTATTATCACCATGAAATTGCTTTATTTTTAATGGCAGTTCTTGTACAGGTGGTAATGCGCCCTAGGGTATGTGGGGGCCCTCCGCCGCCCCTCTCCACTCGACTCTCTGGTGTACTGGCTAGCGCATCGGACTGCGGGGCGGACCATCCCTGGTTCGACCCCGTCCGGTGCGACCCTCTTTGCTCTTTCATCGATTCCATCTTTCTCCAGCCCTTTAATGATCTTTTTATTGAATTTTCAAGTAATTTAAAAATCTGGGCTTTTCGGTGTAAAACCCGAAAAAACCCTTTTTTTTGCACAAATCGTTTAAAAATTCAACCCGAAGCTAGCGCGTGAAATAATTTATATTGCATTAAAGTTTATCAAAAAAATCAAAATAAGATTTCAATTAAATTAAATATTAAACGTAATTTGGCGTCTGAAGGAAATGGCTTTTGAAAAAATACTTAATTTATGTCCCAAAAACCTTGCTGAATCGGATTTTTATCATTGTTTGAATTCCTCAATTCTACAGACCAGCCGTCGACCACCTCATCACATCGGATATCCAGCATCAAATGGTTCTGCCAAGACCCCTCAAATCGCTCGTGCTCAAGAATAACGGGACTTTTATCGGGCTTGATGACGATCAGCTGGTAGAGGTCATCGAGACGAGTCAATGGGCCGTCGAGTTGGCCAAGCGGATCCAGGGTACGTGATTTTATGCAAGTTTTCACTGTTTTCCATGGCTTTACTGAGTACGACTACGCATTTCTATCGATTTTGTCCGCACGTGCTACGCACAAAGACACGCCAGGCGTGCGTCGAATTATGTAATTGAAACAGCCTAATCAATTACCCGATGGAAGGCCGACGCGTTGCGTATCGCGGGCGCCCTAAATCCATGTGCAACCCATAGGCGTGCCTTGCCTGGGCCTTTAAAGGGGCGCAACAGCCCTAGGTGTTTAAAAAACTTCAAAAATGCGTGTTTGGGTTATGCAAGTTTTGTATTTGCCATTTACTTACCTATATTTATTTTACATCTTTTCCAGGGATTTTTTGTGTCACCACCCCTTTAGCTCAGTCCCTGAGGTTCCCCAGGTGTATTTCGAGAGCAATTTCCTTGCGGTTCTGAAGAACCCTCGAACTTGTTTGAAGACTGCTCCTTCCTGCAAAATCTTAGCCTCCAGAATCCGGGACGAACACGCCTCCTGGATTCCCATTTTTTTTCGATTCGACCTAATCAGGTATGCAAACGGAAATGGGTGGCCGGGGATGGCTTTCATTAAAACGGATGGGTGGGCATGGAAACGACATTTCGAGGGAGAGAGAGAGAGAGAGAGAGAGAGAGAGAGAGAGAGAGCGAGAGAGAGCGCGAAGGAGAGCAAGTGCGGGAGAGAGAGAGAGAGAGAGCGAGAAAGAGAAAAAGAAAGGGCGAGTGGATGAGATCGAGGCTTTGAAAATAGATTATGTAAGCATAAAAAGCATTAAGATTTGAATGAAGCTTATCAGAAAATGGAGACCGCGTGGAGGCTCAGAAAGAGCGAGAGAGAAAGAGCAAGAGAGGGGGGAAGAGAGAGCGATGGAAGGAGAGAGAGACAGAGAGAGAGAGAGACAGAGAGAAAGAGCCACGAACGACACGGAATCGGATACAACCTGGGAAAGGGGATTATGCCACCCAGGGGCGGCGGCTTCCCCCCAAAAAACGCACGCTCCAAATATCGGCATCTCTTTCTCAATTCTTCAGTCAAATTGAGAACTTTGCGTCCATTTATTGTTGCTTCTTAGTTATGAAGACTTTATTCTCTGGGGTATTTCGAATTAATTGGTTTTTGACTACCGAGTGTCATGTCTTCTAATTTCCTATTTTCTGAAGTGGTCCCGAGGGGAATCAAGGGCTTCCTTAAGTTACCAATGATAATAGATTGTCTCAAACTGCCACTTGAAATAGTAGGATTTCGAAAGATTAGCACGGCCATATTTATTTCCGCCAGATTTTTGGCGTCCGAAACGGGCTCCGGTGTGCCACGAGCGTCAGCCGTTTCTCTATGCAATTAAGCTCCTAGCGGCAGTCTGGGCCCTATTTTTGCGATTTCTCTCTTTCTCTCTCTCTCTCTCTCTCTCTCTCTCTCTCTTTCTCGAATGCCATCTATCCGATTCTCGGCTTTTCCCGCGTAACGAATCGGGGGGAATCGGGAATCGCGGCTTTACCTCTTCCACCCTTGGCCCCATTCATCCAGATTCCCTGGGCCAATTTTCTCACACTCCGCTTACTGGGCCTCCATTTTTGCCAGAAATCCCGGAGAAACCCCACCGGCAATTTCTTGAACTTCCCGCGACAATTTAAAGGATGTTGTGTTCCAAATTATTGGGGGAAAATGGAATCAGCCGGTACATAGGAATGTTGCGTAGCGCTAAACTAGATTTTTAGCTTGATTAAGGCCAGTGGTATAAAGTTTTTTCTATCACCCTTTCTCTCTCGCTGCCTCCCTCGATCTCTAGCTCAATCTATCTCTCACTTTCTCTATCTCTCTCATTTTTTTTATCCCTCCCTTCGAGCTCTCTATGACTGATTCTCTCCATCTTCACCTCTCTTTCGCCCTCCCTCCCTCCCTCCCTCCCTCACTCTCTCTATCTCTCTCTCTCCCTCTCTCTCTCTCTCTCTCTTCCTCCAAAAATCAAAAATCACACAGAAAAAGTCACCTTTAATCCCGTCCCCTTCCTCGAACACTATTCATCCTCCCGCACCACTTTTCCCGAGCACGAATTCTGACGACTTTCAAGGGTTCAAAAACCCAAAATCCCAGCCCCAGGCGTTTCTTTGTTGCCACAGAGGGTGAAGGTGAAACCCGAGAGGAAATCTCCCCCAAGAATTCATTCCGCTACGGCGCCTGGCCCTTCTGGGCCGGGTTTTCCAAGTGTACACACGTTCCTATTGTCGTTCTTACATTAATATGTTCCTAAATCGTCTCTGCTAGCTTGCCACCTTTCTCTCTCTCTTTCTCTCTCTCTCTCTCTCTCTCTCTCTCTCTCTGTCTCTCTCTCGCTCGTTCTTCGACCCCCGATTATCTCTTTTTTCCAACAAATCCACGCACATGCCCGCGGGCTATTATTCTCCCCTCCTCCCCTCTTTCTCCGCATCCGATTATTCACGAGATCCGCAATCAAGCCTCACACATACAGCCTGAATAACATAGAAAATTTGGTCCTAGATTTTTTGGATTCTTCCTTTGTTTTCATATTTTTTAGCATCATTTCAGTAAACCCAAAAATTCCCAAACAACAAGCCCTACAAACTTTGATTTAAACGGAGAGTGATCGTACATTCTCAAAACTATTTTTTTCCGCCTGGCTCCGTTCGAACGAAAAAGGGGAAAAAACCGCTGCTCCTTATTTATTGGATGGGACAAGCCGTGTAGCGATGCCGTAAACAAGCTCGCCCCCTAGCCCTCAATTTAGTGACGCTCATCCAATTTTCGCAAAACTTCGAGAAGTTTTGGGCAATTTTTGTTTTTGATGCAAATTAGGCTTTTTGTGTTTTTACCTGTTGAAGAACCGGAATTTGTAACGTTTCGTAGCTCAGGATTGCGTTGATTATCATTTTTGACTTTGCAGCTACGCGACAGTACTATAAACAACGTCAGCCTAACAAAAGATTTATCGAATATTAATTTTTTTGCTTTAAATACGCGGCAGTACGGACTGACGCATCAATTTGTTGAGTGATTTTGAAGTTCTGAGACTTTGTGAAGCGTTTTTTCCATGACTACGCGACGCTACGCTTGTACAATTGCAGTATGGCATTTTCGAGTAAATTTCTATTTTTTTGCAAAACCTATGCAGGACTACTGGGCAAAGTTTGAATTTTGGCGTTTTTTTTGCACATCTGAAACCCGTAGAACCGGATTTTAGGTACTAAGCTACGCGACGTTACGTTCGTACGAATACGGTATGACAATTTTGGTGTAAGTTAGCACTTTTTCACCAATACTACGCATGGATACGGGGTTGCCTCTTTAATTTTCGAGATGTTTCGAGCCTCTTGATCCGAAAAAATTCGAGTTTTTCATAGAAACTACGTGAAGATACTCTCTTACTATATACTGACGAACAATTTGTGTTCTTTTCCACTACCTCGCCGAGACTACCCTACAATACTCCCTTACGGTTACAGTACCCTCGCCCGGCCTCCAATACCGTATCAATATCTTGCTCGGGGGCCCTCTTCCATCCAAGAGGAGGGCCCACGGCATCTGCGTGTAACGGGGCGTAGTGCCGCGTACTCGCCGCGCTGATTTTCGACGTGATGCTGGGGATGAAGACGGCCGAGCGGGAACTGTTTGATGATGATGGGGATGAGCCGTTTGAGAGGCTCATTGCCATGGAGGCCAACGGGCTGTCAAACACGATGGTCGGCCCGCTGCTCGACCCGATGCATTATAGCAAACTTGGTAGTGTCATTGGGGAAGGGTCGTACTTGGATGTCAAAACACCGATTTATCGTTAAAAACCCAAAAATGCCGACATTTAGCATCCCGATAGCGAAAATGCCGAAAAGCTAAAATGTCGGCAGGTCAAAATGTGTTTGTCGGCATTTTTCTGGAAATCCTAACTACCCTTGTGTAAACTATGAAACCGTACGCTAAAAAAATACGGGATGCAACGTAAAAAATGGCAACTAAAATCTGGTCCAAAAATCCCAAATTTAAAAAATCTAAAAAATCAAAAAACATCCTGCGATATCATACGATACCTAAACATTATTAAAATTTTCTACCATTAAAAATCTTAAATAATAATCATTGCCTTTTCCAGACTACTCGGCCGTCGCCCTGCTCCCCGTCGCCGTCGTTCTTTGCCTCGTCGTCGCCGTCGCCGCTCTATATCAATGCCGGAGATGTCGACATCATCGAAGACAGGTGGGTCTTGCTATCTCTATCACTCTCTCTCTCGCTCTCTCTCTCTCTCTCGCTCTCTGTCTCTCTCTGTGTTTAAAGCAGCTATCTTCCAGATCGAGCAGCTAGCATGGGTGTATGATGTGCTAGAAGATGCTCTTCCCTCCCCACTGCCGGTTCCGAAGGACAGCAACAACACCAGGCCCTCAGCTCAAAGCCCGCACGTCTTCAGGCCGCCCGACTCGCCGCAGGTATTCGACGAGAGAGAGAGAGAGAGCGAGATAGAGAGAGAGCGTGCGAGCGAGGGAGAACCGAGACATTAGCTGATTTCAAAAATATCTTTTTCAAGCTCTCCCCAGCTCAACGAGTCTCCCAGGCCGTCCGCCCACCCCCAGCCCACTCATCGCCGTTTTATCAGGTTCGAAATTTTCCGCTAAATTCAAATCCTTTTTCTTTTAGCCTACCTTCAAAGGAAAATCGCTACGCTACGATACGCTCCAAAAGGCTACGTCTGCTACGGAGGTAAGAATTTAAACTTTTTGATTTGTCTAGAAAAACGTTTAATTTTCCCAATATTTGGTGGTGGACTTAATAAATAAGTTGTAGATGATACTGTGTTAAGCTATTAAAGTATATTTATATGACTAAATTGATAAATTTTGTAAAAAATAAGTATGTATCTTTTTTTAGGTAATCTTCCACTTTACCAACTTCCTCGAGCCGAACGGCACGGCGGCCGTTGAGCAGCACGTTTAATGGCTTCATCAAAGTTTCCCAGCTTTTTCCATCTAAGATCCATTGCACTTATCCACTACACTTTTTCTTACTATCCTTAACGTCTCTCGGGTATCTGCCTTCTTGCCAACCCTCAAATTGTGTGATATTTTCTACGCTGACGCGGGTGAGACGCTTTTTCGAAAGTAGCATTTACCAGTATTTGTATTTGTCATTTTTTGGTAGTAAATAAATATAAAATACAAAAATAAACGAAAAATTACAGATTACAGTACGTTCGTAAAATAGGTTCGAGCCGTTTTCCCGATTTTCTTGCCCTTGCTGCCAATTCTTCGTTTTTCAGCCAACCGCTGGCGCCAGCCTTTCGGTCGGAAGGTCGTCGTGCACGAAGTTGTGGCCTTAGAAAGAGTCTAAAGTGGTCAGAAAGCGCGAAAATCGACCTATTCGAACCACTAGGTCTAGACAGACGGATTTTTGGCCTCCTAAAGATTAACGGAAGGAAACTATTGTAGATTTGCGTCGATGTCTAGACCTAGTCGACGTAAAGGGTCGATTCTAACGCTTTTTGGAGCTTTTAAAGGAGGCTGGAAAGCAAATTTATATCCCTACCGAAGTGAATCTTCGAGAAATCGATGTAGAAAATTATTTTGCATAGATATTCGATTTGCGGGCCTTTTTAGAAACGATTTTGGCTGGAATTCTCTGGCTAGAGAAAGAGGGGGGGTGGGCGAGGGAGAAAGAGCGAGAGAGAGAGCGAGAGAGCGAGAGCGATAAAATAGCTCTGAAAATCAATTCTACCTGGTCAGCGCCATCCGTGTTCTCAGCTTCCGGTTTTCCTTGCCTTTTTCCCTCGACAGCTTCGACTTCAGCAACTTTCTGTGATCGTGGGTCGACAGTGGTGAATAGCTTCAAGAAGAAGCGCACCAACGCTGAGGTTTCTCTACCCGCCATCAGGAGCAGATGCTTGGCCTAAAGATTCAAGAAGGATTTTTTTGAAGAATTTTTTGGAAGTACGTTATAGAAACCCAGCTCGTACGTAAAAGCATGACTACTTTTTCCTACCTCCCAGTGTCTCTCCTGATCTTGAATATCCTTATCGAGTACCAGGATCCTCAGCTCGGCCATTAGGTTCAGCGCATCTTCATAGACGTGACGAACCTACAACGAATTGCGATTTTCTCAGGGATTTAAGTTGTAGGGTCCTTGGCGGCTGTCCCAGCACCTTTAACATCCACGATTTGATTCCGTGAGCCATAAACAGAGGGTTAGACTACCTTTTCCTGGAGCTTCACATTGGAGTCGCTGAAGAAGACGCGAGCTTGAGCCTAAAAATGGAGCGTGGAGTTTTCTGGAAAGCAGGAGGTGAGGGTCCAAGAGGTGTTAGAATCGACCCCTGAGGCCGACTCGGTCTCGACAAACCCAATCGACAATTCGTTCGTTTTGAAGTGATGTTTGAGTAAAAATAGCAAAAAGTGAAGTGGCTGTCTAGACCCAGTCGACTATTGGGGTCGGATTTTGCATTTTCCGGCCACCTTTAGGCTTACCAATAAATCCTCCACAGCCAGATCGTAGATGGTCTTGATCTCTGGTGGTTTTCCATGGTAGCGGCTGCTTTTCGTAATGTTGGCTACGGACTTGAGGTCTTCAGATGTGATTTCTTTTTCTTTCTTCGTTTCCCTTGTATTTTCCTTTTCTTTATCTTTGATCTCGGCGCTGGTCATCTCTTCCACCACGGCGTTGACTTCCCGCCAATGTGGGTGCACCTGTTTTTCCGGTTTTAGGGTGGCTTCTTCCTGAAAAATGTCGAGCTTAATTTGAAAGTTAGCTCGAGGTATTCTTAAAGGTTTAAAGTTTAGTTCTGTACATTTCTACCTTATCAGGATCATTAAAAAGCCAAAAAAATAGAAATTAGAGATTCCTTACGATTTCCAGGCTTGCAGCAGGCTTTTCAGGGGACCGATCCGATCCTTCCTTCTCCAGCGAAACCACCTCATTGCTTTGGATCTGGAATTAGGGATTTGTGCCTAATTAAGAAGCGTTGCCTGCGATTTCGATAATAATACGGCATTAAAAATGTCGACAATCTAAAATACCGACAACCGAGCCGAAATAATCGACAATATCGACAGCGAAATTCCCGACAAGCCAAAATCCCGACTTTCGACAAGCAAAAATCCCATCTTTCGACAAGCAAAATCGCTGACAGACCAAAATGCCGACAGGCGGGAAGCGGCCATTTAAAAAAATGCTGACAGCTGGAAAGCCAAAACATAGCGTCTAAGTTACCTTTCTACAGAGAGCCGACGCGAAAAACGGAAGCAAAACAATAATCCAAAACCGCATCGCTGGCCAAAAATAATAAAAGCCAATTCCCTTTTATACCCTTCCCTCCGTTCCGCACAAATGCTGTAAACAATGCTTCCGGGGCGTTTTTTAACGCGCCGGCCGGGGGTAAATACTAATTTGCATATTTCCGGGAAGCCGCGGTATATTACGGCTGTTTATTTTTAGCCGCTTTTCAGGCGGACGAGGAATTTTTATTCCGATGTTTTCATGTGATGTTTTTAAAGTATTTCAAGGCTCTAACAACTTTTATATTAATTTTACAATTCTAACTATTTGGTAAGAGTCAGCACACTCCAGCTCCCACAGTTTAGTGCGCTATAATGCGCCCTTCATGGGGTTTATTCTGTTTTGCATTCGAAAACCGGCCGAAATGAAGGGTTGGCTTGCAGCTATTATATTATTGAAATGTGTTATTTTGTTGGAAGCCGCTTGCCAAGTTTGTAACTTTTGAAAACCGATAAAACAGCGCTTCGAAAAAGTCGAAAAAGGCGGAAATTCCCGCGATTTTAGCGTTTTATAGAACATAAAAAACGTTTTCAAAGGGCGCTTATTTGTCATGCCAGTTTTTACTAAAATAATCTGCTAAATTCTAGCCTTGGTAGGCATTAACTCGGCAAGTTTAGCTCGGCACCACCCGCACCGTGGAGAATGTCTTTGATCTGCAGTGCGTTGATGCTGGAGGTGGCACGACGACTGAATTGTTTGTCGGTATATTGTTTTTGCTTGTAATTTTATAAATTTATTTACATTTATAGGCTGCGCAGCCAAGGACATTTTGCACCAGGTCCGAAAAGTCAGAATCGGGAGTCAGCTGAACCGGGAGGAGCGGGAGAAGACAGGAATTTATTCAGGTAAGGTCTCTATATCACTCCCTCTCTCTCGCTCGCTCTCTCTCTCACTCTCTCTCTTTTTCTCTCTCTCTCTTTGTATCTCTGTCTCTCGCTCCCTCGCTCTCTCACTCGCTCTCTCCTTACCTCTATTTTTTAGACAAAGGCTTCATCTTCCTCTGCAACCGCACCGAGACGAACCAGGCCATTTGGAAGCCAGTTGGTAAGAATTGAAATTTCCTTTTCCAATCAGGTTTTAGCCTGTTGGGCCCTGTCCGGGACTACGGTGGTAGAATTTGCTTTTGGACAGACGAAGAGGATCAAAGGTATGCAAACATGTCATTTTAAAGGGCTCGGCAAGACATTTTTGGCTATGGATTTCTAGAGAGTTTGCCGCGCCGCGACACGCAGAGCGCGCCCGTTTTTTATTGTGTAATAGATTATTAGCGTTTATCGGGGGAGGCGGCCAGGTTCGGCGCGTGCCGCGGCGCGAAAAATCACAGAGCATCCATCCATAGCGAAAAAATCCAAATCAAACCGAAAAAATAGCTATGCCTTCCCTGTATCTTTGAAAAATTGAATTTTTCAAAGTACATCAGCTAGCTTGCCCTGATTTCTTAACATTTATCCCTTTCTAGACATTGTCGGCAAGAAAGAGCGTGACGTCACCTGTGTCTTAAAGGGCGTCTCGGCTACCGTATCCGCCGGGAAGATGCTGGCGACTGGATAAGCAATTTTGGAGCGATAAACAATTTATTGGCATGGAAATTATTGCGAACAATTAAGGAAAATTGTGTGGTCCTAAGCAATTTGATTACAAAACGGCAAAAAATTTGAAGAAAGCTATTACGAAAATCGATAATTTTATGAAAAACCCGTGGTGATGATTGCTGGAGCTGTTAAAAGAGCGGCGCACCTGCAAATGTAAAAAACTTAACATATCAATATCTTCGTTTTTATTAAATATGGAACCATGATTTAATAACATTTGCATAATCTCCCCAATCGCGTGCAAAATTACCTCAACCCTCGCATCACTGGTAAGAACATCATCGATCCTCTTGATTCTCGCGCAGCCGACCTAGAAAAATATGAATTTTAATATGAAAAAGATTCGATTAGTTTTTAATGATTCTAATAATCTTCGGGAATGACTACTTGCCTTTGGACATTCCACCTTCACTAGCGAACAGATCAACGCGGCCACGTCACAAATCTCGACGGCTCCTTTCCGAAATCCGGGCCGAAATGCTGAAGATGAATGGTTTTTGGAAGCAAAATTCTTGGAGAAATCTACTCCTAAGCAGTTGTTAGGTATTTTAAAGGCATGAAAAAGCACGAGGATCAACCCCTTTAGTCGGCTGGCTATCGATAGCTACGCTACGCGCCAAAATGCACGTCAAATCGTCATAAAAATAAGAATGAGCTTGTCATGACGTTTCTCTAGCGCTACAGCTCGTGACTATCGATACCTAGTCAAAGCCAGAGGTGGATTCTCAGGCTTCCCAACCACCTTAAATTCCCCTCACTCACCTGGCCCAATCGCCAAAAACAGTCCTGCCATCTGCGGGAGGTGTGGATTGTAGCCGGGGAGAGATTTTGCAGTCAAGGTTGTCTCGTTTGATGAAGGGAAGCTTTTCTCTGGGTCTCGCTGAAGAAAAATTTCTTACCAATAACCATGGCGTGCTTACCGTAGTGATACCGTAGCCCGGGTTCGCCAAGAGCAACAAATCCGAGACAAGGTGGCTCTTCCGGAAATGGAAGAATCGAGGGAGATCTCCGGCTTTTGGAGCTGTGAAGAAGATCTGAAAACCGGATTCGATTCGACCCTCGCTCTCTCGCTCTCTCGCTCTCCTCCCTCGCTCTCCTCTGTTGCTCTCAAGCATCCGAAGCTGCCACACTTCCATTCCATTTAAAATTTTCGTACCTTCACATTCGGAACTGGGCGCGTCGTGTTCAACAGGTTGTAAACCTAGAATTTAAGAGTGAGCTGGCACTTCATGCAAAAAAATAATATTTTTTAAATCTACCCCCTAACCTGGTGCGTCTTTCCCGGCTTGGCGCGTAGCTGCATTATCGCGCCATGGCCTACAGTTTTTTCGACGAGCTCCATAGGTAGGTGATCGTCGAGGGACCGGATGTGGCCGCGGGGCACCTTTAGACGTTAAGGGATACAATGTGAAGCTACGAAACCTTGACAGCTTCTATGACCTTCAAAGTTCTACCTCGATCTGCCCATGCAACGAGACGAAGATTAAATTCAAATCCACGCGCTCTCGGGCGGCCGAGGCAAAGCGGTAGAGCCACTAAAATGAGCAATCAATGGCTAATTTCTAAGAATATAGTTTATTTAGATATCGTAGTCGACCAACCCCAGCCAGCCGATCCAGGGCCGTCGAGTTTCCGGCTAGCTTTCCGTGCTCCGATAGCTCGGCACCGATCCAAGCGTCATAGACGAGCGTCAGGTCGGCCCATCTGAAAAATGAGAACGTCAGCTTGGCTTTGGCCTAGGCTTGGTTTAGGCTTGGCCTAACTCTGGTTTAGGCTTGGCTTGGCCTAGGTTAGGCTTTCCATAGGCTTCGCTTAGGTTTGGCTTAGGCCTAACTTAGGCTTGGCTTAGGCTTAGGTTTACAGACGTACGTTGTAGCGTGTAGTATCGACTGGGCAATGTTGTCATTTTCCTCTTCACTAGGAGGGGCGCGTGGCGGCACGCAGACGGTAGGTTGTGGGTCCCATTCCACCTAAATTTTAAAGGTATAGATGAGCTTGGCCTATAGATTATAGTAAAAATAAAAATATACCACTTACAAAACACTCTGGCAAAAAGAAGAGAGCTGTTTTCGCGCCTTGTCGAGCAGCCGTCTGATAGACCGGCGGGATGTTCCACCATTTCTGGATACCGTAATCGGATTCTCGGCGGAACCCCTCGAACCTATCGCCCGTTTTCCAATTCAGCATGTGGTCGTCGAGGATTTCGTGCTTTTTCGGGAGCACGCCTAAATTTCATTTTTGTAATTTTTAATGGGAGCTTTGTTCGTTTTTTGAGTATAAATTCCGGGAATTTTAAATAAATTTCATCAATTCTTACTGTATTCAAAAACCCCCAAAAGCTTGGGAAAATCGGCTTTCAAATCTTATTTAATAGATTGAATGTTCGAATAATTTCTCAAAAATGAAAATGCAGGAAACTCAACAGTTTGAATAGTTTTTAATTTTACTTAAATCATTCAAAAACGAAAATAAGAAAGATTGACTTTAAACGCTCCAAATTTCTTACCCGTTAACATCGTGTGCCGATTTGGAAGTGGAAGCGTGGGAAAGACGGGGATCACCCGGGTAGACCTAAAATAACAAATTTCTGAAAAAGCAATGGATAATTCTTACCATACTCCCTCGCTCTCAAACGTGTCAAACGGCGGCTTGCCGGAAAAGCGGTGGTATTCCGAGCCGGAGATGCCCTCGGCTGAAAAATGGCCCAAAAATCGTAATAAAAAGCAGGTTTAAAGGTGCTAGGACCCAAAAATCGACCTCTGCTGTTGACTAGGTCTAGACAATTATGCGGATCTTCAAAATGCGTTCAAGTAAAATTTTGAGAGCTTCCAGTATTGCGAAACTAGCGTAAAATACGAGTTTTCAGACAGGCGGGTTTTTTGCGTAGCGCTACGTAGCTGCCTATATATAGGGGACAATTTTCTTACTTCCGAGTTCCTTTAAAATAGAAATTTGAGCTATTAACTTACTAATAACAACCAATAACTTCTGCGCAAAGACATTTGAAGTCAGAAAGAGCAGCCAGATCCCAAAAAGCCACATGGCCCGCCCAGCCGCATCTGAAACTCGGATAGAAATAAGGGGAGACTACCAAAATAATGTTTAAAAAAACAGAAAAAAACCAAATCCGTTGGACAGAAATTAATGGGAATCGGGTTCGAGTCGTTCGACTACGACAACTAGCCCGGCGAGTTTCGACTCTAGCGAGCGTCAGTGCCGTCTAGCTAGCATTAGCGATTCCAACGCGTAGAATCCCCTGGGGGTATAGGTACCCTTTTGAGAGTTGGTCGATGGAGGGGGGCCCGATTCTGATTCCCATACGTCAACCACCCAGCAAACACTAATCCCTGTCCTCCTCGCCAAATGCCGAAAGCGGAACCCAGCCGTAGCATACCGGAATCTTTGGGTGTTGAGAATAACATCGTTTAAACCCGGCAACACATCTCAAGTCAGGCGTTTTCGGGCGTGAGAAACTCAACCAGCCAAAAAGAGAGAAAGAGAGAAGGGGAGAGCGAGAGAGTGAGAGCGAGAGAGAGAGAGAGAGAGAGAGAGAGAGAGAGAGAGAGAGAGAGAGAGAGCAAGAGCGAGTGAGAGATTGAATGAAAAATACTAGAAAAATATTAGCATCCAACCAAATCGCGAGATAGGCAGCAAGAGGTGCGAAAGCGAGCGCGAGATCGAGACTGAAGTATATTCATTCTGGCTAAAAATGCTCACGAACAAGCAATAAGCCAACTTTTTTCAGAAAACGAGTCCCAAGTGTCGGTTAGGGCCAAAGCAATACTATCGACAGCCGGGGTGGCGGCCGACCCCATGTCAGGTGGACAAGCTGTCAAGTGCACTTGAAGATCGGCCGAAAGGAGGGGAGTCAGAACTGGGGCCATGTGAAAATAATTACAAACGCATCTACCCAAATAAACAGCTTGTAGCTTCAAACCGGCGAAACAGGCGAGAGCGTGGGAATATGGAAATTCCGGGAAAGAACCTTCAGATAAAAGCAAAAACGCCCTCGTCAGGTTTGGAACGCTCGGAAACGCGTAGAAGGTTGCAGCTTGGAGCAAAACATTCTTAAAAATTAATATTGCTTACCAAGTTCAGATTTCTGGCGCGAACTACAAAAATACCTCGATTCTATGCAAATGAATTCTTTTAAACCGATTTTTGTAGCCAAAGTTCCAAATTCCAAAATCTCTTGGAAAATGGCTAAAACTGGCTGCGCCTTTTGGGAAGCGACTAATAATTTAACAGCTTGCAAAACGGCAAGCTTAAAAACATAATAACCCATGGCCGATCCAGGCGCCTTCCTAGTTCCTTTAAAATCGCGTCCGAAATCGAAAAATCGAGTTCCCTAGAGGACAGATCAAGGCTTTCGAAGCGAGAAAGGCGCAAGGTGAGCGAGATTGAGAGAGCCAGAGAGAGCAGCTACGGAAGAGTATACACATGAAATCACACTCTATTCCAAAGCGTTTCTAGTGTCAATGTAGCGCATAGATTTAATTGGTTAGTGTAGCGAGGCTCGGGATGGAATGACCGGATGGCATGACTAATGTCTAGGGCCCACGACTACGTTCCATTCCTATAGACAAGGCCAGAGAGAGCGAATGAAAGGGAGAGACAGCGAGAGAGACAGAAAATATAGACAAATAAGAGCCCTCCCCGCATCGAATATTCCGACCGAGTGCAATTTACGCAATTTTCCTGTCAACTAGAGGACGGGTGGGCACTGGTTGAACGGCCAGAGGAAAGGCGCGGAATCGGAACACTCTTTCGTGGGGGTTTAAAGGGATCGGCAAGGCAAAAGAAGCTCGAATATTTAGGGTCCCGGATAGCATACTGGAATCAAAGTGTCAACTCAGAAATGTTACGGCCGAGGTTCTTCTGAGCTAGCAAAAATTCTTGAGGAACACTTCCTGATAATTCTAAAGGAATCGTCAAGCCAAAAAAATTTAAGTTTACAGGTTTTCAACGTGATACGTCAAGACCAGCCGAGAAATCCAGAATTTACAGCTGGTAATGTGGGCTAGCTAGCAGAGATTCTTTTGGAATATGCCTTAAACCCTCGGCGGCATGTTGGAAGGTTCCGGGTGGCTACGCGATTACACTCAGCATTTGGGACATTAAATTTGGGCCCCGTACCTTCCCTCCTCTACACCCTTTGGACCCCGGCCAACACCAGATTCATGGGTTGCATCTTAAAGGGGCTGTGAAGAGGGGAAAGAGAAAGAGAGTGAGAGAGAGAGAGAAAGAGAGAGAGAAAGATACCCACAGCGAAAGGGTGTGATATAGGGGCGACAAGCGCGGCTGTCGTTGTCTGTCCATCAACCTATAGGGTGGCACCCACCCTAAGCAAATTACCCAACCACTCACCAATCTTGAATTCGTCTTAGGCGAAGTGGGAAGGGGTTTTTAAAGGGGCTAGGAAGCCAAAAAAGCATCCTGGTTTTGGGGATTTTGTCGAAAAGTGCTCCGGTAGGTCTTTGAAACTTTGGCACATTATCTGAAGACTCGCCATTTACTCCAAAATGCCGACATGGCGAAACGCCGATCGAGGAAAGATACCGACAAAAGCAAATGCCGATTTCTACAATGCCGACATCAATAATCCCGACGCTCAGGTAGGCGTTGTTAAGTCGACATGCCGACACTATGAAACGCTAAATGGCTAGCTTAAAGGCCAATTAGCATGGAAAAATTCAAGCGCTTTGTCTTGTCCGTCGGCATCTTGCCCGTTTTTTACTGTTGCTTGTCGGGATTTTGACTTGTCGGCATTTTGAACGTCGGAATTCCTGCTTCCGCACAATATTTGCTAGAGAATCAATAATTAACTCAACGCAGAGAATTTTTGGCACAGGCTTCAGCAAATTTTAGAGCATAATAGGAATTTTTCCAGTTCACCGCAGCGGTGGATTTTCCACGTTTTTCCTTGCGAGTTCCTTTAAAATGCTTAATTTTTGCTGCATGGAATATTTCTGAATTATTTTTTATTTTTAACGCATTTTTTAAGAATTTGACCTGCATTTTTTTTGTTTTATCGTTTCAAAAATCTTTGGCGGCTGTGGGCTACTGGCTCTACCAAACAAAAACATGGCTCAAAAATAATATAATAACATACTGTCACCGGTTATCTCTTGCATTACAGTACCAAATATTTGTTAGTGATTTTCCAGGGGGGTGGCGAAGCAGGGTAAATACAAAAAGAGCAAGAATATGCAAAAAAAAGTCACGATTAGCCTGGGATAGAGTGGGGTACGATACGCTCCAAAACACGGCAATTTTTATGCTAAGTAAATTTTCTATAAAATACCGTAATTTGGAGCGCAGCGTACAGTCGGATGATACTTTCCAACCCGCAATAATACCTATATATCTCGGGGGGCACGCATGGAGAGTAGGAAAATACACAAAAATACGTCAAAATACAAAAAAAAATAGATTTAGGACCAAAATAAGTGCAAGAGATCATTAATCGTAGTTGCAGGGCTGCAAAGTGTTATGTACATAGGTGTAAAGTGTCCAAAAAAGCAATTTTGATCGGAAACATAAAAAAATCAGGGAAGCTGTCGAAAATGCCGACATGTAAAATACCGACAGCAAGAATATTCGGGATTTTTGTTTCACGGACTTTTTCCTTTTCGGCGTCGGGATTTCAGCCTGACGGCATTTTCGTCAGCATTTTAGCGAAAAAATTAAAAAATAACTTTGGCAAATCATCGACAAGGTGAGGGGGACATGAGAAAATGAACCCGAATGGGGGATGGCTGCCGTGTCGATAGGCGTAGTTTGTAGCGCCGAGCGGCGACCGATTTCTGTAATTTAAAGAGACTTAGAAAGCTGAGAAATGGTAACGAAATTCTCAAAGAATCTCTGCTATCCTACCTCTAGTGGTTCGGCTCGGTGGATATGTTCGCATTTTCGTCCGTACTTCCGGCCGGCAGGGGTGGAGCTTCTTCGTCAATCTGGAAAGACTGAAATAGCGATAGAGAGAGAGAGAGGGAGAGAGAGAAAGAGGGAGAGAGAGAAAGAGAGAGAGAGAGAGAGAGAGAGAGAAAGAGAGAGAGAGGGAGAGAGAGAGAAAGATAGAGAGCGAGAGAGAGAGAGCGAGAGAGCAAGAGATCTGAAAGAATTACCTGCGCGACAATCACAGCCACTGGCGCTCCTTGGGGCGTCTGGGGCTCCTTGTCCTCATCAACAACTTCTACATCATCATCAATGACAGATTCCGCAAGACTGCGATGGACGGCTTCTTCATACGAAGGCGGAGCACCAGCTGAGCCATCGACGAGCTCGACTGAGCAGTATGATGGAGGAGGTGTCAATGATCTGAAGGGGTATTTGGATGTGGGCAATCTAGCAGAGATTCTTTGGGAACGTCGAAATCGATTTTAAAGGAGCGGTGAAGGCATGACTCCTACCGATTATTCCTGGCAATGCGCGCCTGCGTGGGCGCTCTGGCAGGCGTTCCAACTAAAAGCGCTCTGTCTCGCGGAACCCAAGCCCCACCACAGACGAAGTCGTGGCGACATCTTCGACCAGCCGCCTAAAACGTGGGTAGTTTACAGTAACCAACGGATACCTGGGGCTGGAAAAAGCGGTACCAGGTTTCGTCTGAGGCCGGGATGGAGGAGGCGGTGAGGCGTCTCCTTCTGGAAGGTCAGCAGGCAGATCGAGAAAAAGCTACCTGGCCGTGATGCAGAGCAGGCCGATGGTGATCAGGCAGAACGACAGACCGGAGAGGGTTAGACGGGAGTTGACCATCCCTAGAAAAGGCGGTTTGAGATGTTTATGATCAGCGCTTTTTCTCTCTCCCTCTCTCGCTCTTTCTCACCCTCTCTCTCACTATCTCTCTCTCGTTCTTTCTCTCGCTGTCTCTCTCTCTCTATCTGCCTCTCTCTATCCCTCTTCTTTCTACAACTCACCCTTCGGCCTTCTTTCAATCAGCGCAGGGCAGTCGATGCGGTGCGTGTGTGGTATCGCACGCGCCTCATCACCTAGAAAAATCAGTATTCCATCGTATTCTGGAAATTTAAGACACGAATTAAGGCTAACTTTAAGATACCTACCAGTATTCTTGCATATACACCTCCCCATCACATTGTCCCACTGGGCAATCGTGGGATCGCAGAATTGGTCGCAGTACTTCCCGAGTCGAAGCGGTGGGCAATCGCAGGTTGCTGAAAAGTTCATGTCTTAAGGGAGCGAGAGAGTGAGAGAGAAAGAAAGAGCGAAAAGATGAACACACACCTCCTCGAGTTCCATTTCTTTCCACTTCACCATGGCACGTCAGCTCGCAGTTTTCGCCCATGTATTGGCCGACGCATTCGCATTTTCCGTCACTGTAAATTAATTAATTAAGCAAATTGTAAGCGGCAGGAGAAAGAGAGAGAGAGAGCGAGAGAAAGAGAGAGAGAGAGAGAGAGAGAGAGAGAGAGAGAGAGTGAGAGAGAGACCGAGCCATACTTACACAAGTGTCCCATTGTTGATACATTTCCTAAACTCGCATCTGGGTCCCTCGAAAAGCGGCTCTCGCCCCTGATGCAAGCATGCGCATCCGATCTTGCCATCAGCTTCGCGCAGATATCCATGGTAGGAGCAGTCCTGCACTATCCAGGTTTTCACTGAAAACGGTGCGTCTTAGCCAATCTACAAAATTTTGGGGAATGAGGGCAAAATTCGGCGTTTTTCCAAAAAATATAAGAAAAAATACCTAATTCATCGGCCATCCTTTGATTTCCGATCGGATACGGGCCTGTCTCATCTGCTGTGTTAAAGTCGAGGCCGGTACCGTAGACGTCCTGAAAATGTAGTTTTTAAAGCGCTCAGAAAATGCCAGAATAGACCGATCCCGTCGACTAGGTCTCGACAGCTACGCAATACTCCAAAGGACGTATGAAATAAGATTGACGCGTAGCTGTCGAGACCTAGTCGAATCAGGAAGTTGATTTCTCGCGTTTTCTAGCTCCTTTAACGCTGAAATTCCGATACTTACCTTGTGATGGCTGTGAGGTAGTAGTGAGAAAATGTAGATCAAGGCGATGAGTAATATCAACAGCAGCGGGCCCACCCACACTTTCCCCGATGACATTTTGCAGCCTGGAGAAGTTGGATGTGGGGCCGAAGAGTGGAGGCGGCTTCTAAAAAATGGAATATTCACAATTTCAGAATTTGATCATACACTAAGAATAAGTTATCAACTTTAAAAACGGAAAAGTTTACGAGACCACGATTAAAAAATTTATAGCAGCCATCTAGTTTGCAAATCGAATTAACTCCAGCAAATTTAAACTCTTGACACGATAACTCGTAAAAAGTTCGGATTCTTGGCAGCCTTAAAGGACTTGTGAAGGCGAGTAACAGCGTGTTTTTGATAATTTCAATTTTTTTCGATATTGGCTAGATTTTGGTTCTTTGGCATTGTCGGGGGGAGGGGGCGGATTTCATGCCGAACGCAAAATTTTTTCTTTTGAATCCGGTTTTTATGATTTAAAAACTATTTAATAAAACCAAATAATGACTACCGAAAGCGAAAACTGGTTCAAAATTTTATTAAATACAAAAATAGTGGTTTTTCGGCAAATATCTCCGATTTTCGACCAAACTCTCCCATTTTTGAAAATTTTAATGTTTTTGAAATAGTTTTACGAGCTTAAATATGGTTAAATTTTATTAAAAACAGCATTAAAACACTTACTATTACGTTAATAAGCCTTTCTAGAAAAAGTTGATTCCTTCCGATTGCTTCCAAGTCCCTTTAACATCATATGTAAATTTACCTCGCCCTTTGCGACACTGGGTACGTGAAAAATGGCGGCGGCAGCATAGTTAAATCAGGTCAGAATATTTGCGAGTACGTTCCGCTACTAATGTCAATTCGAATCGATCGACCACCCGGAAAGCAAAGGCCACTTTCGGTCGGTTTCGAGAGTCGATGAGGAGTAGAAGAAAAATTGAGGGGTGGTGGTGGGTGAGCATGTTTACCAAAGTGCTTCCTCCCGCTCTCTGGTCACAAGGCCATCACACAACCATCCACACTACCTATGCCCCCCCCCCCCCCCCCGGAAAGTCACCGGTTCGGGGGTAATTATCAAAATTTACGACCCGCGCCATGGGCGTTGCAGTTTTTGGAGGGTGTTCCGATGAGAGGAGCAGGTATTTTTGGGAAAAACAACGCTGGATTTCCAGGAAAAACTAGCTGATTCACGAGATCACAATTTCCGTGATTTTCCATGACAAAATTTGCCTCTAGGTTGCTTTTAAAACAAAAAATTCTAAAATCGATCTTTTTAAGTCACGACAATTCTGAATTACGTTGTTTTTCGAAAAAATTATAAAATAAAATTTTTGAAGAATCGACCAGCGCTATTTCAAGTTCCGTGTCATTTTAAATTATCCAGACTATTTATAGATTTTATATGAAAATTGTGTACCACAATACTTCTGTTTATTTTTCATGTGGAAATTTTGAAAATATCCCAAATTTATGAATTTCAGAGTAGAAATTTGGAGCAAAAGCGATCAATGCTGTACAATTTTTAATTCTTCGATACCTAGCAATAAGAGCACCTCCCTAAATCATTAAAGGGATGCCCAACCTTTTCGAGGCTCAAAAAGCAAAAACCATGCCGCGGGTGGGGGTCGAATCCGGGACCCCCGTTTTGTAGGCCTGGGTACCATCCATTAGGCCATAGTGGCAAGCCATTGGGTGGGATGGGGAAGCCACACGTGGGAAAGGTTGCCGAATTTATGCCACAAATGGCACGCCATTGCCGCACAAAATTCGCGCGTCATTTGTACTGCCCGGAATCCATAACTATATATTTGCCGCCAAAACCTTGGATAACCCTTTAACAGCTTGACCAAAAATATTAATTAGGCTACAAAAAACTGTAGTGTACTCCGTTCGGCAACGATTATAAAAATCTAAAATCTTGCTCGATATCAATTTTAAAAATATTGTATTATTATCATGTTTTATCCCTCCAAGGCTTTTTGAATTGAAAAAATTATATGTATTAGGACATCATTAAAGCAGCTTTCACTACAAAAATGAAAGGCTACAAAAGCCGCGTGGCAACGTAGTCACATTTTTTAAGTTTTTCCGGTAATTAAGGTCATTTCTAAGGAAGAAGCAGCGTCGTAAAAAATTGACGGCAAAGATTCCGAGGGCAGCTGACGGAGGCTGAGAAAGAGAAAGAAGAGGAAAAGGAAATTGAAAAAAGCCATATGGTGTCCGTTTCAAATTTTGGGCCCCCGCCGCGGAGAATGAACGTCGACAGCTAGCCACCAACCGGCAGGCAAGAGCCAAAAAAAATAAAATAAAAACGGAGCGCCCCGGACAGCCGGGTTGAGATCCCAAAGCGTGATAACCCCTGGGAATCGGGATGGATCGATGAAATGTCACCTTGGGAAATCTGTTCTGTTTTTCAGGGTCTCGATTTTGGCAAGTCTGGCCTTGTGGCTTTTAGAAGGCCCAGAATCAAGCATTTTAGGTGGGAAAAGCCTAGAAGCTCAAAAACTAGATATGCATAAAAAAAGCTCGCGTCGGATGGCTGCCATTTTTACGGGACCAATCTCTCTGGGCCTAAAGTATTAAGAAAGCTATTATCCAACATTTTTAGGTGTTTGCCTGGCACAAAAAAAGCCTAGAGTGAACAGACATAGAAATACCACGACAAAATCGGAATAGCATCTCCGTTTTTGTAGCCTCCTTGCGAAAGTCTCCCCCTATTTAAAAGGCTATGCTCCGGTGGTAAAACAAAAAGTATCTCTTGCTGCATAAATAACGTGGCGTTCGGGAGGTGCAAATCTCTGTAAAGCATTTTTGTGGCTTTGACAAAATCCCATGCTCGAATCTTAGGATCGATGCTCAAAACCCGTTGAAACAAATTCCCTGTTTCGGCTTCGAAAACTTCAAAAACCCAAGCCAAGAGGGAGCAGGAGCCAAAGAACCACAGATATGTCATAAAAAAACCTTGTTATTGTCTTTTCAGGTGTAAATAATCTTGTGGGGGTTAGCAGGGGGTAGGATGTATGAAGGAGAAACACCCGAGGACCCCGATGACCGGCACATCAATCACCTGGGATCGGGGAGAGATTGGGGGAATGGGGGGAGAGGGCAGAGAAAGGAGAAGAGCGAGAGAGAGAGAGAGAGAGAGAGAGAGAGAGAGAGAGAGAGAGATAGGCAAAGCAAAAAGAAGTGACAAGCGGACCACGGGGTTTTGTTGAACAGACCCACAAGCCCAGCGCAAATTTCGGTGAGAAATGGACGTTCGGTGGGCGCAAAAAACAGCTGGCTGGGTGGGACTCCGGAAAATCAAGGTCAGCAGGTTCAGCTTCCACATTAAGAACCCGGGAATCGATTTAAAGGGCTGATTTTCCTATGCATAAAAAGCCTATCAAGAATTTTTTGTGGTAGAAAGATTGAAGCTCGCTTAGGCGGAGGAAAATTTCCCTTGAAGCCATGCATGATTTTCTAGACTCTTCTAAAAATCGACGCAAAAATAAGAATAAAAATAAATATCTGAAACTTGAAAAAATGGACTGAAGATCGCCAGCTTTTTATGACATTCGTCGATTCAGCTCGACGCAACCCGTTTTTTTGTTGGACGAGCATCCACATATGCTTGCTGGCGCTCTCCCTTCAAAAAACCAAATTTCAATCAAGACAAAATAGAAATTTGTGGATAGAAAGACGTGTAACGTATGCTAATTTCAGGCATAGGCATATAATGGATCTTCATGTCCATACTTTTAGCATCTGAGACATTTTTCCAGTAGTTTTCGCTTCGTAAAAGATGAAAGCTAGCTGGGAAGACTTTCTAATTGTCAGTTGTTTCTTAGAAACCGTAATAATAATAGGGTTAAAAACAAGGTTTCAAAATCTTGGCAACCCTCCAAGCCCCATAAATCAAGCTGGCGAAAATATTGGGACATATACTCTTGGCTTTCCGAGGGTTAGGTGGGAGGCAAGGTAAAGCCTCGTGAATTATTTTTGAGGTTAGCCGGAGGACAGCAGGCGAGAGAGAGGGAGAGGAGAGAGAGAGAGAGAGAGTGAGAGAGAGAGAGAGAAAGCGCGACGCAAGCCAGCGAATGTTTTGCTTTTTGGGGCGGGGGCTGGCTCACGTGTGCTATGCTTGGGTTGAGGGGGACATTCGTTTTGGAAGGTCCCCCCGCGCCGCTTCTGCAACAACAAAATAAACGCGCCCTTTTCGGCTGCTGTATAAATATACAGGCCTGTTACGAGTAGCCAAACGGAAAAACGGAAAAAGGTGGCCAGCTCACGCAAATTTGTTAATTTAAAGCTATTTGTCCAAAATTGCCAAATTTGTGATGGTTTTTGAGCCGTAGAGTGCCAGCCTTGAAAAATTGGGAATGCAATGTTTTAGAGTGTTACATTATTTTAGCGGGACCGTAACGGATATAAAAAGTTAAGGAATTCTCAGAAAACGAACAAGATCTGAGAGATTTGGGCCAGGACTTGATCAATGACAGTCAAAAGATCACCTAGCGGCCAGAGATAGGGTTGACGCACGAGAGAGAGAGAGAGAGAGAGAGAGAGAGAGAGAGAGAGATAGAAAGATAGAGATAGCGAGAGAGAGAGAGAAAGAGAGAGAGAGAAAGAGAGAAAGAGAGAGAGAGAGAGAGAGAGTGAGTGAGCGCTACAGGGAGAGTGGGAGTAGACGCGCCCAAATTTATTTTTCGATTCATCATCCTTCTGTCTCGGATGCTCAACTGATTTCGAGAGCTTCTGACCGATGAATTTTTAGGTTCAGAGCTTCTTTGGAACCCTAGGTTAAAGATTGCCGCCTTGGAATCATCAGTCAACCACCCAGAAGAATGACGGATTGGCCGCATTGTCATTTTTTTTGCTAGAAAAATGGCCCCAGACGATGATGAGGGTGATGATGGGGGCATGAGAAAAGTGCAAAAAAATGGAATGTGAATTCGTCTAGGGCTTGAATTTTGAAGAAAATTGGAGGTTCATGAAATTGAAAAAAGAAAATTATTCGATTGGAATTTTATCATATATTGTATCCAACTTCAGGCAATTTTCTACAAAGTTTTCTCGGCGATTTCCAGATAGAAAAAAGTAAGATATTTTTTCCTGGCGTCCCAGTCCCTTTCAAATCCCCAAAAACCCGATCAATCCCGCAATCCAGTGGCCAAAAACCCCAGACAAATTTTATGAGCTGACGAACGACTCGGCCCGAGCAGTGGGAGGGGATAAAAAGGCGACTGGAATCAAAGCTTTTTGCCGGCCTCCCGATTTCTGGCTCTTTTGCCTTCTTTTCCTTGATGGTGCCGTTGTTTTGCGTTGGTGGACATGGGGCCCTCCTTTTCCTCCTCCTCGTTGAAATCGGCTTTCCGGCTGTTTATCGCTCCCCTCGGGGCTTTCCGGGGGCCGGCCGCTCGGCAGTTCTCACCGCTGGCCCCGGAAAATCGAGAAAAACGCAGCGGCGAATGGCCAAAAACCCCCGGGGCCCCACTAGAGAAAAGCCGGAAGTTGGGTTTCCAGAGTTGCACTTGCCGAACAAGTCGGATGTCCGGGTAGGGTAACGGAATTTGTTGTTGTTTGTAAAGTTGGGAAGACGCTGACTTCGTTAGGAAACTCGGATGGATCCTATAGGAAAAAGGCATCATCCTCTTTACAAAAAAAAAATTCAAAATTCCGTTTCTTAAAATTCTAGAATTTGGGATCGTCTCGCGAAAAAGGTGGTTAAGCCGGAAAATTAGTGGAAATGTCATAAAAGCACGCAAAATTCCTATCGGGAATTGAAGCCTCCAACTGTCGTTCTCCCTTTCAAAAACTTGCCGTTTAATGGTTCAGAGCACGGGTTCTCAAATGGCCTCTGCTAACTTGCCCTGAAAAACCGGTAGCCTCAGCTTGTTCTCAACGTTGCGAGAATTCCCTAATGGTCTATGTTATCTGGTCCGCCAAAGACCATCCAAAAATGGCGCTAAATTTGATAAGCGCTTCAAATGTAACGAAAAATTTTCGAATTCGATTCGAAGTTTTCAGCCACTAGAACTCGACAAAAATTCTTTAAAGGCTTCTGGCAGATGACCAGTCGGGCTCTAGCAAACCTTACGTTATAATTCTAGAAAGTATAATAAGCAGAAAAAGAAACGTATTTCGTTACATTCCTATAGACATCTGGTTCAGCAGCAAAAATCCATGAATTTCAAGGTTTTCTGCTTCGAGGCCCGTTCAGAAAACGGAACACACCTCTGGGAAAAATCGGCTCAAACAAATGCATGGTCTTTATGAATAGCTACACTACGCCTCTTTACGGAAAACGAATTATACGCAGGAAATGGCAACTGGCTGGAAAAATGGAGGAGGAAGGGGAATCTGGGGTATTCAATTTCGGGGCGGAACGGCAAAAACGCGTCTCGTTTCTTCCAGCGCCGAAAATCCATTGGATTTGGTCGGAAATCTGATTCGGAAGATACGGACAGATGGGCAGACAGAAGTACAAAAAGACAGACACCAAAAAAGCCAAGCGGCGGGATTCAAAAAAAATGCAATTTCCGGTTCTCTAACGAAAATTATGAGAGCCTTTACCTTACTAGTTTATGAATTCCACATTTGCCTGAGATTTTATCTCTTTTAGGAAAATTTTAACCTGCCGGCATTTTTAAGCAAGCTTTTTGAAGACATGGGGAAAATGTAGATTTCGCGGGCTTTTTAAATACGGTCTAAAGCATGTAATTTTTTTAATAGTCAGAATACTTAATCGCATGAAAATCTAAATATGCTATGCATCAAAATAAAATTTAAAAATTAGCATAAATTAGGGTTTTTCCTATTTAAACAACCCATAAAACATTAGATTAACTAAGAAAATTCAAAGCAATAATCCATTGGAAAAAACGCTAAAAATACACCCGATTTTTAGACCCCTGAGAAGCCCTAAATCGGAAAATTGGCAAATTTTCCCTTCCGAAAAACCGGGATTCTGCTTTTACTCAGATCTACTGAAATTGGCAAACGCCTCTTAACGATAGATAAACAAAATAAATGGATGAATATGAGCTGTTTACGAGGTACGAACTAAAGTTAATGAGTGTCAATGACAATTGTTTAAATCGCATTTCCTACCCCCGCTTAAATAAGAAAAATTAAAACTACGCTAAAGGGGAGAAGTTTAAAAGTCAAAAAGGTTGATGATGGTGAGGGGTGGGTGAAGGGGGTTGGGGGCCCGCCTTGGGGCCCACGAGAATGGATCGATCCTAGCGAGGGGAGGAGGAAGCAGAAAAAGAAGACGAAGAAGAAAGGGGAGAGAAGAAGAAGCTGCCAGTCTCCCTAGCCCCATGAAGTTCACTCACCCTCCCCCCCCCCCGCTCTCTCTCTCTCTCTCTCTCTCTCTCTCTCTCTCTCTCTTCCTCCCATTTCACTCGAACCCCCCCGTTCAGCATCCCTCAAAAAATGCCTCTTCCTTTTGGAATTTTTCAACGCCTCAACGGGGAGAAATTTTCGCCTGGGCCCTAATGGGCCCTTGGGCCCTAAGAAGAGCCTTGGAAGAGCAAAAAAATTGGGGCTTAAAAACCCGGCGCGTTGAAGACAATTGGGAGGCGATGAAAGAGCCCCGGTTTCGAGCTCAGCCCCAGAGGCCTGCCATCGGTTTAAACGAAATTTTTTTTGCGGCGCTTTTCAAAGTGTCAAGCGCCTTGGCTCCCAAATGCTCTCTGCTAGCCTGCCTTTAGCGAATTTATCGGTAGCTCCAAGGCCCGAGGCGAAATGTCAGAATTAATGGTCTCCTCATTCCGGAACTACAAATTCAAAAAATTTCGCATTCCCGCATGATGTCAGAACATAAGATGGCTTTGTGTGAACTCGACTTTTTATGCTAATTACGCCCCGAGACCACCGACCTCAGAAAGGGCCCGACTAATTTGCCGAAGACCCCGGTTTTTGTGAGCTCCAATGACGGATAAATTTGAATAAATTCGAAAGGAAATTGGTAGGAAAATTGGGCATTCGGGGTGAAATTGAGTTTTCTTTGTCTCCTCCCAAATTCGAGCCAGCCGCAGCTCGCCTTCTCAAGATACCAAAAAAAAAAGTTGGCCTTTTTCCGGGCCGGCTGGCGGCTCCCGGGACTGGAATAATCCACTTTGAGGAGGAGCAGGAGAAGACGTGAGCCGGAGACAGCAGAATCTAGAAAAGCTCCTCCTCCCGGAGCTAGGGACCGAATTTCGTGGCGGGACCGGGACTTAGATGGACCCAAACAAACATGTTCTTCTAAATAAGGAGAAGGAGGAGGCTGGCTTCAAAAATTGCTCAGGTTGTGCGGTAAACATACCCCTGTAAATAGGATTGTAAGGTAAACTGCGGGGGAGGATAGGAGAACAACATTTTGACGAGTTGAGCAGGTTTACTCGCTGGACTTTGAACCGCAAAGAGAGAAAAAATGAGAAAGAGGAGAGCGAGGGAGACAGGGAGATGAACGAGAAAACGAGAGACAAGGAGAGTGAGAATGAGAGCGAGAGAGATGGAGAAAAAGAGAGGAAGAGAGATCAAGTGAGAGCGTGAGAGAGAGAGATAGGGTGAGAGAGTGTGAGCAAGATAGAGATACATTATCGGCCAGAACAGCAGAATATTACCACCTTTTTCTATTAATGGCATAAATAGCAATTTCGATCGAACAATTTTAGACAGAGGCACCGAAACAATGTTTATTACTACAAATTAAACATTAAAATAAAATCTTTAAAATTCTTCAATTCCGCGTGAATCCTTGCCAAAGTGCTGACGGGCTCGTGCTCCAATCCCATCGTAGAAGCAGCGCTTCATCGGCTCGAGTCTGGAAACGACGAGATTGCTAGAGCGACAGAGAGAGAGAGAGAGTGAGTTAGAGAACTAGAGAAAAATCGTATACCAACTTTTCAACACATGGCAGGTAGCTGTGGTCCACCGGGGTGAATTTGTCCGGGGTCTGGTCGCAGAAGAGTACGCATTTTCCGCCTGAAACAAATTATATCAATTTTCTGTTTAATAATTACATTATGTAATTACATTACATAAATATTAAATTGCGTTCTTTGCCAAGAACAAACCGGCCAACGATTCCCCGACCCCAGATTCCACACAACATTTTCGTTGGTCCATACCCTAGAATAGAAGAATTAAAATTTTGAAGAATTTTATACTAAAAGTTAACATTTAAATGTCAATGTTAATCAAACCTGGGCGGAGCAGAACTGGATTTCCGGGACGAATTCTAGGGGGCATTCGCTGTGGCCAAGGTAAATGTCTTCCAGGGCCTAAAAAATCAGATAACATACCTTTAACTTGAATGCTACCGTTTTAGTAAAAAAAAGATGAAAGATCTTTTGCTAACCTGCTTGGTATAAGCATTGAAGTGGCACAGCTGGCGGCAGGCTTTCGGAAGCGCGCGCTCCTCGCAGCACCGGTGGAACAGGTGGTTGGGATTCTGAAATGGAAATAACTTTATGCAAGAAAAACGCCGCAGATCTGAAAGCCTATCTGTCCTAGATATTTTTAAAGGGACCGGGAAGCCTACAAAGCGACACAAAATTCTCCTAAATTGAAAAAATAGAGAAATGGAAATTTGGTGTTAAATCGGATCCGAAATTGTATCCAAGCCGAAAGAATGTCTCCCTAACTTCTCATGCCCTTTAAAACGACTCCCCGCTTACTGTAGCGCGCATAGGACTCGGAGAACCACTCTTCCGTCGAGAAAGTGAAAAATTTCTGCTTTTGACGTCGTTCCGCTTAGGTTTTTGTGCTTGCCGGTCCCTTTAAAATCCATATTTCTGAGTGTGGGAAGTCTAGAGCTCGAATTCCATACCGTAAGCAGTGGCAACGTCTCCTGGTCAACCCTCAAGTCCGTTCGGTTCCAGATTGACAGGCCAAAGATATTCCCGTCGTCTTCGGGGCTTGGGACTTGCATCTGAAAGAAAAAATGGGCGTAATTTGGCGTAATTCGTACCTCAGCATCATTCGTCTTGGCCGCCCTGGCCCGGGCTTTGGCTCGACATCCACAGCATCCGCAGGCCCCGTTTGGTGAGCACTAAAACGCAGAATTTCATCGATTTTAAAGGAGTATCGCTGCGTCGTTTTCCGCCTCTTTAGAGGTAGCGGAAACAGTATCGTTGCGTAGTTTTGACGCGCGTCGAAGGAACATCTAATGTGAGGCCATTTGATGCGTCTTTGTTTGTGTTTTTGGGCTCTTTGGAGGTATCTATGAAGCGTATTCCCGCGTAGTTTATGCCCACTGAAGTTTATCTGTAAAGAGTATTTCAGCGTAGTCTGCTCCTTTCGTTGAGAAAATAGTTTTTGAAAAGTTACGACAATCCAGGGCACTAAATAAAGTCGTTTTTAGTATCTTTTGAAAGCCAATGCAAAAACCCACCGCCTGGCCAGTCGCCAGCAAGCAGAAGATGATCAATAACAGCGGCAAGACCTCCATAATATCGCGTTGTACTGGTCATTGGGTCGTACTTTTATACGCGTCGTTCATATGAACAAGTAGGGGACAATTATCCTCTTCGCTCGCCTACTTCAGCTGACCATTGGGGTGCTTGAGATCTGCCATATCCACCCACTTTACGTCCGTATACGCATATTGTTTATGCCGTCATTAGGTATCGCCGCGTATTTTTGGGGATGCTTGCTGAAACAGGTAATAAAGCCGCATGACACAAACGTTACGAGGCGTAATTTCGAAAAAAAGATCGAGATACCGGGTTTTAAAGGTACCGGGTAGACAAAAAACTTGCCGCGAAAAGCTTGTAGATGCCGGGTTTTCAACGGGGCCTGGAAATCACAAAAAAATGAAGTTGAAAAACATGAAGCTACAGTGTTTTAAAGGGACCGGCAGGCCAAAAATATGTGAGTACCGGGTTGTAAAGGCATCAGCAGAGAAAAAAGCAAAAAGTGATAAATATGGAGCTACCGGGTAACAAGAAACAACGAAAAAAAAAGAAAACAACGAAAAACTACGGCGTTTAGCTGTGCTTCTGGGAAACATCTAGAATATTACATTACCTAAGTTAATAAATGACACAAGTCAATCCGAACCGGAACCGGAATCACGCCACAACATCACATATGATAACTTGGGTTCAAAGTCGAGTTAACCTCGCCTTTGACAACTTAATGACGCACGATTTCTTTCACAAGTTAACAATTGCAAATCACAGAAACAAATGCATTGCCCTGATAAATTTAATAAAACGGAACAGATGTGTGGCCAAGGCGCAAAAATGTTTTTGGAAATCTTTTCTAGTTTCTAGTCCAGTCTTTATTTCGGTTAAACTTCGGCTTTAGGATTCGATTCTTAGCCGTTTTATCCCTTTCAAAGGGTTCGGGAGCCCATAATTTTGTCTTTTTGATTTATTTTTGCGAACTTATTGCCTGCGTGGAAAAGTGACGTCGAAATGTAGTTAAGTGAGGTTAAGCCCATCAAGCCCAGCTGAGTTAAGCCTATCTACCGATATGTTTAGCTGGCGGCGAGGCGCAAAAGGCGACGAGAATTTTGTGACGCGGCCTCTCTTTCAAAAGAAAACGCTCGTCAACCTGAAAAATCCAGATACATAGGTTGGCGGGCTTGAAAGCCATCGAATTTTCCGATGTCCAAATTCGGTCCTATCCTTTTTCTCCCTCTGATTCACGCGCCACTCCCCTTTTTAGGTCAAGATGCGGGTCATACATTGTGTCCTCCTCGCGTTGACATTACCTCACAATTGTCAGGTTAGTCAGGGATTGCTCTGGATCTGAAGTCAATTTCAAGCTCTGGACCGCCCTGCAAATCGACAACGAAACCAACAGCCTGAAGGTCAGCGGCCAGAAACTTCCTATGAAGGTCGAGGTAAACTTTGGATACCTTAAATAAAAATAGAAACTATAAATCGGGTATTCTATTGACATTCAATAGTCGGAAAAATAGTATTAAGCCTACAAAATCCTTAAAAATGGCTTCAATATCTCGAAGCACGCTGTTTTGTTCTCAGATATTTTCCTTTCCGGTCACTTTAATTTTTCTATACCTCTAATTTCATCATTCGTTTTGACTTTTGCTTAAACTTTATTTTAAAAGCTAACTTTCAGGAAAGCACTGCTTCTTCACCTTCTTCATCCACATCCGCTCTTCCCCAAACCGCTGAGTTGATCATCTACTGCTTAGTGGTGATCGGCATTATGACCCTCGGATTTCTGGGCTATTGCGCTCTAAAATTGCATCGTAACGCCAAGGCCGAACCTTTACGCGAGAATCCAGATGCCGCTCCGTTAACCGATTTCCTGGCTCCAAGGGACGCAGTTCCGAACCATCTACAAACCACGGGTGATACTTAATTGTATTTCGATCGTGTACCTTTATTGGTTGTCTTCGATAAATACGCAATTTCTGAAACAATAAATTCTCGTATTTAGCATATTGGCATACAGTAACCCAAAGAAAACCAGCATCAGCAACACGAGTTATCTCCTTTATGACCCCTGGCGTCACCGTGCCGGTCAGCTGGCGAGTCTGTAAAGAGCAACGGAAAATCATAAATTGTGAACGCTATCTTAAGAAAGTTTAACCTAATTATTATGGGCTTAAATTTGAACCGGAATTACGTTTTTGCTTCGTACTTTCGTTGACCCACCGACTAGCCGTGGGAGCAATTCAAATTTTTCGGCAAAATCGCGAAATTTAGGCATTCCGCTACGTCGAACGGTGAAAATAACTCTCTAAACGGCTGGCTAATGGTCTTTATTGGCTTACCGTACCCTGGGAAAAACCGGGGAGAGGGCGGGCTGACCCCACGAAAAGGTCATCGTCGTATTGGCTCTTTGCCGCGCCACCGCCTCCAGCTGGGGAGGCTGGGGTGGAAACGGAGCAACATATCGTCCTCTTCAGAAAGCGCCTAAAGAAAAGTGGTAACGTTAAAAACAATTGTATACCCTCAGCTCTTGATTAGATACTTTACGGATTAGATATTTTCATTGACAAAACGCTAAGATTGGTGATGAAAACCGAATATCCGAATTTTTCTGCACATCTCCGGTTTTTTATCCATATATACAGCTGGGCCACCAACGTGATTATCTAAATGACGCATCGATCGAGTTCATTAAGAATACTAACTTCTGATGGCCACAGCAGATCAGTGGCGTAGCCGTAGATCAGACTCCTCGGCAGCTGGTTCTCCTGGACGAGTTGTGAAGCTTTTTTGCATACTTAAATATATTACGCATCTGGAAAACACTTGCTGCATGGCAAAGAGGCTTACCGTCGCGCTCGCCACCAAGATCCGCTGATTTCCGCTTCAACAATTTTAGTTTTTAGTCGTTCGGGGGGCGTCTTCGTCCTCGCCTCAGCCAAATTTCTCTTGAATTTTGCTGCATATTGTGTCCTCAATGCCTTTGCTTGATACCGATTCGGACTTCCAGAATCTGAACAGCATATGGTGGATTTTTCCTAGGTTAGCTTACCCGTGCCGATCCTGATTGAGTAGTTATGAGGCCGCAGCCGCAGCCTACAGGCACATTTTTCGCGTCAGCCGGCTGGCACCCGGCTGGTTGTAGTTTGCTGTCTGTTTTTAGAAATCTAAACGATGAATTAATGACTAAAAGGTTATTACCACCTTGAAAACATTCGGAAGCTGGTATTATTCGTACTTAGGTGGGATCGCCATAGAAGCTCACACACTAATGGACGATTATGGTGCCCCGGAGGTGCTCACTTTCCCGAAAGCTGTTTATCTAGATCCAGAACGCTGCCAATAACGACAAAAATGTCATTCCCACCCTTAAAACTACCGGCAGCTGCTGTTCGTTATATTTAGGTTGGATGGCCGTGGTGTTGGAGACACTATTGCTGGGAGGTCGATTCTCATGTCGAGGTGCTGCTCACCTTCCACACAGCTGGCTATTTGTAAAGGTCTGGAACAATGCGTGGTTAGAGGATTATTACCACCTCGACAACATCGGGAAGCGGGTGTTCTCCATGTTTAGGTCGACTCCAAGCTGTCGTGCAAGCATTAATAGTCGGAAACGCTTGTGATGCGTAGCTACGGGCACTTCAGCCTAAAGCCATCTGTGTCGATTTTTCCTACCTGTGTCGATCCTGATTGAGTAGTTATGAGGCCGCAGCCGCAGCCAATAGGCACATTTTTCGCGTCAGCCGGCTGGCACCCGGCTGGTTGTAGTTGGCTGGCTGGTTGTAGAGGCCTAGACCGATGAAATTAACGACAAAAAGGCTATTACCAGCTTAAAAACATCCGGAAGCTGGTATTATTCGTGCTTAGGTAGGATCGCTATAGAAAATCACACACTAATGGTCGTTTCTGATGTCACGGTGCTGACCACCTTCAATGTCACTTTCGAAAAGTTCTGAAACGATGGAGTTACCGACAAAGATGTCATTCCCACCTCTAAAACATCCGGAAGCTGCTGTTCTTCATATTTGAGTTTGGATGGCCGTGGTGCTGGAGACACTATTGGTGTGTGAGGGCCATTCTCATGTCGAGGTGCTGCTCACGTTCCACACAGCTGACTAGTTGTAGAGGTCTGGAACGATGGCTGGCTCATGAAACGCTTATAACGCTTATAACCACCTTGACAACATCGGGAAACGGGTGTTCTCCATGTCTAGGTCGACTCCAAGCCGTCGTGTATGCATTAAGGGCCAGCAAAGCTTGTGATGCACAGCCTCGGGCACTCCTGCCTAAAAACTGATTTCTGTTATTCGTCAAGAAACCTAAGGGCAACGACAATGTTCTGAAAACCGAGACAAACATGAAATTTATAAAAAACAAACGCATATGGAGCCCGACGTCTTCAGAAGTCATCCTCCGTCACATACACGGCGGCCAAGACTTGCACGGATTCCTGAAAAATTTTCACACCAACTAGCAAAGCAAATATAAAGGCTCTCCGACGCCTCATTGATAATTATTTCTGTCTGAAGTTAAATTATCTATGCTATGAAAAAATCAGGCGGCTTTAAATGGACCAAATCCGGCCTGACCTGAAGGGATCGTGCCTCGTAATTTCGCCAGAATCCCTGAATCCGGACCGGTGAAGGCCGACAAGATGGATTACAACCGAAAAATGCTGAATTCTAGAAATTTTAAAATTTTTTCTAGCTGATATGGATTGATGGCTATCAGAATCGGCGGCGGCGAACGCAGGGCTCCAATTGACAGGCTGAAGCCGTCGGGGAGACGGCCTAAAAACTATCGTTGATTTTTCTAAAAACTAATCACTTCAGAGTGCGACTTCAGCGCCGCAAGTTGTAAGTTTTTTTTAAGTTTTTTTGAAGAGTTTGTTTTGCAGACGATTTTGAACGATGGGATCGCACATCACAAAGCCGATTCGATGCCAAATTTACAAGACAGTTCAGGTATTTATTCGACAGTTTTTGACACAGGATTGGTTACGGGGCTTCCTCTCCAAGACTGAATTTTTCAAAAATTGAGGGCAATATTGAATTTGAGGCATGATGACTCTAAAAGCGCTAACGGAGCGATCGCGCGAGGAATCCGCAATTCGGCGCCATCTCGCGAATTCAGTTCATGACGCCTAAAAAAATAAAATTACTTCTAGCACTATTTGGATAGCACGGGAGAGATCTTGGTTGGAAAAGAATTCTGTAAACTTGACCTTTTAGAATAATCGAGGTGTGATTATCAACAACGCCGCCCGGGGCATCGGTTTCGGCGCGGGTGTCGGAATCGGACACCTCTGGCGCACCCATGATGTAAGCTTTTCCAAGTTCAATAAAAATTTAAAACAACCAACCTATCTTAAGGAAGCTCAATTAAAACTTAGCTTACCTTAAAAACTAACCAAGTGCCTACCGAAACTCTTCCTAGGGAGACGACGAGCGACGCCGCGAAGCGGTCCAGGGATGCCAATACTTCACCGAACTGGCCGAACGTATGATCCAGATGAACCAGGTGGGCTCCCTAAATTTACGAAATCGGGTTGCCTTCGCGAGGTAGTTCGCATTCTGTTTCACGCTTTTGGCACCAAGTTTGTCCATTTTTGACGAGGGTTGGGGTGACAGCCGCACCATAACCCCAGCCGCGCCTGGGGCGATTTGAGCTGATAGCGTACGTGACCCCAAAGACCTCAAGCCGTGTTCCTTAAGGCCTTAAGCTAACCACGGGTCGACGGCACCGCAACTTCGCCCCCAGGGTTTGTGACCAACGCCGCAAATTGCGAAAAACGAGGTGGCAAACTTGAAACACTGATCGGTGACTTGGAGAAGTTCAGGGTGAAATGAGCGCCGATGAATCGTTTCAGGTGTGAGCATATCGTCCTGGGGTGGCCTGGAAATTGTAGCTAAAACAAACCTGAATTTTTTTGGGTTCCCAGACCGAACTGCTTCGAGTCGCCCAACTTCGCCTCAGGGCGGTGCTGTTATGTAGTGCATAGTTAGTTTGGCGAACGTAGTTTCAGCCCATTAGCTATGAAAAACATACAACTATCGTACAGACGTTCATCGAGACTTTGACAAACCTACCCTCTACTCGCTTTCACATCTCCAATTTTAGCGTCGGCTGCCAAAACGTCTGATGTCGTTCGCGCAGATGCTGACATGGACGTGTCGCGGCTGCATCGCTTACTTTCATGTGCTCGCTATCTATGTCGCCTTCATCCTGGTAATTCCCTCCTGAATTAGGCCTATAAACGTATAGTATATACACAAATTTTACATTCTGATTTCCAGGTATCGGAACAACCTGCGTCAACACACGGGCGGCGCGAGGAGAAAGAATAAAAAAAAGAGCCGGGGCCATTATCGAATGGTTCCTGGCAAAAATCTATACAAACCATTTTTAATTTACGAATATTCATTTATGATCCATGATTGTTTCTATCCCATTGATTACTTCAGGAGCTTCATTTAAGGCTACTGTTTTTCTTAATCCAGTGAAAAGATCTGAAAAAATGAAACCTTGAAAAAACTTCACAGAGCTATTTTATGATAATTTCATAAAAATTGGCTTTGTGATAGTTTTTACCTAACTTGACTGTTTTGAAATTTTTTAAAATGTCAAACATTGAACTAGACTTAACCCATTCCCTCATTTCACCTTGTGATCGGCGGATTCTGTGATATCGTTGTGATATTCTGATTCTCATGAAGCTGTGAGGGTTTTATGCTGTTGATTTTTATGGTTATTTTTTCCTATTTTTAGTTGTTTTTGAGCTTTTACTTTTTGTTGAATTTGCTGCTTTCGAATAAATAACTAAAAGTTGGTGGTGGTTGCTTTATTTTAGCTTCTGACCTGCATTTCATGAGGCTGGTGGTCGGCAGGCAGACAGGCTTAGGCTTAGGCTTAGGTCTCCGAAATCTCCGCAATTTTTCGATTTGGAGCTGTCGGAGTCAACCCGGAAATCGCAGCCTTCGCCGTGGTTCACATGCCGGCTTGGCGTTTCGATATTCTTCTCCATTAATTTACATTTTATAGCTTACCTCTGATGTTTTCAAAGCTGTCGCCCAGCCTACGAAGCCTTCATGTTTCTGGATGTCGTCGTCAGGTAGTGATGAATCTACAAGACGTGCTGCGTGGCTACAACTGATTCTCAGTGAGTCGCAACTAGATCTCGACCGGCTTACCAGCTACCTGAAACACAAAATATGAGGCTGAAATTTCCACATCAACCTTGCCTGAAATATCAATGATCGTTTTCGCCTATCTAACAGCGGTCTCGAGCTGTCGCGAAGATTTTATTGTCTTGAGCTTGTCTCCGGATGCCGGATACAAGGTGACGTCACGGAGTCGTGATAGCTTCAGAAAGGTACCCGAGGCGAAAGAGAAATGAGATTTTCACCGTAATCCTCGTGGACAGATTTTAGTTCGTTTTGAACTACAGGGTTTCCCAAAATCCCCCTCCTTCCATCCGTTTTTTTCAAGTGAGCTATCTATCGAAGCTCTGGACGATCGAAAGGCCTCTGCTCTTTCCGTTTTTAAAAGTTTTCAACGTTTTCGGATTTTTCAATCAATTTGCCTTGCCAAAATTACAGGTTTTTTTCCAAAAATTTACTTTGACCCGACTCCAGCTCCAGCTCCAAAATTAATACTAGATGTGTTTCTTCAATGGCTATCGCAACTAGCGTGAAAGTTCCGAAATTGTGATTTTGTAAGAAAACCATTTGCTCAGAAACAAATTTGGTCTACTTCGGTAAAAATATTGGAAATTGTGAAAAGTTGGGGTTTTCGAAAACTGGAACGAAATCGAGAAAACACAGCTGGTATGGCGCTTAAGCGGATTCAACTAATTTTTTTGAAAAAATACTGGTTGCGTTGGCAGGAAAAATTCGGGAATTCGGGACGTCTACTCCGTTTGTCGAAACCTATGGATGTACCAAAAGCGTAAAAATCGCACACGACTCGTAGCGGATATTTTGGGGACACCCGCGAGTATACAATACAATGACATACTTGTAATAAGTGGTCGCAAGCAATCACTCCATCGTCACTACACCGATCAGAAGCCGGAATTATCTAAAGCAGACGGCTACGATTTCGCACTACTTTCCACCATCTTAAACCATATACCATAGAATAAAGGCTAGCCAAGGAATACCAAATTCCCCGATAAGGGGCGGCTATTCAGTTAATCGCTTGCTCGTCGTGTTCTATCGGGACTGTTGCCGTAGGGGGATTGCACAAATTTGCATACGGCCGGTGAATGTGAAAATGGACGAGAGAAGTTCTTCAAAAAAAGAAAAGATCTTTAGGGGATTTCCAATAGAAAAAGAATTAATTTCAGGTGATGCTTCTTCTCGACCCATCACCTCACCTTCCATTAATGCTTCCAATTCTACTGCTTTCTAGAAGGTGCCAAATCTTTAAAGCAATGAACCGTCCGTATTTTGGCTTACGTTTGCCAGGTATTCCCCGTTTTTTATTGTTTATTATCATTCCTGATACACTGAGTGATATTATCAATTTTCAAACTCTCCGCCGTGGCCTGCCTGTACAGAGTAGCCGGTACGTACCAGCCGGCTGATAAAGCGGCCCTCGCCACCGGCCTAAATTTCAAATTTTTTGCAATTATTTCCTAGAATTTCGTTTTTCCAAGCTTTTTTCATAATTTTTCACAGCTAAAACAGACTACAGAATTTTTAAGAATGGACGACAGCCTGAAGCTGCTCAAGTTGCTCGTCTTCGTCTTGTGTCTATGCGGACCATCCTGCCAGCGACCTTTGGTGAGTAAAAAAATGCTTGACTCTATAAGAAAGCTTATTTTTAGGCCAATATCAACGATTCAGCCATGGACAAGGAATCGCCACGCCTGCCGCCCCAGCCGCAGGATGAGCAGGTAATTATAATGTCTTATAGAGATATTCTAGACGATATGCCTTTTCGCAATTCGTTCAAATCTCAGGATACTGCCGGGACGACCAGCGACGGCTACGTGAAATTTATCGCTCCGCCGGATGTCGTTTCGGAACAGCACCACCATCGCTCGCCGGCGACCGACGGTGAAGGACAGCAACCAATGGTAAAAATTTTTAGCAAGCCAAATATTGAAATTTTGGATATTTAGAAAACGCCAATTGGTAGAACGTCAAAAAATATACCAAGAGATTTTTTGCAAAGCGAAAAAATATATTATAAAAGTTTTAAAGCCTAAAAACTAATTTTGAAAACTATGGGCAGATAGGATTACGGGGGGGGGCATATTTTCGGCGTTTTGCCTATTTTCAATATTTTGAAAATCCTATTCGATAGAAGGCCGAAAAATATACTCAGAGCTTTTTTTTTATAGCCCCAAGAAACCATATTTAAAAATGTTATTATGATAAAAAAACTTTGATAGCCCCCCCCCCGTTATTTCCCCGCCCCCTCCGTTATCCTATGTGTCCCTAGCGACAAAATGATTTTTGTTTTGTAGTGTTTTAGCAGTTTCTGTTTAATAACCGGTCGAAAAAATTGAAAGAATCCAAAAAAATGGGCGTTTATCGGGTATTTTTCCTGGGGTTTCGCAAAAATCATAATTTTTCGTTTTCAATAGGCAAAAAAAATTGCAGTATTGGACAGCTAATTTTAATTCAACTTTTCAGACCGGCGGCACCACTACTCGAAACCCAAGGGACAGTGCTAATCGTCGCAGCTTCGCAAAAATCCTCGGTGACTTTCTATCAGGCCTCTACCAAACGGCTTGGGAATGCGTCCTATACGTGGTGATGATCCTCCTCTTGGGGATCTGCGCCTTATGGCTTCATCACATTGATTGGAAAGCTGAGTGCTGTAATCGAGGCTCGACGCTCTCTAAAACGGATCCTCCACGCTGCGCTGGCCGCCAACCTTTCATAGATTCCGAAATTGAGCTCCAACAAATCCCCCGCCCCTAAGTCTCGTCAATTATTTTTTAATCCTGGTATTTGTCAAAAATTTTTTAAATGCAACAAAATCTGGTCAGTCACTTAATATAGTCCAATCATAAGTCCAAAGAAAAGAAAAGATAACCGTGATATCCCCGTTTACCTCGATGTCATCTCGCCATCCAACCCAGAGCATATCTAGACCCAGTTCGATCTCATTCTGAATTTGCCAAAAATCTCAATTCTGTCCGAATACGGCTATTGATGTACGAGTATTGTCATTAACACTGGGTGAACTGCATTTATTCACTTTTCTTGTTCAATAAATTTTATGGCCACCAAAATCGAGCGGATACACGTAATAGGCACACCACAATATTACAATGCTCTTTAGGCGCGAGAGAACGAGATGAGAGGAGAAGGACCTGGAAGAAGCAGTAGCTTTTCTAATATCAGCCAACATTCGCTAAAAAAACTCATTCGTCATCATCGATCAATGCAGTAGATTTTCTGGGAAGTCTTATGAAGCCCTCGCTTACAGTGCCAATCTAAACAGCCATTCGAGGAGGTGATATTTTTATCTCGATTGTTTCCGCGCTTTTTATTATCTAAACTCTAAATTTTGATAAAAATGGAATGTGATTCTTTATAAGGCCGAACTGAATTAATGGAGGACGATTTCCTATACTACTCTATATTATGCACCACAAAGCCGCCAATCCGCTAACAGAACAGTCCCACCGATCCTTCAGGATCCGAAAAAAAGGCCCCGCAGGAGCGCAGACTCGGGAGGTAGCCGAGCTCCTTCATATTGTTCATTAACAAGATTCAGCTCGTCGACGAGACTTCTCAATCCGTACGCGATTAATTACCAATTTGCCCGCATTGAAGGGATTTTTTCCGCCAAAACCCAAACACCGATCGCCATCTATGCTTATCACTAATTTCGCCCCCCCCCCCCCACGAGAAGACGTCCCGCCGGGAAATTGCGAATTCGGTCCATTGGGAGCCCCTGAATTTGTTAGTATTTAGGCAATAATTCGTTTGGAAATTTTTTGCAGAGCAAAATAAAGAATTTTCTAGGCATGGAGATCCGTCTGCTCGTGATGATAATCGTCGTGCTTGCAAATCCGGTTCGGGGTCTCGAGGTGAGCTATTCAGCCGTGTGTTTTTACGCGTATTAGTCGCGATGCTCGGGAAGCCTGTCCAAAAAAAATCCTGACGAATCAGAAAAAAGCCTGGCGGAATCTTCGGGGTCAGGAAACTTTCAAAATAATTCAGCTTCAGGTCGTCCCGTTGACTTCGTCGTCCACCCAACGCATGAAAATGAGGGGGTGAGGGGCGGGGCCTTGGGGATCTAAATTTCCTTATTTGGGCGGCGCAGCAGGGTTATGTCTACAGGGTGTCCCAAAAAAAAGCACCCCCTCTAGCGGCGCGCAGTCGTGTCCGATTTTTATCGTTTAGGTATCTATCGAAAGCCCTTGAAAAGGCGAGCAAACAAGGAGGGTTCATTTTCTTTATTATCTATTTTTATTAGCAAATTTTACGTCCAAAATCCATGAAAACGGCAGATTTACGCGAGATCTGCATGCTAATCGCGAAATTCCTATTGAAAATCTACCTGTTTTTTTAGAAAAACGTTGAATATCCGGCATATGAAAATAAATCTCATAAAATAAATCCCGCTTGTTTTCTCGCCGTTCCGAGAGCTTTCGAATGGTATCAAAATTATCCCGATCTGAGCTTGAACAGAGGGGGGTGGTTTTTTTTGGGACACCCAGTAGGTCAGTCAATTAGGATTATTTAAAGATTCCGTCGAATCAAAACCAAAACGATTTCAGGGCGATGCTGAACCGGCTGAAATCGGCGATGCCAGTGAGAAGTCATGAACTGAGGGCCTTTGCTTCTCCACAACAAGACGTAAGCAGATTGAGGGGAGAAAAAACTGCCCTGAGTTTTAGAACTTCGATCCGACATCCTTACCGCTGGCTGTCCCGCCGTTTACTACAGATGATGGGGTAAGCTATTGAAACAAGCCAAGATTCCAGCTATCCGTCATCAGACACAAAGGAGAGAGAGATAGAGAGAGAGTGAGTGAGAGAGAGAGAGAGAGAGAGAGAGAGAGCAAGAGTGAACTAGAGCTAGCGAACGCGAGTAGCTAGGGAGGACGTGGGTGAGAGAAATAGGGCGAGCTAGAAGGAGAGAGAGAGAGAGAGAGAGAGAGAGAGAGAGAGAGAGAGAGAGCAAAGAGAGAGAGAGAGGATAGTGTAATCCTATTTCTACCATCAATCCAATAATTACTTGCAGACAATCGGCCAACAACGCGAATTCGGTCCACATATAGTGAAGGCTCGGGGAACTTCCGCTGTTCTGAAGCTTCCAAACCCTAAGGTGCGGTATTCGAAAGAGACGCCGACTGTATCCGATAATCCATGCCACTTTACAGAAAAACCTCGAGCCTACGAAGCTACTTCCGAGACGTATCATTGACTCTCCGGACATCGCATCGGGTGACCCAACGACAACCAAATCTCCGTCAAAGAGCCCTGAACGGCAATATGACACGCCGTCCGATGTCCCATTCGAAGAGCCCGACGAACAAGGATTTGAAACGACTTCCGACAGCCTTCGCGACGCGGGCGACCACCAGAACCAGTCCGCACCGAGGACGTGCGAGGAGGTCTGCGCCGAAAAGCACTGCTCCTGTTTCGTCCAGAAACATTTCGTGTCCGTCTTCGGGCTAGTGCTTCTGCTAGTTCTGGCCATTATGGGTTGTTACACCGGACTGTTCTGGAAACTCTACGTCTGGCTCGACGATCTCTGCCACGCGAAATTCCAGGTGACCGCTGCCGAAGTGCGAGCTGCGCCTACCAGACGTGCCTTCGAAGACGAGCCGGGCGCGAACGCGCAACTTATACCGCTTGACCTTTACGGGAATGCCGCTCGTCTTTCCAATGATCTCGAACCCTGATGACGTTTGTGTACCGGTGTCAATCGATTGTGCGGGTAATCCAAACCCTTCTATGAACCCCCTCTTGCCTCGGGTTTGTCATTAACACTGGGTGAACTGCATATTCACTTTTCTTGTTCAATAAATTTCATAACTACCAAAAATCGTGTGGAGACGCAGCACTCTAAATTGCATACAGAACACTTTGCGTTTCCTGAACTTTAATTAAGATTATACAGTGGTTTTTAGATTACCGTTACAAACAGTTATCCAAACATAACAAAAAAATTTTAATTATTTTTAGTCTTTGTCATTTTTATACATTTTTGGCCAGTAAGCAAATTTTTGAAAATTGATGGAATTTCTTAACCATTGACAATCGTCTTCCTGGATGTAAAAATTTACGATTAGGTAAGAGTAGGTTGGCCCTACGGTCACTAGCGAAAATTTTTTTAATCAAAAATTTCCGTAAGAAAAGGACAACGGTCCGATTCTCCTCCGCTTACAGTAGTCAGCAAAAGACCGGGTGCGGTAATCGTGCCCCTGGAAAGGTCAGCGCGGCTGTGCCAGCCAATCCATCCTCTCTGGCAGATCGGATGTCAGCATGGCTGGGTGGCAAAAAAAGCGGAAGAATAGCCAAATACGATCAGGAAACGCTGAAAATCAAGGCTTTCTTTCAATATTATTTGTAAAAAAGCTGAAGCAAAAAAATCTTGGATTTACCGTTTAATTAACCAAAGTTTCCGTTTTCCTGGGGATTAGATAGGAAATAAATTTAGTTTTTGAGGCAGACGTCTGTTTCCTGTCCACCAAAGCGTCCCCGTGAATCCTGCCGGGACGACTTCAGACAGTTCACTCGCGCCCGTATTCGACATCCAGTCCTAAGTTTCAATAAAGAAATTTTTAGCTTTTTTCTAACGTTTTTATAAGCTTTTGCGGTTGGTGGCCAGTGATAACGGTGATTTCGGTGTCCCGCAATGAGCCCTGAAGACGGTCGTTTTATCAGTACGAATTCCGACGCAATTTCCGGCCGTAATGGCCGGCTATTTCATGGGGGACTACCAGCCTTTCTTAAAAAAAAAACCAGAAATTCTACAAAACTGAACAATTTCAGGGATGAAAATCCTTCTTCTGCTGCTCATCGGCATCCTCTACATCCCGCTCACCCATTGCTCTTTGGTCAGTGAAAAAGCTTTGGTTTCTTCCAAAAAAATCCAAATAGGCGTTTTCGCATAAGAATAAAAGTGCTAAAGCTCTTTTGTTAGCAGCTTAGCGAAAAAAAGCGGGGTTTTCGGTACTATTCAGGTTCGGGGAAGCAAAAATTTTTTGGGTAATTTTTGGTCATTCTTGGTCATTCTTCATAGTTTTTCTTTGATCTTAGGCGCAGCTTAGCTTAGTATTGGTTTTGCTTAAGCTCGTGCTTAGCTTAGCCTAGACTTAGGCTTAGCTTAGGGCGCGCACAGTTCACTGGCCTTAGCTTAGCTTTTCATAGCTTCGCTGTTTTTGGCTTCGGCTTAGCTCGGTTCAAGCTTGATTTAGCTGAGCTTCAGCTTAGCCCAGCTTAGAACCAGAGCATTGCGCTTGATTAGCCGCTAAAAACTGAACAAATAGCCCAAAAACTACCTCGAAAAAATTTTGCCCCTCTAACTTGAATAGTACCGGGTTTTCTGTTGCAGCGCCCTGTTGAACCCCTCGACGACGAGGCAGTGCGTTCCGTTGCTCGGCCAGACGTGATTTCACCACAACGTGCGCTTCCAAATGACGGCCCGAGTTCAGGCACGGCCGACGAGGAAGCTCCGGACGATTCAGCGGTATGAATTTTGTTTGTGAACGGGCAGGTCTGTGTTAGACAGCTAGATATAGAAAGAGCGAGAAAGAGAGAGAGAGAGAGAGAGAGAGAGAGAGACAGAGAGACAGAGCGAGAGAGAGAGATGCCAAGATAGTGAGAGAGCGAGAGTGAGCGGGTCGGATAGAGAGCACGAAAGAGTGATAGAGAGAGAGAGAGCGAGAGAGAATTTTTTCAAATTTACACCTTCATTTTCAGCCCGTCAACGCTGCTACAGAACCTCAGACGCCAGTCATCGCCCCACCAGATGTTGTCCACCCCGGCGGTGATGACTCCAAGGATTCGCGGAGGACGCCTCGATCCACACCGGACCCAGAGAGGCCAGAAGCCGTCGTCACAACCGACGAGCCGTTCGAGCTCCGGAAGTGGCTGCTCGGACTTTGGGAAGCTTTGATCTTGTTCCTGTCATCAAGCCTCGACGACACGCCAACAGAGGCACCACCTGAGGATCCATCATCTTTTACCCGAATCCTGAACACCATCAAGACGTCGGTCACCTTCTGGCAGTGCATTTCTGCCGTGCTTTTCGGCCTGTCGCTGTTTCTGGTCTGCAAAAACGACACAATCAACCGAGAGCTGCGTGCCATCAAGGCTGAAGGCGCGTCGGCCATTGAACTTCGTCGTGTCCGGGTCGGGTCTAACGTACCGGATCCTGATGAGGGCCTGCCGTTGACCAATGAATCTTCGACGTAATTCGATCGTAAAAACCGGGTTATATTTATGTCTTGCTTTGGCCAAGCTAGTCTTGCGCGATCTCGAGTTCTTTTTTTCGTAAGATTGCTCCCCCCGCCCCGCCCGATCGTCGCTGGAATCCGGTGTTTCTGTGTGCGTGCCTTTTCTTTCCATTTTTCTTCCGGTATTGTTACTCTCGCTCAGCATCTATTTATTCACTTTATTTTTTTAATAAATTGTCGCAACGAGAAACAGCGAGGAGGATGCATGAATAGCAATAATATACGATACGTGATAAGACCTCATCAGGAGAACGATCGTATCATGAAAGACATCGATGCGTCTGCAAATGGTCATTTAGTGCTTTTACAAAGTTTTTGACGCACCATGATAGGGTCGACCATTGCTTCGCTCGTTTTTCGGAGGAGCCTCAACTTCCTGAAGCTGGCGAGCAAAGGATGGGTTCCGGATTAACAGAGCGGGGATCTGAAAACATCGACAATTTTTTGGTTGGTTTCTGTAGTGCTGAGAGAGAGAGACGGGGGAGAGTGAAAGCGCGCGCGCAAGGGTGAGAGAGAGGGAGAGAGATAGGAAGAGATAGAAAGAGAAAGGGAGAGAGAGAGAGAAAGAAAGAGAGAGAGAGAGAGAGAGAGAGAGAGAGAGAGAGAGCGCAAGCGAGGCAGGGGGAAAGCGGGAGAGGGCGAGGGAGAGAGGGTGATATCAGTATTACTTGCTTTCTTCTTCTCTTTTCAATTTAGCTCTCTCTCACACTGCCTCCTTCTATTTTTCTCGCTCATTCTCTACCCCCTCTGACTCGACCTCAACTCTGAATCACTCTCCCTGTAGTCCAGGCAGAGGGCCCAGACAAAAAGAGGCCCCGGGAGAGCGCGAGTGATCAGCGGTGATCGAGGCCCTGGAAAGGCCAGGCTTGCGCAAGCTTGATCAATTCAATCAATTCGGCTCCCCCGCCCCCGAGGCCAAGAAAGGCTGCGGATTGCCTCATCTTCCGGTGGCCCATGGTGTTGCCTACTCCACGCTCAATAATTTGACACGCCGCTGCGTATTACAATACTCCACCAAAAAAATTGTCCCTTTCCCGGGCAATCGAAAAATTACAGGCCGCACAATAATATAAGGCCTAATCTAATCTAATCTAATCTAATTAGCTAGGGAATACGGCAGAAAAAATTCAGGGCCAGCTGCGGTTCGGAGCTAAGTTTTGAGTTGCTTTAGATAGAAAAATAGAAAAATTAGATTCTAGGAAAAGGATCCCTCACCAAATTCGAAGGGGGTAAATCCTGCTAGTTCTGCTTTAAAGGGACCCACAAGGCAAGCGCAGAAGCCCAGAGGAGGGGGAGAACCTAGGGCGCTAGAATTGATATCAAGAAATGGAATAAAAAAAGACGTTGAAAATTTTTTGCGTGCAAACATTTTGGGAAGAGTTAGACTATTTTTGGCAAGACTAACAGTATACCTTCCGGGTTTAGGGCAGCGCCATGCCATTTTGTCGAAGCTCTGTAGCATTAAGCATAAGGAGCAATCGCCGCCTAAAAAGTATCCTGTAGAGGGCATTCAAAATATTAACCTACCTAGAAGCCATTCGGTTAAATTCAGATGTTCCATGGGCGCAGCAAATTGTTATCTGTCTAAAAATTCTGATTTGTTGTCCTTCCTTTTGTCTTGTTTTTCTCCAAGATCATCGTTTTTTCCTTAATGAACTACCGTTTTCAGGCAATGACGTTCAAGCTCGCGAGGGCTGCCCTCCGAGGTATCGCCCGCATCTCCGGATTCGTGTGGGGCTGTGATGGCCCGGGATGGGTGAGTTTTTGCAGCTGCACCTAAAATTAGGGTCTGTATTTGCCTTCAAAAAATCATCAACAGAAAGTGAATCTAAATATTTTGAAATCTACTAAATTTTAGACGACTTTCAGATCCCGACCCCTCGCCGCCCCCTGATTGTGACGGCTGCGTCGCTGGCCGGCTTCTTCGCGGCGAATACCTATGTAAGTACTAAAGTTCGCCAACTTTAAAAAAATTTTTCCGCCTTTTCCGCCTTTTAAAAGCAGCCTAACTACCAATTCAGGTCACCGATCGATGTCAACCACTATCCAAAGTCACGGGCAACTTCACGATCGGCTGGAACCTCCAATTTCCGGCCGAGAGCGAGGCTGGGCTCGCCGACGATGGCGAACAGTGCGGCGACTCGTCGGTTGTTGAAGATGTGCTCGTCGATGGCGTCCGCCGTTGCTTTCGTAAAGGTCCCCGCAAGGTTTAGCCAGATTTGCTAGGCCACGATCCCCTTCCAAAAAAACCAAAAATGTGATTCGCAAATTTCGCTTCCCCCGTTCTGGCAGCCCGAGTATCCCTGTATTCTACGGTTATTGTCTCTCTATACAAATCAAAGCTCTATATATGCAATGGAAATTCGAAACATCGCATACTCTCGCTATCTCTCGCCCTCGCTCCGGATCCTCGATTTGAATTGCCCCCCACCCCCCTCATCTACCGTTAACCCGTTGCAGTGATTTTCATAACAAAATACGGTGCTCATATTACGGTAGTAATTCGCCTTTAAACTGAATTTCATATATACCAGACTTTTCCCATGCAATTTTATCTACCTAGTCCCCTCCCTTGTAGTGATTGTCTTTGTTCGCATTTGTAGACCAGTGGCGAATAAAGTGAGCCCCCAATGTCATTTGTAAGACGGCACCTACTGCCAGAAAATACACCGAATCATACACACTACAGATCATCAAGGCGGATAAAAACCGGACTCAAATAATTGCAAGCTGGAATTTTCTAATAGATTCTAGCAACGACTTCTTCAATAGGCAGCCATAGCCTTAAAGCCGTTTAGAAGCCCGTACTAAAAATGCCTTTGGGCCTCCTCGTATTCCTTAAATTATCTACTCACCCTGCAGCGCTCCGTTTAACGTATCCGGATAGTCCAGGATACAATGTGGTGACAGGAGAGAATATGGCGAATCATCCGGCAGATCCAGAATCCACGGCCTGAATAAGAACAATTTTCATACAATTTTATCACTCTTCCGCTGGCTCTATCCAATTAAATCCGGTCTTGGTACGTTAAAAATGGCTCTAACGCCTAGCTCTACTGCTCAGGAAGTTATTAATGCTTTCCGATATGTTTTTGCTCATTTGCTCCTCAATTTTTCGTTTTTCTTTAGTTTCCCGTGTTTGATCGTGCCCAACCTCAGTGGCCCAACGTCTCCCATCGATTTCCGTATCCAGAAGGCTTGTACAAGTCAATGAGTCAGCCGTCAGATGTGCATCGTGCTCCCCGTGGCCCTGGACACCTTCACCTCCTTTCGATCAACCTCCCCGACTATCGATCCCATCGGTAATCTGCGATTAATGCTGTAAATTACAAATGGGTGATGGCTTTAGCATCAAAAGCATTCATCCGACTTCCGTTTTTTTGTCTTATATGCGTTATCAAAGCATTTTGAAAAGCGGCTCTTTAAGCCGGAAATCGCCAAATATTTTTAAACACATTAATTTAAATCGTAAAAATAACGATTTCTTCAAAATCTTTGGCGATCCCTATGCGCTTTCCGAAGTTCTTATGCTCCACACGATTTTACGAATTGACGAGCTTTTTCGAGACTCCACGCTCCATTCTAGGAATTCATCGGTTATTTTTCCTAGCATCTCTTAGCATGCTTGTCCGAAGCTTTCTACAACGTAATATTCTGCGCCGTCGTAAAATGCTCTTTTTAGCAAATGCCAATCTCCGTCAAGGCGCTCACCGCCTTCAAAGGCGGAATCGTTGTCGGTACGCTTGCGGCCCTAGTCGAGCAGGGCTTGGTAAGCTTTTACACAGCATTAGAAATCGATAATTAAAAACTTCGGCTAATATCACGATGGTTAATATTGATACCTAGAGGCATAGCTTGGGGTGGAGGTAGCTTACCGTTCGAATTTTCATCTTCGGTGGACGAGATTCAGAAAATCTAGCTTCTCGAATATTTTTCAGCATCATCTCTCCATCCTTTCATACCTAGGACGCGGGGTGTAAGGTGGAGCTTAGTGTACCCACCAACAGGCATTCATCTGTTCGGAGAGGCATAAGCGAAAACTACCAAATCCTCGTAATCCAGCCAGCACATCTTAAAATTGCCACAATAGGGACCATAAAAAGCCCTGAGCCGATAAAGAGGTTATAAAACGAGAGTTTAATGCATTAATCTTTACGAAGATCAATCATTTTAGGCCCTACGCAAAAGGACCCACTGGAAGAGCGACGGGAAGGGCACTCCCGACACTATGAGGTATCACATTAATGTCGAGCTGGTCGCTAAGAATAAGGAAGCTAGTGAGCAGAAGCGTTAGGATGAAGCTCAGCCATCTACCTAATATTATTTTATTATTATCATTTCATTAATTTAAGGCGCAATAAATGTTTATTTAGGGAATATTTCGAAAATACAAACCTATCATGAATTTGAATACATTTTGAACCTTGATTACACATGAATAAAAAAACAGTTGAAAGCTGGGTCGCTAATAGGGACATATAAAAATTATTTCTGAAATATATTAGCGGATCGATGGCTGGAATCAGCTCGGGTACGACTATGAAAGCTAGCCGGGAACTTGCCGGGCCGATTTCGTTGCGTCAGGTGCCCTACCAACAGTTGGCCAGGGGCCGAGCGCCGATGGCTTAATTGGCATCACACCAGGATCGGCCCGTGGCATGGTCAGCGTCTTCCTGGGCTCCCCGAATTAGACCCGAAAGTATCAGTTCCGTCTACCAGAATCTGAAAAAGATATAAGCAATCGTTGCTAGGTCAACTTGCCCGTGTTTGCCTTGGTTGAGTCGTAATCGGGTCGTACCCCAGGGAACATTTTACTCGACAGACGGCTGGCGCCCGGTCGGTTGTAGTATCTGGCTGGTTTTAGAGATCTAAACGATGAATTAAGGACAAAAAGGCGATTACCAGCTTTAAAACTGCCCGAAGATAGTGTTATCCGTGTTTAGGTTTGGATCTCGATAGAAGATCACAGACTAATGGTCGTTACTGATGTCATGGTACCGATCACCTTTAAGGTCATGCAGCGCGCGGGCTTTCCTGTCTAGAAACTGATTCCTGTTATCCCTCAAGAAACCTAGGGGCAACGACAATGTTCTGTAAACCGAGATGAACGTGAACTTTCAAAACACGAACCCATCTCGAGCACGACGTCTTCAGAAGCCACCTGTCTCAATTAAGTATCAATTCAGTCTACCAGAATCTGAAAAACAAGCAATATTCGCTAGGTCAACTTACCCTTGACTGACTTCATTGAGTAGTAATTGTGGCGTCATGGCGACACCACTCTCGGTCGTAGTTTGAGGTCCCCTTTCGGGCCTTCAGTAGCTTATCCTTTTACCAGTGGAAAATGACCGCTTCGCGGCCCTTTTCCACTGGCCCCCGTCTAGGAACCATATAATCCCCTTCCGTTTTTCAAGCCTGCGGCGCACGAGCCTGACTCTAGGAACCATTCTCTGGCCTGCGGCGCTAGCTACTGGTTTTTCTTCAGCATTTGGCCTGCGGCGCTAGAACCCGGGCCAAGGACCTATTCTTTGGCCTGCGGCGCTAGAGCGAGGGCCTAGCCTAAATTTCGGATACCGAGAGCCTCGAAATATGTTTTTTTTGTTGAACTATCAAAAAGCAAAAAGGCAAATTTGCTGAGGATCCGAAATCTCGACTATGTGCGTGCTAGACCGGGCGTCAAGCCACTATACCAAAGGGGGCATGGGGACGGGATGCGGATAGGCCTTTTCGGTCCTGGGGGACGGTCCAACCCGGGCGGGAAGACTTCTAGTAATTTCGCAAAATCGCTTTTTTTAGTTTGAATGCGCCGAAAATTTGTAAAGATAATGAGATGCGCGTGATCCCCACTATCGAATACATAAGTGGTCCAAATTTCAGCCCGAAATTCCATCAGGCCTTCGAGTTATGGCCCGGACACCACGGCTCGTAGCCCATTTTGTTAAGGATTTTCACCATTTTGCTTGTAAAATTGTTAGATGAAGGAATTTCGAAAAACAAAAAAAATGCGTGTCTGGCAAATGCGTTTCTCCACCTCCATGCCAAAAATCAGCGCGAAATTCGGCCTGACGGCCGAGAAATCGTCATTACAGAAAACAAACATACTTTTCTCGCTTATAGGATAGGATCTATGGCTCCGCCCCTTTCGGCCGCCCTCCGATAGGGAAGCCTGGGCAGAGGGACGGATGGATCTCCTCTAGACCATCTAGTAGGCATTCTACAGTAGGACAATCGTCGTAGCTTATATATTAAGGGGAAACCTGGTTAGACTAAATTATGTGGGGACTGATAATATTGGGAAGCCGCGTCTATTAATGGTGCCTAATAAATGAGTAGTTCACTAATATATCTAGCGCGTTTATAAGATTAATACATATAATTCCACTACACGAACAGTTGGGTACAATCTCCTTGAATACAGAGGAGATTCAGTTCTGCTCTCCCCCCAAGGGGCGACAGTAATGGCGCCGTACCCTACGGACATATTTTACTAGACCGACGGCTTGCAACCGGCTGGTTGTAGTATGCTGACTGGTTGAAGAGGCCTAGAACAATAAAACTAACGATAAAAAGGCTATTAGCAGCTTGAAAACGCTCGGAAGCCGGTGTTCTCCATGTTTAGGTTGGAACAACGTAGCAGCTCACACACTAATGGCGGTTTCTAATGCCACGGCACTGATCACCTTCAAGGTAATTTTTGTATAGGTCTACAAGGCTGGAATTAACGACAAAAATGCCATTTTTTCTTGTCATTTTATGTCATTTTAATTTTCTGCCTAGAAGCTGTTTATTGTTGATGAAACATGAAACCAAGGGGCAACGACAATGCTCTGCAAAACGAGACGAACATGGAATTTCAAACACGAACCCACCTGGAGCACGACGTCTAAGAAGCCATCTCCTCACAATTAAGTACCGATTCCGTCTACCGGAATCTGAAAAAGATATAAACAATCGTCGCTAGGTCACCGTACCCGTGTCTGCCCCGGGTGAGTGGTAATGGGGCCGTACCCCAGGGTACATTTTCTCGACAGCCGGCTGGCACCCGGCTGATTGTAGTTTGGCTGGTTTTAGATATCTAAACGATGAATTAAGGACAAAAAGGCGACTACCAGCTTTAAAACTGCCCGAAGCTAGTGTTATCCGTGTTTAGGTTGGATCTCGATAGAAGATCACACACTAATGGACGAGTTTGATAGCGAGGTCCGACAATCCAGCTGGTTGTAAAAGCTAGAATCAAAAAAAATTAGCAAAACATGTTATTACCAGCTTGAAAACATCCGGAAGCTGGTGTTCCCATTTTTAGGTAGTATCGCCATAGAGAGCGACACTAATGGTAGATTCTGATGTCAAGGCCCTGCTCGTCTTCCCACCAGCTGGTTCCTTGTAAACGTCTGGAAGAATGGCTGGTTAATAAAAAGGTTTTTGCCAGCATAGTAACATCTAGAAGCTAGTCTTCATGATGCTAGGTTTTGGATACCCATAGGACAACACACACTAATGGTCGCTTGTGATGTCGATGTGATGCTCACCTTTCACACAGCGGGATAGTTGTAGTGGTCTGGAACGATAGCTGGCTAATAAATAGTTTATAATCACCTTGAAAACGCCCGGAGGTTGGTGTTTTGCATGTTCAGGTCTGAATCGACAGAGAGGGTCATGCACTAATGGCCGATTTTGATGTCGATGCGCTGATCATCTTAGCGACAGCTAGCTGGCTCGACTGGAACGTTGAATAGATCAGAAAAAGGTTATCACCAACTTGGCAAAATCAAGCTTTCGGTATTGTTCAGGTAGTGGTCGGAGTCACTGGCAAGACAATGCACTAATGATAGCTTCTGGTCAGAAACGGCCCTTTTGACGCTGCGGGTGTGCAACGCGCTTCCTGGAGAAGCCCGCTGTTCGTCGGCCGTCAGCAGCTGATGATGTGGTTTCCTAAATGAAATCTTATTCTGTTTTTCTCTGTTATTTTGTCCACCATTCCGACAAGGTCGACGTTGCCGCCTGCTGACCTCTTGATACCAGAATATGGTCGGCTGATAACAGGGTCGACCTTCGCGCAGACAAGGTTTCTCTTAGAAGAGGCTCAAGACAAAATTCTTGAGGCTTGTTGGAGGACCTGAAATTAGAGAGACGATAAAAAGGCTAGTAGCAGCAAATATACATTAATGCGCATTAGAATCGTCTGCGGCGGCGACGCAAAAATTTTTGAGCTAGGCCCATGCTCGGGAATTCGACATTAAAATTGGTTTTTCCAAAAAACCTGAGTTCAAAACTAACAAACAAGCCATTGGAGTAGCGTACAAGAACGAACTAGAAATCGACTCAAAACTTTGCCATTGTCACCACGATTGCCGGATAATCGTCAAGGAAAAACGGGGTACACAGTTTCCCCCAGATAATGTCAACCTTCTTACCGGATGAAGCTATCAGAGGCGTATCTACGTCGTTTTTAACGGGATAGGCGGTACCTAAAGCCATTGTTAAGGTATCTAATAAGGGAAGGGCAAGTACACGAACTGGAAATTTGGAAAACGCTCGCGGCTACCCCCAGGTTATCGGCTGCGGGGAACACGATGGTGTTGTCAGAATTTTCCACCGAGCCCTGTAGAGCGAGATACGGTACTTCCGGAAAAAGGGTCATTTGCATACGAGAATTTAACATACTACTTGCGTTTATTAGAGACTTCTACGTCTCTACCATCAGCTGCGAGTTAGTCATTTGCTAACTGAACGGTTTTTTGAAATACCTGCCGGGGTTCGAATCCACTCAGTACTTTTAATTTTTGCTTTTTGGAGGGGGCGACCCAGGTCAATTTGGGCCGTCATAGATTGTCGTTTTTTGGTTCGAATTCGGATTTGAAAGAGAAAGTTTGCTTCAAGAACCATGAAAACAGTAAAAAAGCCTGCAAAAATAAAATTCCAAAAAGCAAAAATTAAAAGTTACGAGTGGATCCGATCCGTTGTGGGATTTTCAAAGAACTACCTAGTTAGCAATTGACTAACTCGCAGCTGATGGTAGAGACGAAGAAGCCCCAATAAACCCCAAGGAGTATGCTAATTTCGCGTATGCAAATGACCTCATTTCCGGAAGTACCGTATCTCGCTCTACAGGGCTCGGTGGAAAATTCTGTCAACACCATCGTGTTCCCCGTAGCCGATAACCCGGGGGTAGCCGCGAGCGTTTTTCGAATTTCCAGTTTGTGTACTTGCCCTTCCCTTGTAAGCCGTTCTTGACGGGAATTCGGCTATAGGAGGTACCCGAAGCCAACAGCGTGGGTATTGATGAAGGTAAAGACGGATGTGTTGGTGTAGAATCTGAAGGGTAGCCTGCGGCCCGGCTGGTTAGAGTCGCGAAGCGACTGTAAGAACGAAGTAGAACGAAGCTAGCCGCACAAGCTAGCGCCGCAGGCTAAGGAATAAAGCCAACCATCGAAGCCAGCGCCGCAGGCTTAAAGAAGGAAGTCACCGCTCAAGCTGGCGCCGCAGGCCAAAAAGGAAGCAAATCCCTCAAGCTTGAGCCGCAGGGTGAGGTAGCGACCTAGCCGACGAAACATACGCCGCAGGCCTAATAACGAGACTAGCATTGCAAGCTTGCGCCGCATGCTAATACAAAGAGGTTTGCATGGAAGATGGGTTTTTCTTTCTTCAAGGTAACTTTATGTGGAAGGGCGCTCGATTAATAGGGCCTGGACGGGATCCAGAGAGGGAAGGTCGCGAAGCGGCTCCTCCCCCGCTGGTCTTCAAAATAATCACGCATACCAAAAATAAATACCAGAATTATGGATTTTCGAGTAGGATAAATGCCACTCGCATGAAAAGAAATCTTTATTATTGCTCGCATCACTAGCATCAAAGGAAATTTACATGCCGAAGGAACAAAAAAAACGCATAAAGAATTACGATGGCTTTGACCTTCACAACAATTTGAAAGACTTGCTGGTAGTTGTGCTCGAACCTAAATATCTGTGTGATAAAGTATGATGGCTTACTTTTTATTTTTAATCCTATCCAAAATTATCCGCTTCCAGAAAAAGGGATCCATCGACATCCGCACGCTGCTATCAAGGGACTTTGATACTTTGAAGTGGTCAAGGCGAAGCCATGCCAAAATGACCTCCTTGGGAAGGTTGTCATAGTTGGCGGTGTTGGTCCTAAATCTGCCCTTAGTTAGTGTGAGCGGAAGCACCTAGCGCCTTGCTTCCAGAGCTTAGAAAGCAGTCTCAATGGGCTCCCAAAATTCTCAAGGTTGAAACGGCCCTAAACGATGGAATAAATAGTATAAATATTGATAACGCTAACCATTCCGAGGTTTCCGCGGCTTCGAATATCCAGGGCGCTGAGCTGAATCGATCTTCGCCAACGATTCCTGTAACGGATGTTTTTAGCCCGAATTTTTGTTCATATGCAATTTTTGAGCTCTGGACTCGCTTACCGTATTGATAGACGGGGCACCCATGCATGTCATTCATTTGCCCGAGGTCACTTGCTTACCACTTCTGCTAGCTGGCCGAACTAAAATGGATATTGTGCGAATCAACAAAGTAGTAGTTTCTGCTGTTGGTAAAGAACCGTCTAGTTTTCACAAACAATCGGGACCAAGCTTTAGGCTTCTCCCTAATGCCAGGAGATTTTGGCGAGGACCTACAGACTTGGCAGCTCCACAATCCAAGTTCCATATAGCCCGCTCTGGATCAGCCAAATCGTCGTGAACAACGCATCCGGCGTGCTTTCAGCTTCTATAAAATCTTTGCGATCATTCGGTAGCTCAGCCAGCGTTTTAAAGGTTTAGGCTCCGAGCACGCGCGGGCGCTCGCACCGCGTTTTCGGCGCCTTTTTGCCCGGGGGTTCTCTAATCGTACACGCCACCTAATATCGTTACAATCGGGTAGTAGACAACGAATTCTACATAGTTTCTTTAGGAGGGGTATATCCGACGGGCGAGTTTTTGGCTATGTCGGGGTGGACATGTTCGCGCAGGTGGATTGGTAGCGGGGGATGGGCCACGGCCACGCCCCCACGCGACAACCAATCGACATCCACCCGCCTTAGCAAGAACCCTCTACAGCACAGAAATACAGGATAGATTAATTTGATTTGATATTTTTATATATGGAAGACGAACCAGAACACACGCTGTAATTGGTAGCGTGCCGTCGGTCGATAGGCGGGCTCGTTCGAGCGTCGGCCGGTCGCGGCGCGGTGAAATAAAATTTGCTGAAAACAGAAGTTTTTAGAAACTGAATCGTCGCGGCGTGCAACAACTTTATTCATAATCCTTACGAGTCAGCGGGTGTCTGAAGCTATTCTCTATTACTACTGCTCGCTCTCTCGTCTGCAGACCCCTCTCTCCTCACGCACCTGAACAGTCCAATCAACTCCGAGATAGCCGGGGGAAGGGGGAAGGCGCAGACACAAAAATGGCGGAGGCTTCCAGACCCCGGCGTCGTAACCCTTTTTCGTTATTTTAAACTACTGATTTACTAACGTTATACCGAAAATTGATTATGCAGAAAACCATTACGTAGAAACCCATTATATCGAAATTTCAATACACAGAAATCCGTTACGCAGAAAACCATTATACAGAAAAACCAGTACGCAGAAATACATTACCTAGAAAATTCATTACGCAGACGACCATTACACCTAAACTTCCGTACAAGGAAAAATTCTATGCTGGAAATTTCCGAGTTGATGACAACGCATCATAAGGCAAAAAATTTGGTGGATAAAATCCGGGAAAGTTAGCAAACAGGGCTCGGAGAAAGTTTTCAAAATTTATTTCAATAAGTCTAGAGAGGAGGGTGAGTATCGGGAATCTCGCACAATTTTCGAACCGATAAGACTATCTGACTGGGTAAAGTCCGCAGGTCAATGATGGAAACAACCTCAACGACCGCGGGATACAACTTTTTTTTGTATATAGAATCTTATGGGAGTGGAACGGTTGGGGTAACATATTTCTGCGAAATATTTTTTCTATATAATGAATTTCTGCGTAATAGTTTTTCTGCGTAGTGATTTTCTGCGTAATGGGTTTTCGGTATAATGAAATTTCGGTCTAATGGATTTCGGCTTAATGGATTTCTGCGTAATGGATTTTCTGTGTAATGGTTTTCTGCGTAATGGGTTTTCGGTATAACGGTTTTCTGTCTAATGGATTTCTGCGTACCGAAATTTCTGCGTAATGTTAATTGCCCTTCATTTTAAACTACTAATCACTAAAAACCTTTAAAACGGCTTTCATTCTTTCAACACTGAAAAAACGGGTGAGCTTTCGATCACAAATTCAGGCCAAAAAGGTTTTTTCCGCCATCTCTATCATCGATTCCGTAAATCGGCCCATACTCAATCTTTTTGCACCATTTTAGGGAAAGTTAGTTCCCCTGTATTAGCTTCTGAGGCATAATTAAGGGAACAAATGTGCCGCCATTTGTGGAAAATCCGTTTGTAGAAACTCACAACACTTAACTTGCTCTACTTGGTGGACTGTTCTGCGTTGCAACGTGCTGAATTCCTGAAAGAAAATTTATCCACTCAATTTTGTTTTCTAATCCGGTTTCTTTCGGCGGTAGTTTGTCATGTCATTACGTTTCAATGGGCAGGAAGTGGCTCATTGTCAATTGGATCATTTAAAGAATTTAATTAAATTTAATTTGAATTTTGGTCTTCCTTTATCGCCCTTTTCCATTATTGTTTTGAGCTTCTATTGAAAATCATGCTGCATTTTTCAGATAATCCCGCAATCTCCACGGAAAATGCTGGAAAAGCTCAGAAACCTCTTCAAAATCCCCGGTTTCATCAGCTACGTTTCTCGATTCGGACAAGTAAGTTGATCATTCCTGTCTTCTTACAGTTTCCTTTTTTTCATTGTATTTTCTCTGACCATGGTTCGTATCCATATTCTGAGTTCTCGGTTTACCGGCGTAACCGGCCCTTACGCACCGTAACCCGGCGCGGCGGGACCACGGGGGGGGAGAAGCATAACAAAAGCGGAGATAACGGAAGGCCAGCTTGCAATGAGTTACGATCCCTGGGTCGGCGTTTACCTCGCAGCATGGGATCGCTAAGCAATTTAGCAGCTATTGAGATGTAAACAAGACAAGGATGATCTCCCTACAATATCGCACCACTTACCCCTAACACACCCGCCCTGCGATCCTTAAAGATCCAAAAATCTTTCAAAACTTTGCAGAATGCTGAAGGTCCACGCTTTTCGGCATTCATCACCAATTTGGTCGTCTCCTTCGCCATCGCCAGCGTAAGTTTTGTGAAGCTTCTAAAAACGTGGATACGTCAAAAATAGTTTGGTCCTTTTTTGAGCGTTAGAATGCCTTGTCTGTGAAGAGCATGTGAGGTCCAAAATCGCCTGCCACCCGGTGCAATTTACATATTTATTCTCGTAATTCCATGCAGTTGAGGACGGGCAAGGTTGGGAAACGGAAAGAACTTATTCCAGTGGCTCCAATTTGCTTCGTTAATATTCATTTTAATACGAAGTCATCTGGGTGGTACTCCAATCAATCAGTTACGCGAGATGACAAAGCGATATTAAGGCTTCTATTTATGCCTGAATTTAGGGGCTGGACAACGGCGACCGTCCTATCGAGAAGGATAATGGCCTGCAGCGCGCCGACCCGACGCTCAAAGTGACGTACCGCGTCGGGGCGGTACGTTTCAAAAGGTTTAAACGTGGTACCAACTCAATTTCACTATGGCTGGGGTGGTCAAAGCATCCAACGGGCCTTAGTTCCCTGAGATTATCCAAATGCGCATAGCTCAGATAGGTGTCCAGTTTCCGGTCTGTTCCAGGGGTGGGCAAGGTATGCAGATCTGCAAATGGGGGACTGCCGGGGATTTCGGGGTGTGGGGGGGGGGGCCGGGAGGGGGAAGCAAGACGGCGCGAAGCGCCGGAAAAATTATAAGATTTTTAAAAAAAGGTAACTGCGATATCCACAACCACAATTTCCCAATGCGGACAGACCGAGATGAACCCACAGACAGACAGACAAACCGACAGATACTGACATAAAGGCGGATCAGACAGAAAGACAGCTATACAGACAGACAGACCAACTCTAGCTTTATTCAACGTTTCCGAAAACCCTATTCATCTTAAAATCCGCAGTGGCTTTTTTCCCCTCAAATTCATCATTTGTTAGACAAATTTGGTCGCTGCAAATGGTCTGCGAATGCTAAAAAGTCACTTTTTACCCCGAAAATCGGACTGCCGACGCCCCGCCCTTTATGGCCTTGGATAGATCAGCTTACGGTGCATCTTGTCCGAAAATTTCAGGCAAATTCATCGACAAATCACTGAGATATGATTTTTGGAAAAAACCGGAAAAATGTGCTCCTGCAAATGGTCCTCAAACTCGGCAGTCCAGGATCTCCGAGATCCAACAATTTCTCAAGAAGGTTGGCACGCCATCCGATAGTCCTCATTCTCATCTTCAAATTGAGTTACTTAAACTTTGGTTTCGAGCTTCCGGGCCGGAGATATAGTCGGTTAAAGGGGCGGCACTCGACCCTCAAAAACCTGGTTTTGAGCATTCGCAGATTTTATGTTCTACTCCGGCAGTCCAACATCTCTTCGAAGTCGGACTGCCGGTGGGCCGTGTGGGGCATGACTCGACGCGCAATGACGAGATCTACACTCTGGTGCCATATTCAGGTCGTCAAATTACCGTATTCCGGAATTATGCCGGAAAAACCTCCAAAAAACGAGGTTTTCCGGTCCGGCAGTCCAACATCTCCTCGAAGTCGGACTGCCGGTGGGCCGTGCGGGGTATGGTTCGAAGCAGAATAACAAGCTCTACAATCTGATACCGCTCCCATCGCCGGAAATCATCATATTCCGGAATTAATCCGGAAAAACCCTCAAAAAAGTGCTTGTTTCATGTAGAGCCCCCGAAAATTTGTCAAAGACGGACTGCCGATTGGTAATGCAGAATATGGTTCGACGCAGAATACTGCGATCTACAATATGTAGCCACTTTCGGCCCGTTGAATTACCGTATGCCGGGGATGAACCGCAATTATTCCGAAAATCCTCTCAAAAAGGATTTCCCCGCCCAAAAAGGACTGCCGGATCTCCGGAAAATGGACTGCCGGGATTTTCCAGCTGCAAGACCTTGCCCACCCCTGGTCTGTTCCCTATTTAGCACCTAGAGAGCTTCTTTGGATGCTAAGGTTCTCGACCTACCCCAGTTACGGAGAAAATTGCAGGTGGCACTAAATACAAATATCGGGTTGGACGCAAAGTTCGTGTAGTCTCAAAGTTGACGTGGCTTCTAGAAGGCAGCCTGGGGCCGCAGATTTTGGATTTTGCATCATTGAGTAGTGTGGAATGCTGTGGCACCGCGTCGCTTGGCGCCGAACGGCCAAAGGAGGTTGATATGACGTAGCGGCCTTCGGCGCAGTGGAAGGGACAGATGCGTTAATGGGAATTTTTGGTTGTGGAGTAGCGTTCCATCACGATATATGGCGCATCTGAAAGGAGCACTGCCATCCAGCGATCCTTGTAGAGAAATGCAAAATTCTCCGCGCTGCTGAAGGCGAATCAAGTCTTAAGCATGTACAATCTTCGACTGACACGTCGTACACCTCGACGGTATCTATGAACGTGCAAGAGCCGCACCATAGTATCAGTTGCTGAGCAGCGCGTTATGTTTTGCTTGTAGTGGAATTTCAGGATTTCAATATAATAAAATGCGCAGCCTACGAGTCTCGCTATGTAGGCCAAAATATAGCTAGATGAATCATCGATCCCTTTAGTGCCTTTCTTGTTTGTCGGTTGTCGTTTCACGGCATTTCGACCGGAAGACCGGACCGGACCGGACAGGGTTGGGAGATCGGTTCCTCGACACTCAGTTCCCCGACAAATCTTGACTGATCTGGACTGGGGGGACTGAATGGATGAGAAGCGACGTTCCATACATCGGCCTGAGAGGACGACGGCAGGAGTTGACGTTTGGAGGGCTGAAAAGTCGGGAGTCATCGTTGGCTGATGTCTTGGAAGCCATTGCAAGCCAGCGTGACCTCTGATCGAGCAATGGCTACCCGAGTCATATATGTGAAGCAAGGGTCCGTGCGGCGAGGCTCGACGAATCTTTCAGAATGACGGCAGGTCGTCCCGGAACGGCTCATGGATGAGCTGTTCAACCTGGCGGATCGAAAACTAAGGAGAGCACCAGGACGCCATACATATCAGTAACTGACAGCTAACATCCGTTGATTGGGAAAGTGGGAGGGTTATTTCTGGAAGGGACTTGTCTTCGAAGTGCACTACACGCGCGAAGGCCACCAACTCAGCCTAGTCAGGAATAATTGTCCATCGGTGTCCGTCGGTTACTGCTGAAAAGAAGAAGTTTTTGAGTGGCATCCCAGTTTGAGCAGGACCAAGCTGATCTTGTGAGAAATTTTGCTTTGCTTCCTAACCTATTTTTTTAACTTTTTTTTTGAACGGAATGTTCAAGAAGTTATAGCGGAATTTATGGCGAACATGCTCAAACCCACAAAGTTAGACCCCTGCAAAAATTCGAGCGCCAATATTTTGTCCAAATAAATAGCGCATTTTATATACTATAGTGCATTATACTACGAGATGATTTCACCCCACACAACCTCATTTTTAGCTATTTTTAATTGATTAAACTTTTTAGCTTAATAAAGTAATAATTTTAAATTGTGGTATTTCGGACTGAAATTCAATCTCCTAGTATAATTTTTGGCGTTCTATCCGATGGCACTAATGAAATCCCGATGAAAAAGCTAACGCCGAAAATGATGATCACCCTATGGTTATACTTCGTAGCAGATGGTTTTGTTTTTTAATAACTAATTTATAATACACGATTTCGGGATCAAATTAAATCACTCAGTATATTTTTTGAAGTTCTATCCGACGGCATTCATGAAATCCCGTTCAAACAGCGAAAAATACGGAAAATTACGTTCACCTTCTGCGTATACTTCATGGATGAATGGGCACGACAGGTCCCGATGGGGGAAAATGGTTTCTCCCCCCGTTAAGCAGTCTTTAGCGAATTTTTAAAATGTTCCATTCTATAGCTCATTCAAAAGAGCTTTTTCTCAACAGGATGCGTTAATTACTTTTGATGAAATACTTTCTTTAGAATTTTCGTAAGAGTTTAAATTGTTGGGTGTTGAGTCAAAAAATTGAATTTTAAGTATTTTTGGCCTGAAGGGTAGCCGAGTGGTCTAAGGCGCTTATCAGGCGAGTCTTCCGGGTTCGGTTTTGCCTCACTTTTAGCCCCTGCCGTAACCTTGCGTCCTAAAGCGCAATCCGCGCAAAGTTCTGCACAAGATATGTTTAGTTCTGGTGCTGAAAACTCGGACGTCACTCAAAAACGTGTCCTTGTAGGCCTCCTTGTCATCATCCTTGATGCCATGCCGTGTTTCCTCTAATATAACCCCGGGGGTTTTTCAATCACACCCGCGGGAGGGGGTGGTATTGGAGGGGCTTGTAATAGAGGGGCTTGAAATTTTTGCGATCGACTGTACGAACAAAAATGCGAAATGAAACGGACACGCAATAGGCACACAGGGCGGAAATGCATTTACGGGGCAGCCTGTAACGGGTAGGGGAGCATTTGGAAAAAGCGCAGATGCGAGAGTCAAAATTTGGCTTATGTTCTAGGTTAATTTTGACCTGGCACGTTCTGTGAATTCGGAGGAGAGCCGAAGCTAACTGAAAAGATCTGGTTGTGGTTTGGTAGTTTTTTACAAAAATAGACTCTGGGCTGTTAGCGGGGGGGATTTTCAGCAGGGGTGACCACTTGCTGCACCTCCACCTCTTGACGATACACTATGTGCTTTTATAGCGTTTTTAGTAGTTTTTGATTGCGACAAAGTAAAAAATCACATTTTCAAATCCGAAAATTTAAAAATTTTTTTGGTCATTTTTCCTACATTTTTGACCAAAAAGTCAACAATTTGCGAAACTTTTTATTCGTTTTGATCTTGTTGTTATATCTAAAAACTATGTAAAATGCCGTAAAATCAGTCTGTAGGGCCGTGGAAATCATAGGGGAAAATTTGGTTTCCCCTCCCGCCGCTAACAGTCCAGAACCAAAAATGACGTTTTTCACGAGAGACTTTTCGGCAAAATTAGGTCCGGCAAGACTGTCGGAAATCGTTATGTGAGGAAACAATCAAGAGCGGTTGCTGTGAGGCAATTTTATTTTTCTTACCTATCCGGTACACAGTGCTAGTCTGTTTGTCTTTGTTAAGCATAAACTCTTTTGAATATTACCTTTGGTATTCAAAATAAACTCAACCTCTGAAAACTATTATTAAAAACTTTGGTTCCAACCTAATATTGTTGTGCCTACAGTCCTATCTCATCTTCCACGTTTAGGCGCAGCTCGGCTTCGAAGCAAACTTCCCGCGCCCGCAGCAGAACAGGGCCGTCGAGGCCAACGACATCAAGACGAAGACCCCGCCAACCTAATGCAAAATTAGTACTAATTACGAGCCATAATCACCCCGAATTCCCCTCCCTCCCCTTCTTTATGTGCTTTCTTCGAACGTTCACTTACTCCATTAAGTTTCGATCCCCGGGTTTTCCCCTTATCCTGCCGGTGTCTGTGAAACGCTCGTGATAAATTTTCGGAATACTTTAGAAAATGCAGAGCACAATACCAAGACAAGGAGATGATAGCCACGTGGCGAATTTATGAGTTTTGCATTAATTTCAAGACTATTAGCTCAAAGAGGTCGTTTTTTTAGCTCATGCAATAGATGGAAGCCGTTGTCGAGGGATGCCCTAATTTTGGGGGTTCGGGGTTAAAACGTTGGTTAGAGTTGAATCTAGGCTTTCCTACTACGTATCTGACTACCTTTTGTACCGGTGCTCGTCAACCGGAATTGTCGTCATGACTTCAAAAAAATGTATCTGGCAGAATTTAAAATCTCCGAATAGAGGAATAATAGCAAAGCAGCTGATAGAAATTCGACCAGGGGGAATGTCGCGCTGAAGCATTTTTCAGAATAATCTAGGGTTTTCGCTGCTCGTTGCCACGCAAAATAGCTTCCGTCTATCCCACAGCATTGTAGAATCTCACCAGGCGAAGCTGCCCGCCAAGAGGAGTTCAACCATAAAAAGAAAGCCAGCGATAAATGATAAGGCTGGCTGTCAGCCCGGCAGTAACGTCTCCGCCGGGGACCATAGATAAGCCGTCGCCAGTCATGGGCTTTCAAACACAGGCAATCGGTAACGCGATGAAAGTCTTTTGGCTGCGGGGAGTTGCGGCGATCAAGTAAAAAAAATTAGCTTGTCAATGAACGCAAATGATGCCCGGTCAAAAGCCGACACAAACGGCTGTGTCCTGAATCCAAACATGATCTGCAACGGATCAGACGGAAATCCCAACTAGTTCAGCCGGGATAGCATTTCTGACGGTTGATCGGTTTTAGAATGTTTTGTACTGGCCCAGGTCTCTCGTCAACTCCACCTTACCGTCCTTTACTCGACTACTAACTCGGCGACGACACATATCCTACTATATATAAATATAGTATACAAAAATAATGTGTGTGCAACTCTGCATCCACTTCCGCAATCGCAGTCATGTCTCAATAAGGGTATTAATTAATAATAAAATAAAAATAGCCGTTTTCGATACTAAATTTGGGTTTTTGTGAAATCCCCTTTATTAGGCAACAATCAACGTATACCGAAAGTGGGTATCCGTTTATATAAATGGGCAGAAGAGTTTGTTTTTTGTCAACTAAATTCAGGACAATTACGCAAAGCGAAGAATAACATATAATTAAACGCGGGCAGGGTTCAAAACTCGCCAAGCGGCTTTTCAACCCTTTTTGGTATCAAAATCTTTTGCTGATCATACGACCACGATTTTCTTGCCTCTGGTCTTTCAGCTACACCTCGGAGAGTTTACAAAGTGCCGATTGCAGGTTCTTGAAAAAAACTGCGAGGGCTCACCGAGAGTCGATCGTGATCATTTGGTGGCCCGCGGGTAGACAGAAACAGAAACAGAAAAGAAACTGCCCAGTTCAAATTTTTGGAATTTCAGATGGCTCAGAAATTTTGTTATTTTTTCTAAGCGTGTCTGCCTGGCTTCTTCCAATTCCGACTGGTCGAGCTATAGGAATTTTCAGATCACTTGCGACTGGTCCTAGGCGCATAATATGTAATTATATGTTTCACCATTACACTTGTCATATAGCTCACTGAAATTTCAACAGAACTTCAGCTCCGATTAGCTTTCGTCACGTCTCCGGGTTGCTGATACAGTTCGCTCGTCGGCAGTGTTTTCCACACAGCGCTTATCAGGGTTTAGCTTCCCTTGAAGTCCCGCTGAATAATAAAACGCTCGATACTTTAGGGCTGAAAGTTTTCTGCTTATTAAAAATGTGCTGAAGTGTTTAACGAGTCAACAATCATCAATACAACGTCTTATTTCTTCGTGCCCAGCAGATTTGAGCATTCTTACATGGTAACGATGGTCCGATTCGTTTGCGTTGGCGAGATATTTCAGTGCAAACACACGACTTTTTTGCACACCCTGCCGATGATCTACCCGGGCAGAAATCATAATTTTATTGCAGAAATTTTGTGTCGTCGAATTTATGGCTTGCAGTACTTTGCGGACTTGTTCTTTTGAATTTTGTCTTGCGGCTCCATTATTTAAAGCGATTATACTGGCTCTCGTGAAATTGTTTTGGGGTGAAGCCCTTTTGCATACGACCTTTTCCGCTTAATGTTGATCTGGCGCCTTAGTTACCACATTTTTAATTGAATTTCTACAAATATAAGGCCGCGGCCTCATCGGAATTGCTGTCCCGGCACAGACTCGCTCCGTGGGCCAAGGTCCGCTGGTTATCGGCGCCTATCAGTCGATCTGTCGCGCCTAAGCCAAACACACGTCCGCACATACGGCTGGCCTCGAATAGTTTTAGAATACCCCATACCAGACGGTTGACAATTTCTCAATCACGCGTGCGTAGATTCATGATGCCATACGCAAATTTTGAAGATTCGAATAAAGGGTGTCGGAATAAAAAAACGCCCCCCTCTAACTCGGCGCAAAAGTATCTAATTGGAACGATATTTACACAAACACACAATTTACACAACGATAATTCGAAAGCCCTTGAAACGGCGAGTTTGCAACAATCTTCAAAACCATGTTTTTATTTAAAAGCACCATCTTACAACGCATTTAAAACATTAAGAGAGGGTCTCTGAATCTAATTAACGGCTACTTCCGATCATTTTGTATGGACAATTTTAGGCAAATCAGCTCGTATGCAACCCCGAAAAGCGGTAAAATTTTACAAATAGGGTTGTAAAATAGCGCATTTAAATAAAAAAAAATGATTTTGAAGATTGTTGCAAACATGCCGTTTCAAGGGCTTTCGAATTGTGTAACTATCGTTCCGGTCCGATACTTCTGCGTTATGCTAGAGGGGGTGTTTTTATTGGGACACCCGGTAGATGACATTTACGGAATCCAGGAGACAGCTGATGTTTGTTTGTATTATGATCGTACTTATTCCGAAATCCGCGACTCTTGGGGGGACGCATTGGCGCAAAAGCCTAGCAGCAAGCAGTAGATGAAAGAAAAGCAGCAATCAGGCCGTCATTCTGCAATTAAGCCGTCGATTGCCAGTTGACAGCACGCAAACTTTGTGAATTTCAATTAAGGCGGCGTGTAATTAAAGTGTTTTTGAATTTAGGTATTTCCACGAGTTTCTGTAAAGTGAATTTAGGCGCAAGGGAATAGGAAGGGAAGAAGCTCGGGCTTCATAATCCCAGACCCCATCCTCATATCGATCTCGATCTCGATATCCTCAATCGGAATATATTGAATTTAATTTTCGTCCTTTCTGTTCGGAAAACTTTGCTTTGCCATTTTCTATCCTGTTGCTTTGGAAAAATTTATGGGGTAGCACACCGACCCGTCAAATGCAAACAATACAATACATTCCATTAAAAAAATGGAGATCAATAGCAGAAGATTTCTGAGCCAGAAAGTTTCGAGCAACATTACACAACATAGACTAGCTAAAAATTATCCCGGTAAAATCGTATTGGGATACCGGAAAAATGTAGAAAAACGAAGGCTATGCTTGAGAGAGTAGCCTCTGCTCAAGTCTCGGATCCATGCCAGGAGATCCGGGCCGTGGTCTGACGATTGTCGTTGGTCTTTGGAGACGTTGGAGCTCGAAGGTGTCGTTGGGAGGCGCAAAATAGGGCGGAGGAGGAGCCATGGCTGCTGGCAGTGATGTATGAGACACTGGAGTGGTTGAGGTGGCCGATTGGTAGGAGGGGAGACTGAAAGAAAGTGATCAGCAAAGCCTTCACGATCGCGAGCAAGAGGGCCGTGATTTTAAACTCTAGTTTAACTTGCAGGTTGCTTTAGAATTTTAGAGGTCCATTAAAAGCCAATTTTTACCTTTTAAATCAGGCTATCCGAAGCTCCAAAAGCACTAAGTCAGTTCGTTCTCATAGCTCCTAGTGACGGCTTGAGCTCCAAGTTTTGGAGCTTTTGGGGTATATTTGAGCGTCATGTAGTTGTCGATACCTAGCCGCCGGAAAAGCGGATTCTCGCGCTTCCCAGTCCCTTTAGCTCACCTCATATCGGACACGATGCTGAGCGCGTGGCTGTGTCGATCAGAGGGATCGCTTCTGGGGGAGGGGCGAAAGGAAGAGCGACAGGAAGACACGGATCGGAGCATCACCAGGAAGGAGGACCTGAAATTATTGTTTTCTCCCTCTCTCCCTATCTCGCTTTCTCTCTCTCTTCTCTCGTCTCTCTCGTCTCTCTCTCTCACTCTCTCTCTCTCCCTCTCTCTCTCTCGCTCACCTCCTACTCGATCTATGACTATTCCCCGACGGCATCCACATCATAATGTTGTATCCATTCGCCAGGTCTCCGGCTCTGAAACGAGGCGATTGGGTTTAGCTGCCTGAAACCAAAATCTTGGCAGGGTGGCAGTTAGCTTGAAGTGGTATTAACTTACTTTGGTCTGGTAATCCTATTCAAAGTGAGTGTAGCGGCCAGGGCGACGAGTAGAAGGAGTGCGACTCCGAGGCAGAACACTAACGGTTCATCCCCGGATCCCGGATGTTCGGCTTCTTCGATGAGGACCCAGGAGGGCTGAAAAAGAGTTTCCTCGCGCGGCTCGGGTACCAGGTTGCTTTAAGTACTCGTAATTAGTATAAATCGTAGGGTTTAAGGCCTAACGAGATCGGTAGATTAGCATAAAAGCCGTTCGAGTTCGTCAAGCTTTCCTGACCTTCGTCCGATTCCGCCCATCCGTATCGTCGTCGAGCAACAACCAGGAAGGTTCACAATGAGGGACCTGAACTCCGTTTTAAAGGACTTCTGAAGCCAAAGATAGTTTATGGATTGATTCAGAAGCGGAAAATCATACCCGTAATGTGTCGTTGAGCATCATGACAAGCTGGCAGCACGCCAGGCGCGACATGTTCATCGGGCGGGCGCAAAGGTGCATGGTGGAACTGGAAAACGAGAGATTGGGAGAGAGAGAGAGAGAGAGAGAGAGAGAGAGAGAGAGAGAGAGAGAGAGAGAGAGAGAGAGAGAGAGAGAGAGAGAGAGAGAGAGAGAGAGAGAGAGAGAGAGAGAGAGAGAGAGAGAGAGAGAGAGAGAGAGAGAGAGAGAGAGAGAGAGAGAGAGAGCTAGAAACGGATGTCGAAATTTTCACGTTGAAATCAGATTTTCTCTAGAGCAACCAGTAATGAAGAAATCAAACCAGCGAGAGAGCGAGAGAGAGAGAAAGAGAGAAAGAGAGCGAGCGAGGGAACGAGAAAGAGAGAGAATCCAAATAACAAACTTTCCGTATTTAGCCCATATTAGCCAAAAATCCAAGCCAAATTTCCCACCCAGCACCCAAATTCGCCCCTAAATTCAGCCGCCTCCACCACCCCCGAATTCGCATGCATACAAAAAGCCGTGAAAATCGGAAGGACACGCTGAGGGTGTCACCATGGCGAATACGAGCAATGGATAGTGCTTGGCGGAAAGGTTATTTACTCCAAGCAATGCATACGGTGAGAGGAGCAGGTCAGAGGACTATAGTGACAATAATCACAAGCTGCAGATTTTGGCCTTGAGGAAAAGGAGATGCAGCTAAAAATAGTTTTTTCGGCCTTCAGGCTGTTGAGTGGGAAAGAGCAGGCTTGGAAGAGGGGGCGAGCGAGAGAGAGAGAGAGAGAGAGAGAGAGAGAGAGAGAGAGAGAGAGAGAGATAGAGAGAATGATAGTGCAAGACAGTGAGAGATAGTGCTAGAGAATGGGAACTCGACAATGATGTTCCTGAAAATCAGAAGGAATTAGCGAGAGAAAGGATGAGAGAGTGAGAGGTAGAGAGAGAGGGGGGGGGAGAGCGAGAGAGAACGGGACAGAGAGAGAGAGAGAGAGAGAGAGAGAGCGTGGAAGCAAGCGCTTCCACTAAAAGGAAAATGATCATCCTCCATTTTTCTGGGAATTTTTGCTTTTTTCCACCTAGTCGCCGATTGCTTTCTCTCCTAAAAACCCGTGTTTTCGACAAAGCTCAAAAAACTAGTGGCAGCGCAAAAATGGGGTGGTTGCAGGGTTGGGTGAGCAGCTTCTTGTCTTTTTCCGCATGGCCCAGGCGGGGAACGGCAATTATAGGGTAGTTTGTTTTCCGGCTCGATTTCTCACTTTTGGGGGCCTGGCTAGGGGCTATGAGACCCCCCCCCTACCCAACAATGGCCCCGGTCTCACAATCGGCTATTTGACGTCATCATCTGGCCCCGGAAGCTTTGAGATTTTTTCGTGTGGGTTTTACGATGAAAGCAACTTAATGAATGCCAAAAATAGATAAAGCATTTGCTTTGAACGGAAATGGCACTTAAATCTGGTAGAAAAATTTACTATTAAAAAGCGGCGTAAAAATGGTGCGCGTAAAATGCCTTCAAATGTTCGAAGGTAAGGGAAAACGGCGAAATAATTTAAAAATTGAAAACCCCTTTAAATTGCAAAATTTTCGGAACCAAAAAACCAGTTAAAACCGGAAGGGTTTTTCGTGAATTTGAAATTTTGCCGAAATTGCTCAGGTAAAAAAACCCAATTTTTAGCCGCAATCCAGAGCAGTCTCGATCTTCGAGGGCTCTTTAAAACGAAAAACCCCCGAATGCTAAGTGTAAGCAACTGTAAAAACCTGAAAACCTCTTTCCTGGGGGTTAGAAAGCTTTTTGGATAAATACCCCATACAAGAGATAAACTTAAAAACTTAAAATAATAAATAACTTAAATTTTACATTTTTAGCGAAATACACTAGGCCGAAAAACAACTTTTTTTTGCCCAAATACGTAGCAATTTTGGTCTTCCAGGGCCCTGAAATACAAAAAAAAAACTCCGAAAAACAACAACTATAACCTAGAACTTTGCAAAAAAGCAAAACGCAACATTCCGAAAAGAAAAACAAAAGCTAAAAGAAAAAGGCTTCTGGGACCTTTGGGTCCACGGGGGCATAAATTGGATTTGTTAGGGGATTTGCTGCCCTTGGGCCTTCGCCTTTTTTCTCGTTTTCTTTTTTGCTGTCCCTCGGCCCCTGGTGCCATTTCCCGGGTTGAAAAATTCATGGCTATGCCCGTTATGCGCGGGGCATAGGAATGGGCGGTCTTTAGGAGCGGAGCGGAACGGAGCCCGGGCGAGACGGCGGAAAATAATTAGCGCTGATGAATTGGGTTAACGGAAAAGCGGCGGAATTGGCAGAATACCCCTCGGAAATTGGGACATACGAAAAACTCGATTCTTGCAATTTTCAAAGAGGTCTGCAGGCTGGGGAAGCTAGCAGAGATCTTTTGGGAAGCAGAGCTTTTCGAATTTGTGGAAATGTATAGAAATCCGCAGGGTCCAAATCCTAATACCCCAAATCCCCACAGCTCAATGGTGATTGCCAAAATTCCGTCACGCAAAAATGCCGACAGCCAAATAACGACATTCAAAATGCCGACAAGCCAAAATTCAGACAACCAGGCTAGCTGCTTAAGCGGAAGTGCCACCCAACTAGCGTCAAGAATATCTCGAAATGATGGCTGTCGGGAAATACTGCCGTGATCATGGTTGTCGGTATTTTCACCGTCGGGAGTATGGCTGTCGGGATTATCGCTGTTGGAATTTTGAATTTTTGGCTGTCGGCATTATATTTGTCGGTTTGGCTGTCGCGATTATGGTTGACGGGATTAAGGTTGCCAGAATTTTGGCTGTCGGGATTATGGTTGTCGGTATTTTTGCTGAAATACCTATAGAAACCTTTAGCTAAAAATAGAACAAAATGAAACAGGCATTTCGTATTCATTCCATCCATTCATCCGTTTCTTCAATTCTAGTTCATTTCAATGGGCAGACTAGCGGAGAATCTTTAGGAATTTGCGAAAATTATGGGGAGCTCGTCCTCCGCATAAAAGTTATCGACATTTAGCTTCCGACTAGTGTCACATAGCCTAGCGCGGGGGCGGATGTCCACTCAACAACTCCCCCGGGGGACCAATCAGTACGACGAGGAGCACCAGCACTGCCAGACGGCCGAAATTCAGAAGTTGGTTCTCCTCCCTCCCACTCGACAACATGATCCCCATGTCCCACCCCAACACAGCCAATTCTTCTTCTTTTTTGGGGGTGGCCGAATTTCTTTGGGTGGTTCGCGTGGGGCTGTGAGTAGTGGTGGTGGGTAGGCGTGAAGGGGGAAAGGAGAAGCTGGAAGAAGCCGAAAGGGGGGAAGTGCCTTGTTTTCGCTCATTCAATTTCTGGACCTCCTTCCGGGGCTGGAGGGATACTCAAGCCGTTGGGGTAACACTTGCTTGTAGTTTTTTGAGCTTGAAAAGTGGGTTTTTCGGGGGGTTAAAGGGATTGTGAAGTCAGTGGAACGGCGGGTTTTCGAAACAACAGCTGCAACTATCATTTAAAATTGGTTTCCGTTTAACTCACCGTTTAAATTAAAATTAACTTGAGGACAAAACCTAAAAGGCAGAATTATAACAAAACGTTCTCTTACAGTTTCTCCTAAATTTTTAATGAGTAGCTTATCGAAGCCATTGATAAGGTAAAATCGGATGGGAAGTTCATCGAATCTTTCATCTTTTTTAATCAAGAAGTGGAATTTTTCCGGAAAAGGGGAACAAACGGAGAAGTGGGCCGTTCCGCGGCCAGATTAATCCCCTCTAAGGGCCCACAAAAAACCTACGAAGAAACGCCGTGGGGAACAATGGAGATGACGTGACGGAAAACTACTCAAAAATGGACATGAAAATAAATTAAAAATTTACAACGTACTGTAGGAATGTTACTCGCTACCTGAAAGAAGACATCTTTGTCTTCCAATCCCGACTTTGTGGCCTTGCGAAACTCGGAAAAAAGTTCTGAGCGTCGACTATGCGCTTGCGGCTCTTTAAAGGCACAGTGAAGGAAGAACTGGGCATCCATATTCTAGTAAAATGCTGACATTTAGGTTTGAAGCTCTTCTACAGGGCCAGTGGTAGAAAGGTTCATAAAAAAACAGCTGATTTTGTCGTCGAAGGATACCGACTACGAAAACGGCCAAGTGACGCAACGCGGCTGGACCGTACAGCCTAGCAAATTCTCAAGGCAGTGAGGAAATCGTGCATTTTTTTAGAAAGAGACTTGTTTGTATAGAGTTTTGAGCTTCCTTCAAGTTTATGACACCTTTAAAGGGACAGTGACAGCAGGTTCTAATATCAACGACCGCCAATGGCTAGGAAGAACCCTACCAACTACGTCATCGTCCAAATGACGCAGTAAGCGTACAGCCTATCAACCCCCAAGATCAGTGAGGAAATCGTGCTCGGACCACCAGAACCAGAGCCATATTTGGAAAAGCCTAGTGGTGGTCGTGGTAGAAGAAGAGGAATGGCCTCACAGGGCACAGATATCCCTGGTTTGGCCCTGGGACGGACACACAAGATGGGGATGGGCCCTCTAGGGGGGGGATGGATGGGTCCCAAGGGGGGACCCATCCACCCCCCGCCATATCTGCCCCCATTCTCCTTGCCCCCGGACCATGCTCAAACACACTTTTTTTCAGCTTAAAAAGACGAAATGGGCACAACGCTGGCGCTTGCACTTTTTGGGAGTGAGATAGTCTAGTTTGGAATGTGGGCCAGGAAACGGAGAGTTTTGGCAGAAGCTGAAAAATACGCTAGTTTACTACAGGGTGTCCCAAAATTATCCGGACAAAGTTTCAAAGCGGTTTCTTCCTATTTTTTCCCTGTTTTTGCAGACCATAATATACTTTCTATGAATCTTTGAAGTGTATTTAAATAGCTGAAAAAGAAAACTGCGCGTGAATCCATTATATCTCTTCGGCACAAATCGAGGAAGGTTGAACGAAATTCCTTGCCCCTTGCAAACGCTAAAAAAGCGCGTTGTTTCCGATCCCATAAAAAACTTCAGCATGATCGGACCAACTAAGAAACCACAGGAAGAGTTCGGAAATGATCAGTCAACACTCTAGTCAGCCCAAAAACCCCAGGTTTACACCAGAAAAAAAACAGCGGGCAAAAAAGTTGAAATCAAGGTACGCGCCGCCCCAGTTACTTTAAAGGATTTGCCCTGGAGGAACCCTAAAAACGCGATATTAATCTTGTCAAAAACCAGAGGATAAACTTTTGACGGTACCGATGAAGTACAAGCTATTTAAATTAAGCCAACTTTGGTTTTTGAGGAGCTTGAGCACGAGCAAGCATCGAAACACCATGACCGGTAATGGGACCGAAATCGGTATTAAACGGAAAAATAACCATTTGCATGATGGAATCTTGGCGGAGTTAGGTCCGTTTTGCCAGAAAACGTCATTTCTGGCCGACAAAAATGTCTGAACACATTTTGAAAGCTTACCCCAGTTTTATGTTATTTAAGAGGCGAAAAATTTTAACACGGTCTTCGCTCGATTGTGAGGCTATTAATGCGTTCTCCAAGAAATTTTTTTGCACGGTGCATCGAAAATGCCTCAAAAAATATTATGAAATACAATGCGGGGGCCGAAAACAGCGGAAAAATTGAAAAAGTCAGTTTTCAGTTTTGTCCGGATAATTTTGGGACACCCTGTATTTCCGGGCGTGTATGAGCTTTGAAAAAGGAAAACAATCTAGCTTCTTTGTATTTTTGTAATTTGAACCAACGAATTGCCGGGAAAATTGCTTACAAACTCAGAATTAATAGTTGCCCAATCTCCTTGAAAACCCAGCAAAATTAAAGCTGATCTCGAGGTCTTTTAACAAGCTTTGAATAGACAAAGATTGTACAAGCCTGAAAATGTGGGAAAAGGTAACTTTGGTCTCAAAAACAAAATGATACCAGCAGAAATAACAACAAATAATTTAAAGTTAATCCATGGTATAAATCATCTATTTGAAATATATAATTAGACGTAGAGGAATGACCATTTCGAGTTTCGGAAAGTTAATAAAATCTGGATCTAAACTAATTTTCCAAAAATATTTGAATAGCTACGTCAGCACAAACAAGATATTCATGTTTTCAAGCGCGAAATACAAATCTTTGATCGAAACAAAAAGGGCCCGATGAACTTTAAAAACCCAATATAGGCATTTCCGGCTAACCCTTTGGAAAAAGACACGGACGCGAAAACGTGTACACGCAAAAGGGAGAAAATAAAACTAAACCAATCAACCTTAGTTCAGCTATGCCCACATGTTTATGATCAGAATTAAATTGTACACACCCTAAAAAAGTCAAACTCTAGGCATTCAAGACGAGATTTTCCGGTCCTCTAACAATAAAAACCGATCAGGAACTTGAACCAGACGCCCAAGTGACCTTTCGGTACCCCCTGAAAAAAGTCCGACTCGAACCCGGGGTTCCACCGGATGAACACGCCAGGAAACCTGGAGGAAACGAGTCGAAGCGGGCCAGGGGGGCCAACCAGGCAGGCCGGAGCAAGAGGAAGTATGTCGGGCTCATGCCACCCCAGGGGGACACCACCACGACCAAAAAGCGCGTAATTCGATGCCAGGGCCTGGGCCCCGCCGCGGCGCCTAAATGTCTGCTCCACATTTGGGCCCAAGTGGGGAAAACGAATGTTCGTCCGGGCCGCAGGCAAAACTGGCGAATGCGAGACCCTCGGAGATGTTGTTATGTTCGACCGGGGCTGGGTGGTGTCCCAATGGGGCCCATTGAGACACTCACTGGGACACACTGCTGCTGCCCACACATCACAAATTATGTGACACCCGGAAGTGGAGATTTCGCCTTGAAGTTGGGCTCGTTCCATGCTAGCCCTAAAACACTGGTGGGGGAACTCGAAAACCCGCCATCCAGAATTTTCGGGATTTTGGCTGTCGGCTTTCAACGCTGGCACTTGAGCATTAGCGGGGGGAGGGAGGAGGGGAAATCTGCACCGGGACTCTCGTCGAGGTGCAACTCAAAACATTGTTACGGCATCCCGGCTAGTGATGAAAGAAGCCCCTCCCCCGGAAATACACAAGTACCTTTTGTCTGTTAAATTATGTTTGTTAAATCTGTTTTGATTTAAATTATCATCGACTTTTTGTCGAAACTGTAACCAAAAGGATTTGCCAAACATTTATTGCCAATCCAGTGGCCGTGCAAAATTTCAAACGTGTAAAATGAGAAAATGAGAGACCGTCGTGAGGACCCGAAAGGAAATGAGAAGAATGCTACGGTAGGGTTAGTTGCGCTTCAGTACTCATCGTGGACCTCGATGTACTCACCGGAGACGTCGACCGTCTCGGCTTCTCCCTAAAAAAGAACAGTTATATTGCTATGTAAAAAAATTCAAGATCTCGCTAAAATTAACACCGCGAGAAAATCTTAAACTTTTCAGAACAAATATTCTAAAATCAAAACGTCAAAAATTTAAACTTTTAAAAACCATTTAAAAGTTTAAAACGCACCACAATCATGATCTGATCCCCATCCTGGATATCGAGCTCCCCGGTGGCGGCCAGCCGCTGGAGGTCGGACTCGTGGAAGGCGCCCTCGATCCGGACCTAAAAAATTTTAGGTATTTAAAAATCTAATCTTAATACAAATAATAATAGCATGAATAAAGATAAATAAATAATTCGAGGCTACCTCCAAAATCGTCCCGTCCGCCTTCTTGATGTGCAATATCGTGGTAGCCGCAACGTCCTCATGGTCAACAGGTTCTGGAGAGCCCGAGGCTTGCGCTTTCGACTTTTCGATGCTGGCCACCTCTTCGGGCGTGACTTCCGGCTCGAGGGTGGGTGGGGCTTCTTCATCGTCCTCCTCGTCCTCGAGCTCTTCTAAAAACCATGAGTGCTTTGATAAACTTCAGTGATTTTTAGTGTGAAAAACATATAAATCCATGAAAAAAAAAAATCGAGATTTTCTTCAAAAAACGAGTTTTATACGCATTTGTAAAGTTTTGCGTTTGAAAATAGCAAAAATTGAATACTGAATTGAAGAAATACGCCTGTATTTATATTGAAAAATTAACCCTTCGGAAAAAGCTTGTTTTATACTTTTTTTCTCTTCGATTAATAAAATTGGATTAAGTTAATTTAATCAATACCCACCATTAAGCTGCCGAAATTCGCTGGCCTCCCTCGCTGCGAGCGCCTCTTTCAGCGTAATCGCGTGCGCGCGGCGCATGTGCATATCGATGCCGGCCTCGCTGTAGAAGATTATGCCTAAATCGAAAATCAACTGTTAAAACAAGCTACTAACCGCAAATAGGACACGCTTGGCCTGGCTCCTTAGTGCCGGCCTTTTGTACGGTCATCATGGGCGGTGGCTGTGAGCCCGAGCCGCCAACGGTGCGGAACATTTGTCGACGGACGAGCTCGTCGTTGCCTGGAAAATAAAATTAAATGGAATCTAAATAAAATTTAAAATAAAACAACTATTTTTAAGAGTGTAGACCTTCCAAAACAATTCGAAACCGATTATTTTAAACTAAATATGCTTACTTATCGATGGCGGTTTCGCCGTAGTGCAGCTTAACCTGGCGACCCCAAGCGTCGGCGTCAATTTGACCTGTCTTTGCGACAGTCCACGGACGATTTTTCGAAGCCCCGGCGCATCCATCTGAATAAATGTACGAATTACGCAACGACAAATACCAAAAATGCGCAAAAAAATACACGAAAAATCAGCTAACAAAAACACTTAGAATATTGCGACAATATTAAATTATTCACCCGTTCTCGCAAATCTTGGTCGATAAACGTCCGCGTGTACGGGCAGCTCTTCCGGTAGTGATAAAGAAGATTGTAGTCGTATTTGAACCTGAAAGATAATAATAAAACGTCAAAACAGGGTGCTTTTTACCGATTTCCACACAATATGCAGTGATGCGCACCGTAGGACGCATGGAAGCCGGCGAGATGCCGCTCGAGGCGCCCGTTGTTGGCGAATGTTCTGAAAATATGCAGCTAAAAAACCGAATTATCAATTTTTATGTATAGTGCTGCTTCGATACGATTTTTCCCCTTTCTAAACGTAAACTATACAAATCCCCATTACAAACTACTAAACAAATCGATTTTTCGAGCCAAACGACCGTTTTTGTCCAAAAAAAAAGATTTCTAAAATTTTTTCTAAGCTTTCTGCATGTCTTTCCATCTGGACTATTGCTAAATCCTTGTAAAAACACCGTTAAATGCATAAAAATTTGTAACAGCACCCACACTAGTAGCAACATACCGATAGCACAGGCTGCACTGGACGGGCAGCGTATCCATGCTCCATTTTGCCTTGTCCTCCACCCGGCGGACCAGCGTCTGCTCCTCGTCCACGAAATCGTCGGCAAAAACGAGGCCCTAAAACCAAACAATATTGAAAAATACAAAAAAATACCTGCTCGTCAATAAATCGCGCATCAACGACCGGCTCTTCCCCGCTAGCACCGGGTTCTAACTGGAATTAAAAATTCTAGTTTTCTAAACAAAAATTCCACCATCTCGTCCCGCAGAAATTCGTCCTTGGTCAGCTTCTTGCCGGCATTCCGGATATCACTGTCCTCAATCTCCGTGGTAGCCGCTTTTTGGATCAGGTCCTTGACCATGATCTGGAGCTGACGATCATCCAGGGTCAGCTCGACGTTTTCGGGGAGGTTGGCCTACAATTTTTACCTTTCGAAATGATTCTGATACCTGAATTTCCGGGCATGCCGTGCGCCAATGCTTGATCAGGTTGAAGTGCTGGCGGAACATCAAGCCACAGAGGTCGCAGAAATATCTGGAAAATAGAAAATTAGATTTTATTTCAACTTGCTATTGGATCGAATGGTTTAATAACTGGTTTGTAGCCAAAAAAAACTACTTTAAAGCTTCTAGCTACTTTACCGAAATAAAAAGTAGAAAACGACCAACCCGCCACACGCGCTCCTTTCATCCGGATTTATCAGCCCGCGATGTATCTTCAAATGCCGTGCCATATGCGAAGCGAGCACCATCACGCCACAAGCCGCACACGTCATCCCGCGACGCCCTAAAAACCTCCTCTTTAAATTGAATGCTACTAGTATACCTAGCGGATTATGCGGCATCTCCAGCTTCGTCAATGGGCCATTTTGGAAAAGCAGCGATCGAGATATTCCGATGTCAATCGGCCCAATTTCAGCCTTTTTCGAGGCCACGTCATCGACAAGCGCGCGTAGAGAATTCACGTCCATATGCTAGAAATATTATTCCATATAAATCCATATAAATCTACCTTTCTGTTCTCATCGGCGCCTAGTAAATCGTTCAAATCTCGGCATGTCCGTCGCCAATGGTGGAACAGGTTATATTCGTATTTGTAGGTTTTGCCGCACAGCGGGCAGAGGTACGAGCCGTAGACCTAAAAATAAAACTTTAACTACGTTTTTATTTCTGAACATATACTTTTTAAAATTAATCCAGCTCAGAATGTTTATGTCGTAAAACCGAACCTGATGCACAGCCAAGTGTCGCTCAAGCCGAGCAGCATTCAGAAAAACGTCACCACATTCCGGACACCGACATTGGCCCTGTCTTCTCAAAACTTGTGACGTTTTGCCCTTCAGCCCTTGCGGTCGCATCACGTCTTCGTCGTCTACACCTGAAAATTTCTTTTATCTCAGTACATTTATAGTTCTTTTTATTACTTATTTGAAACTAAATCCCTAAATCTAAATCTTTTGAAAAATCTGGCCTACCTTCTTCAACCAGCGCAGCGTGGGCTCCCTTCAGCGCCATTATTGTCATCGTGTGCTTTCCGTCGGCCTCAGTGATTTCTATCGTATTAACGTCTTCCATATCTAAAGATGTCCTGTTTATACTCCTTAAATACCCCCACCAATGCCGTCGTGCTTCGGGTCATCTTCAAATGCCGCGTAGAGCTGCCCATTTTCTCCTTCGACAATCAGACCCTCGAATTCCTCATCTTCTGCGGGTTTTGCGAGATTGAACTCCTAAAAATAGGAGTATGGGGTTATGATACTGAAAAATTACCTGACTACTCGTCGATGGGCCCGGATCGAGCATGGGGCGCTTGGGCGGCGGGGGTATAAATTTGCTGTCGCCATATTGGTGGGCTGAAAAATCGTCATTCAGAAGCTTTATTAAATATCGGTTTGATTTAGTAATTAACGTCGTATCCCCCTGGTCAAAATATGCAATTTCTATCTACAAATTAAAAGCAATCGAGTTTTACAAATCCCAAAAGTCAAAATCGCGTATGACCCAGGTTTTTTTCAGAAGTTCATTATAAAGTTGCAGCTTCCCAAAAACATTTACGCAACGAAAAACAAAATTAACGTACCCATTTTGAAGTCGGCGGCGCAGGGCACTTCCTGATTTTGCCTGAGCCCGTGATGTTGCAGGGTCGCTTGGGGGCGCCGTGCGAACGCCAATGGTGCAGCTGCTGTGTCGGGGGCACGGATTAGCCTCCTAAAATTAACGGTAGCAACTGAGCAGGAGAGGGTATCGTACGTACGGAAGTCGGAAAGAAACGTAGCCGGCAAAAATGTTCAGAAAAGGTAGATTAAATCCAAAGGTAGCACTGCTAGCGTTGCACAGGCCTAGATCGTAACAGCCGTGAAGCGTTTGAACGTTTGAACGGAACGTACTGCCTTTTTTTATACGCTACGATACGCGTAGGCACCCAGTAGATAAATTATATTCTCTCATTCTTTAATCCAAGCGTTTTCTGGCTGAAATAACGTAGTTAGTGGCTGAGTACCCGATATCCATTTGAACTCTGCATGTTCCCCGCCCGCGCCCTGACTCGACACCCGCCTGGACCACCTCGCCACCACAACTACTCGCCCACCGCTTCAACGACATCGCTTCTGGCCTTTGGCTAAGATCAATGTTAGTAAAAAGTTCTTATCGGCTTAATCTCCGATACGTACACTATTGTGTACAACGAGATTAACGTATTTTTGGAAATGGTTCGGTTAGCAGAAGCTTGCTTCTCGCCGAATAGCGTCGGCCCGGCATTGCACTTACTGCTGGGATCGGCGCACACCCCGTAAGGGGTGAACAATACCTTAAAAATCAATTACAAGAATCACATCGGTTTATTATTACTTCGAAAAGGACCCCGAAGCAACCTACAAATTTACAAAGTTCTGCGTGAAATTTAGGGTACAAAAGCCCGGTATTTCGTTTGTAGTTTTAGATATATTTCCTATAGCTGTAACCATTTATCATAACTGTACATAAATAATGTGGTCAAGAAGGCAAAAAGGCACCGATAGCACAAAGAGACTGATGAGGAATGGGCAAAAGCGGAAAAGTTGTGCGACAAGAAGCTGCTATAGTATCACCAAGTCAAAAACTAGCGATTTATGTTGTAGAACTGCACCGGGAGCACGGTAACCTATGTAAATAGTAAAATGTTATGAAAACTGAGCTAACACGGCAACGTTTGATGCGGAGGGTACACGTTGAGGAAAGAGCAACACACATAGAAAACTGGAAACAACAAAAACTTCAAAAAATTAGTCCAAATGGTCGATGGCGATTCTGACGAAAAGGGTGGCCGACGTGTCGACCGTGTGCGCGTAGCCGGTGTTGAGGCGAATTGAGGAGTAGCCTAATAATCCAAAATATTCAAAAAATATAAAACTCATTTACCTGGCCTCATGCTCGCAACCGGCAATGTATACTCGCCGACGAAATCGTTCGATGATGTCGCGTCAAAGTCCTAAATTCGTAAATTATAAAAATGAATTCTTAGGTATTATCGTGGGGAGGGAGTGTGGAACCGAATTTTTGTTTGAGTCTAGAAATGTCTAGTAACTTCATAGAAATTGTTTTATTAAACAGAAATCCTTTTAAAAAGTCGAAATTCTGGTCAAAAAAACCCTCTATTTTTGAGATCGTGATTTTTTTGTATTTTAAATAGCGCCTGAAAGTTTGTAGATTGAGGATTCGTAAAAACAGTAAACAGTTCGGAAACACTCTACTAGTTTAGAACTTCTATATTTGAAAAATCCGGAGCTACGAAAAAGCCTCCCCCCGATAATGCGCTAGACCCTAAAACTCAAAATCTTCTTTACCTTTACGACAAATTAGTAAAAATGTTAGTAAAAAGTTCTTATCGGACTGATACATACACTTGATCTTTACGGGAAGACCTCATTTCGGTTACTCATCGGTTTATCGCCCTTGATATCGACTTGAGACAGACTACCGGGCCAAATCGGACCACTCGATTATCGTCTCTTCAACCACGGCGCCAACCAAGATGGCCCAAGACGACGACGACGAGGACGACGACAGCCTGCGGATTCCTGTGGGCGACGTGTACGTGCCGCCCGTCGACTCGTCCTCTTCGGAGGCCGATTCGGACGGGGCCGTAACGGAGCCCCGGAAGACCAGGACGAGGAGGACGACTACGCCTGCCCAGAGGACCCCGGCTTCTATTACCTACCAACGCCAATCGATACCTACCAGTGTCGGATTTGTGCAGCGGGACCGTATAAGTTGCAGGGGGGACTCACGCGGCATCTCAAGCTCACCCACCGCCTCGCCATCAAGTTCCGATGTGCCGTCTGCCGGACCCGATTTGATACGATCAAAGCGGTGAAGTACCACCAAGCCAACACCGTCGCCTGCACACAAGCCACCACGCAGCCACCGCCACCCGTCCAGCCCGTTGTCGCTCGGAATAGCCCACGGCGGATCAGACCTGGGTCCCCCCATCCTGTGAGTCCAAGGGTGCGCTCCAGCGATAGCGAGTCTGAGACGTTCGTCACGCCCGTCAACACTGTGCGTCGCCCCGCCCGTGCTCAAGTCGCAAGCCCGCCGCCAAGCCGTCCACCATCTCCAGATGCTCCTCATCAACCTGACCCCCTCATGGACATCTCCCAAGATGGATGGGTCACACGGTTCACGGATGTGGCCGACACAGCAGACTTGGAAAAGCTGGCCGATGAACTGACTACCGTGATCAAGGCCAAATACTCGATACGTGACAAGCCGCCGCCACGCAAGCCACCAGCCCGAGCTCGTCCGCCGCCACCAAGCACACCTACAGGACGGAGACGTGCCCAAGCCCGCTACTGCCCTAAAGCCGCCTCTCGGATCCAGAAGCTCTACCGTCGGTCTCGGCCGAGAGCCTATAAGGAAATCACGGAGGAATCTTCGCCGTTCTGCGATATCCCGAGTGACGACCTCCACAACCACTTCTCCAAAGTGTTCGAAAGAACTGATGTGCCCGACCAAAGCCGACTCCCTCGATCGGTTCCACAACACGACAATGACATCCCAGATGGCGACTCCAATCCATTTGCTGACGACTACACGCCACAAGAACTCTGGGATCGTCTTCTCCACGTCAAGAACACTGCGTCTGGTCCCGATGGTGTCCGCTACTCTGTGCTGAAGCTCTTCGACCCGGGTGCCAAGGTCCTCGCCGCCTACATGAATGCCGTCCGCCGCCTCAAGTACATCCCAAGCTCCTGGAACGGCTCCAACACCATCTTGGTGCACAAAAAAGGCCCGAAGGATGACGTCTCCAACTGGAGGCCCATCACACTCTCAAACACCGTCGCCAAGTTGTACGCGTCCGTGATGGCTCGCCGTCTCGGCAGATGGGCCCGCCTCCACAACCGCATCTCCAATGAGCAGAAGGGCTTCATGCCGGTCGATGGGTGCACAGAGCACAACTTCCTCCTCCAGTCCGTGATCGTCGAGACCCGCCGCGACACAAGGATCGACAGCAAGTGCGCCATTGCCTGGCTCGACCTCTCCAACGCGTTCGGCTCCGTCCCGCATGACTCGCTCTTCCGATGCCTCGAATACGCTGGCCTTTCGGTGGAGGCGATCGAAGAAATTCGTCGTCTCTACGAAGGTGCCACAACATGCGTCCGAAGTTCTACTGGTCCGACTCCGGCCATCAACATTCAAGCGGGGGTCAAGCAGGGCTGTCCGCTTTCGCCGATCGTGTTCAACCTTGCGCTCGAGCCCGTCATCCGTGCCGTCATCAACATGGATGCTGGCTTCGTGATCAATGGAAGAACGGTGTCTGTGCTCGCCTATGCTGACGACCTTGCCATCGTGACCAAGGAGCCCGACGATCTACATGCTGTGCTTGAGACCGTGTCCGAAGTTTCGACGTGGCTGGGGCTCGTGTACAACGCCAAGAAATGCGCAAGTCTCGTCGTCAACTCCAACAAGCACACTGCCATGCCGATCAAGTACTCCGTTCAAGGCTCTCCGATGGTGACGCTCGACACTGGTGGGCATTACGAGCATCTCGGCGTGCCCACCGGCTACTATCAAGGCTCATCGGCTGAGAAGACGATCAACAAAATGCACCAGTGCCTCGACAAGATCCACAACTCGCTGCTCGCCCCTGGCAGAAGGCTGATGCTGTCAAAACCTTCACCCTCCCATGCATCGGCTTCCACCTGAAGAACGGCTACGTGGAGAAAAAGAAGCACCTCATCCCCTTCGACAAGAAGCTCAAGAAATACGGCAAGATGTGGCTCAACCTGCCAAGTCAAGCAAGCCCTGAAGTGCTCTACCTGCCGAATGAGATGGGAGGACTCGGCTTCATCCAGACGAAGACCCTCGCCGACGTGATGCAGCTGGTGCATGCTGTCCAGTTGTTGGAGTCGACTGATCTCGGCCCAATGACTGCTCAGCTGCTCCGCACGGCTGCCCAGAAGAAACTCCTTCGTGCGCCAACCGACTCCGAAGTGGCCGACTACCTGAACCAGAAGCTCGACGGTGCCTTCGAGACGTACTACGCCGACACCCGCAACATGTGGACAAGAGTGCGACAAGCAACGGGACGGCTGGTCAAGACGGACAAGCTCGATGTGAAGTGGACCTGGGCCAACGACAAGATCCAACTGCTCGTGCTCGGATGTGGCGTCACCAAGAAGACGTGTGAGAAGATGCTCAAGGGCGCCGTCCATCAAGCTCAACTCGTTCACCTCACCGCCAAGAAGAGTCAGGGGAAGGTCTACAACATCACCGCTCGCCAGCCCTGCTCCAACCACTTCATGCGTGACGGACGCTTCCTCCGTTTTGCGGATTGGCGCTTCGTTCACCGCGCAAGACTCGACGTGGTGCCGCTGAACGGATGCAAGCGTGCCCGTGATCACCATGACAAGACCTGCCGTAGATGTGGCGCCACGATCGAGAGCGTCGCCCATGTGCTCAATCATTGTCCAGTCCACAACCATGCGATCACCCTCCGTCACAATGCCATCGTCGACCGACTCATCAACGCCATCAAGTTGCCCGACACCACCACGAAATACGTCAACGTCAAGATCCCCGGCACCGATGGTCAACTACGCCCCGATCTCGCCCTCATCGACCATGTCAAGAAGCGTGTGACGATCGTGGATGTGACAATGTCGTTCGAGAACTACGACCTGAGCGTCTTCGAATCTGCACGTGACGGGAAGCTCCGCAAGTACGCCGACATCTTCAACAAGTTCACCGCGGACGGCTACGACACGTTCCTGGGCGCCTTCATCGTTGGCCCGCTCGGTGGATGGGATCAAGGAAACGAAGTAGTGCTGCGCCGCCTCGCCATCTCGGTCAAGTACGCTGGTCTGATGAAGAAGTTGATGGTCGCCGACGCGGTACGCTGGTCCAAGGACATCTACATCGAGCACGTCTGCGGGCAACGTCAATACCAAGTCTAAAGAAGCGATTCTCATTTCACCCATTTTCAAATTGTCAATTTCTCGTGCCCCACCCCACTTGAATCCAAAATCTTGTTGTGATTTATTGATTCGTGTCATTTCTCCTCTAAAATGCTGTAACCCCCAATTCAAAATGACCTGCGCGTCATTCTATGCATCTTTCTCGAAATTGTGATCCACTTTGATCCGGCCCCCGGGCCGAGCATTGTCTGAATAAACGTTAAAAAAAAAAGTTCTTATCGGCTTAATCTCCGATACGTACACTATTGTGTACAACGAGATTAACGTATTTTTGGAAATGGTTCGGTTAGCAGAAGCTTGCTTCTCGCCGAATAGCGTCGGCCCGGCATTGCACTTACTGCTGGGATCGGCGCACACCCCGTAAGGGGTGAACAATACCTTAAAAATCAATTACAAGAATCACATCGGTTTATTATTACTTCGAAAAGGACCCCGAAGCAACCTACAAATTTACAAAGTTCTGCGTGAAATTTAGGGTACAAAAGCCCGGTATTTCGTTTGTAGTTTTAGATATATTTCCTATAGCTGTAACCATTTATCATAACTGTACATAAATAATGTGGTCAAGAAGGCAAAAGGCACCGATAGCACAAAGAGACTGATGAGGAATGGGCAAAAGCGGAAAAGTTGTGCGACAAGAAGCTGCTATAGTATCACCAAGTCAAAAACTAGCGATTTATGTTGTAGAACTGCACCGGGAGCACGGTAACCTATGTAAATAGTAAAATGTTATGAAAACTGAGCTAACACGGCAACGTTTGATGCGGAGGGTACACGTTGAGGAAAGAGCAACACACATAGAAAACTGGAAACAACAAAAACTTCAAAAAATTAGTCCAAATGGTCGATGGCGATTCTGACGAAAAGGGTGGCCGACGTGTCGACCGTGTGCGCGTAGCCGGTGTTGAGGCGAATTGAGGAGTAGCCTAATAATCCAAAATATTCAAAAATATAAAACTCATTTACCTGGCCTCATGCTCGCAACCGGCAATGTATACTCGCCGACGAAATCGTTCGATGATGTCGCGTCAAAGTCCTAAATTCGTAAATTATAAAAATGAATTCTTAGGTATTATCGTGGGGAGGGAGTGTGGAACCGAATTTTTGTTTGAGTCTAGAAATGTCTAGTAACTTCATAGAAATTGTTTTATTAAACAGAAATCCTTTTAAAAAGTCGAAATTCTGGTCAAAAAAACCCTCTATTTTTGAGATCGTGATTTTTTGTATTTTAAATAGCGCCTGAAAGTTTGTAGATTGAGGATTCGTAAAAACAGTAAACAGTTCGGAAACACTCTACTAGTTTAGAACTTCTATATTTGAAAAATCCGGAGCTACGAAAAAGCCTCCCCCCGATAATGCGCTAGACCCTAAAACTCAAAATCTTCTTTACCTTTACGACAAATTAGTAAAAATGTTAGTAAAAAGTTCTTATCGGACTGATACATACACTTGATCTTTACGGGAAGACCTCATTTCGGTTACTCATCGGTTTATCGCCCTTGATATCGACTTGAGACAGACTACCGGGCCAAATCGGACCACTCGATTATCGTCTCTTCAACCACGGCGCCAACCAAGATGGCCCAAGACGACGACGACGAGGACGACGACAGCCTGCGGATTCCTGTGGGCGACGTGTACGTGCCGCCCGTCGACTCGTCCTCTTCGGAGGCCGATTCGGACGGGGGCCGTAACGGAGCCCCGGAAGACCAGGACGAGGAGGACGACTACGCCTGCCCAGAGGACCCCGGCTTCTATTACCTACCAACGCCAATCGATACCTACCAGTGTCGGATTTGTGCAGCGGGACCGTATAAGTTGCAGGGGGGACTCACGCGGCATCTCAAGCTCACCCACCGCCTCGCCATCAAGTTCCGATGTGCCGTCTGCCGGACCCGATTTGATACGATCAAAGCGGTGAAGTACCACCAAGCCAACACCGTCGCCTGCACACAAGCCACCACGCAGCCACCGCCACCCGTCCAGCCCGTTGTCGCTCGGAATAGCCCACGGCGGATCAGACCTGGGTCCCCCCATCCTGTGAGTCCAAGGGTGCGCTCCAGCGATAGCGAGTCTGAGACGTTCGTCACGCCCGTCAACACTGTGCGTCGCCCCGCCCGTGCTCAAGTCGCAAGCCCGCCGCCAAGCCGTCCACCATCTCCAGATGCTCCTCATCAACCTGACCCCCTCATGGACATCTCCCAAGATGGATGGGTCACACGGTTCACGGATGTGGCCGACACAGCAGACTTGGAAAAGCTGGCCGATGAACTGACTACCGTGATCAAGGCCAAATACTCGATACGTGACAAGCCGCCGCCACGCAAGCCACCAGCCCGAGCTCGTCCGCCGCCACCAAGCACACCTACAGGACGGAGACGTGCCCAAGCCCGCTACTGCCCTAAAGCCGCCTCTCGGATCCAGAAGCTCTACCGTCGGTCTCGGCCGAGAGCCTATAAGGAAATCACGGAGGAATCTTCGCCGTTCTGCGATATCCCGAGTGACGACCTCCACAACCACTTCTCCAAAGTGTTCGAAAGAACTGATGTGCCCGACCAAAGCCGACTCCCTCGATCGGTTCCACAACACGACAATGACATCCCAGATGGCGACTCCAATCCATTTGCTGACGACTACACGCCACAAGAACTCTGGGATCGTCTTCTCCACGTCAAGAACACTGCGTCTGGTCCCGATGGTGTCCGCTACTCTGTGCTGAAGCTCTTCGACCCGGGTGCCAAGGTCCTCGCCGCCTACATGAATGCCGTCCGCCGCCTCAAGTACATCCCAAGCTCCTGGAACGGCTCCAACACCATCTTGGTGCACAAAAAAGGCCCGAAGGATGACGTCTCCAACTGGAGGCCCATCACACTCTCAAACACCGTCGCCAAGTTGTACGCGTCCGTGATGGCTCGCCGTCTCGGCAGATGGGCCCGCCTCCACAACCGCATCTCCAATGAGCAGAAGGGCTTCATGCCGGTCGATGGGTGCACAGAGCACAACTTCCTCCTCCAGTCCGTGATCGTCGAGACCCGCCGCGACACAAGGATCGACAGCAAGTGCGCCATTGCCTGGCTCGACCTCTCCAACGCGTTCGGCTCCGTCCCGCATGACTCGCTCTTCCGATGCCTCGAATACGCTGGCCTTTCGGTGGAGGCGATCGAAGAAATTCGTCGTCTCTACGAAGGTGCCACAACATGCGTCCGAAGTTCTACTGGTCCGACTCCGGCCATCAACATTCAAGCGGGGGTCAAGCAGGGCTGTCCGCTTTCGCCGATCGTGTTCAACCTTGCGCTCGAGCCCGTCATCCGTGCCGTCATCAACATGGATGCTGGCTTCGTGATCAATGGAAGAACGGTGTCTGTGCTCGCCTATGCTGACGACCTTGCCATCGTGACCAAGGAGCCCGACGATCTACATGCTGTGCTTGAGACCGTGTCCGAAGTTTCGACGTGGCTGGGGCTCGTGTACAACGCCAAGAAATGCGCAAGTCTCGTCGTCAACTCCAACAAGCACACTGCCATGCCGATCAAGTACTCCGTTCAAGGCTCTCCGATGGTGACGCTCGACACTGGTGGGCATTACGAGCATCTCGGCGTGCCCACCGGCTACTATCAAGGCTCATCGGCTGAGAAGACGATCAACAAAATGCACCAGTGCCTCGACAAGATCCACAACTCGCTGCTCGCCCCCTGGCAGAAGGCTGATGCTGTCAAAACCTTCACCCTCCCATGCATCGGCTTCCACCTGAAGAACGGCTACGTGGAGAAAAAGAAGCACCTCATCCCCTTCGACAAGAAGCTCAAGAAATACGGCAAGATGTGGCTCAACCTGCCAAGTCAAGCAAGCCCTGAAGTGCTCTACCTGCCGAATGAGATGGGAGGACTCGGCTTCATCCAGACGAAGACCCTCGCCGACGTGATGCAGCTGGTGCATGCTGTCCAGTTGTTGGAGTCGACTGATCTCGGCCCAATGACTGCTCAGCTGCTCCGCACGGCTGCCCAGAAGAAACTCCTTCGTGCGCCAACCGACTCCGAAGTGGCCGACTACCTGAACCAGAAGCTCGACGGTGCCTTCGAGACGTACTACGCCGACACCCGCAACATGTGGACAAGAGTGCGACAAGCAACGGGACGGCTGGTCAAGACGGACAAGCTCGATGTGAAGTGGACCTGGGCCAACGACAAGATCCAACTGCTCGTGCTCGGATGTGGCGTCACCAAGAAGACGTGTGAGAAGATGCTCAAGGGCGCCGTCCATCAAGCTCAACTCGTTCACCTCACCGCCAAGAAGAGTCAGGGGAAGGTCTACAACATCACCGCTCGCCAGCCCTGCTCCAACCACTTCATGCGTGACGGACGCTTCCTCCGTTTTGCGGATTGGCGCTTCGTTCACCGCGCAAGACTCGACGTGGTGCCGCTGAACGGATGCAAGCGTGCCCGTGATCACCATGACAAGACCTGCCGTAGATGTGGCGCCACGATCGAGAGCGTCGCCCATGTGCTCAATCATTGTCCAGTCCACAACCATGCGATCACCCTCCGTCACAATGCCATCGTCGACCGACTCATCAACGCCATCAAGTTGCCCGACACCACCACGAAATACGTCAACGTCAAGATCCCCGGCACCGATGGTCAACTACGCCCCGATCTCGCCCTCATCGACCATGTCAAGAAGCGTGTGACGATCGTGGATGTGACAATGTCGTTCGAGAACTACGACCTGAGCGTCTTCGAATCTGCACGTGACGGGAAGCTCCGCAAGTACGCCGACATCTTCAACAAGTTCACCGCGGACGGCTACGACACGTTCCTGGGCGCCTTCATCGTTGGCCCGCTCGGTGGATGGGATCAAGGAAACGAAGTAGTGCTGCGCCGCCTCGCCATCTCGGTCAAGTACGCTGGTCTGATGAAGAAGTTGATGGTCGCCGACGCGGTACGCTGGTCCAAGGACATCTACATCGAGCACGTCTGCGGGCAACGTCAATACCAAGTCTAAAGAAGCGATTCTCATTTCACCCATTTTCAAATTGTCAATTTCTCGTGCCCCACCCCACTTGAATCCAAAATCTTGTTGTGATTTATTGATTCGTGTCATTTCTCCTCTAAAATGCTGTAACCCCTAATTCTAAATGACCTGCGCGTCATTCTATGCATCTTTCTCGAAATTGTGATCCACTTTGATCCGGCCCCCGGGCCGAGCATTGTCTGAATAAACGTTAAAAAAAAAAGTTCTTATCGGCTTAATCTCCGATACGTACACTATTGTGTACAACGAGATTAACGTATTTTTGGAAATGGTTCGGTTAGCAGAAGCTTGCTTCTCGCCGAATAGCGTCGGCCCGGCATTGCACTTACTGCTGGGATCGGCGCACACCCCGTAAGGGGGTGAACAATACCTTAAAAATCAATTACAAGAATCACATCGGTTTATTATTACTTCGAAAAGGACCCCGAAGCAACCTACAAATTTACAAAGTTCTGCGTGAAATTTAGGGTACAAAAGCCCGGTATTTCGTTTGTAGTTTTAGATATATTTCCTATAGCTGTAACCATTTATCATAACTGTACATAAATAATGTGGTCAAGAAGGCAAAAAGGCACCGATAGCACAAAGAGACTGATGAGGAATGGGCAAAAGCGGAAAAGTTGTGCGACAAGAAGCTGCTATAGTATCACCAAGTCAAAAACTAGCGATTTATGTTGTAGAACTGCACCGGGAGCACGGTAACCTATGTAAATAGTAAAATGTTATGAAAACTGAGCTAACACGGCAACGTTTGATGCGGAGGGTACACGTTGAGGAAAGAGCAACACACATAGAAAACTGGAAACAACAAAAACTTCAAAAAATTAGTCCAAATGGTCGATGGCGATTCTGACGAAAAGGGTGGCCGACGTGTCGACCGTGTGCGCGTAGCCGGTGTTGAGGCGAATTGAGGAGTAGCCTAATAATCCAAAATATTCAAAAAATATAAAACTCATTTACCTGGCCTCATGCTCGCAACCGGCAATGTATACTCGCCGACGAAATCGTTCGATGATGTCGCGTCAAAGTCCTAAATTCGTAAATTATAAAAATGAATTCTTAGGTATTATCGTGGGGAGGGAGTGTGGAACCGAATTTTTGTTTGAGTCTAGAAATGTCTAGTAACTTCATAGAAATTGTTTTATTAAACAGAAATCCTTTTAAAAAGTCGAAATTCTGGTCAAAAAAACCCTCTATTTTTGAGATCGTGATTTTTTTGTATTTTAAATAGCGCCTGAAAGTTTGTAGATTGAGGATTCGTAAAAACAGTAAACAGTTCGGAAACACTCTACTAGTTTAGAACTTCTATATTTGAAAAATCCGGAGCTACGAAAAAGCCTCCCCCCGATAATGCGCTAGACCCTAAAACTCAAAATCTTCTTTACCTTTACGACAAAACGAATAATGGCCACTTCCGGGCAGGCCAAATCGGTTTCGAACGACTCGTTCCACACCGGGTTGAAGCCTAAAAAAAGCCATCTTAATGAAGAAACTAATTTACCATTATCCTTGATCGTTCGGGTCTTCACCTTCCACTCATCGTGGCGAATTCCGAAGACCTAAAAACGTGAACTGAAAAATTAACTCTTTTTTTACCTGTATACTGACGTACGGATCGATAATATCCTTGCCGGTATCGGGTTTTGGCAGATATTGAGCGCTGATGATACCGATGCCAAGCTTGATTTTCGGTTTTGAGAAGGATCGGAGATCTGAAATCGGGGACAAATTAAATTTGAAGACCCGAACGCACCATTTCCCTGCAAAAGGTGCGGCGGCTTCAGTATGTAGCCACAATTGCCATTGATCCGGAACAGGCCGACATTAAGGTCCAACGCTTCGCCGGCTGTCTGCAAAACCAAGTTAGGTTTACTTCAAAAAGGAAGCTAGCTTGCTTTTCGTACCTGGAAATTCAGGGCGACTCCCTGGATGCCGACCGTCCAGAAGGCCATCGGGTGCACGTTCGAGGAATCTTGGCGGAGACCCTAAAAATTTTCGCATTACAATTTCCACAAAATCTCGAGGAGTTTATAAATATAAAAGCAACGTTATATTGAAGAAAATACGGTATCCTACTATATATAAAAAAATAGTTTCTGTGTGTGTGTGTGTGTGTGTGTGTGTGTGTGTGTGTGTGTGTGTGTGTGTGTGTGTGTGTGTGCATTTGCATGCAACTTCCGTCACCGTGTCCGGAGGATATCTCAAGAGGCGAAGGATCCTAGGCTACGTATGATACGTCATTAGGTGCGTAATGGCCCCGAGATGACTGCACACACATCAGATTTTGCAATTTACGCTATTTTCGACATTAAAATTGAGTTTTTGTTGAAAAATCCGACAGCCTTCTTTGTTAGGAAAAATTAGCATCTGCCGGAAGTGGCGGCAGCCTATATATAACGCGAGAGCGTGGAATTTTTTATTTTTCTCATAGGAATTCGAGAGACGTATGCAGAGTGAAGAATATTATCGGGTTAGACGGGGCCAGGGTTGAAAATTCGCGAAGCGGCTTTTCAACCCTGGTCTGATCTAAAAACGAACCTTCGGGAAAATCTTGACAAAGTGATCGACGGTGTACGCTGCCAATGGCGCGCCAGAATCGCAGAGTTGGAAGCCCTTCGACTCGGCGAGCGAGGCGGACGAGTTGTGTGGGTCTAAATTCGCGAAATTTTCAAAAACTGGTAAAAACTCACGATTCTTGCAATCGGCATACATCGTTGAAGCCGAGACCTTGATCGACGGAAGACCAATCAAAGAAGCGAGCGTCTCGTTTTTCACGGATTCGATCTGAAACGTCAATTTACTGGTTTTTCCTAAGAATCCTGGAAGCCTGCCCTTCATGAGAAGGGAAATAAAAAACCCACCATTGGGGCCAGGTGTGCAATCGCTTGTTCATCCTTTTCCTCGTCATCTTCCTCTTCTTGTTTCGCGAAAACTCCTCGTTTTCCTCTGAAAAAGCAAAGACTTTTACTATCCGAAAAAAAAAACAATAAACTATTTCAATAGAAAAACCGTTTGCTCCTACCTCAAAATGAACTTCCGCTTCAGCTGATTCGGCGACGGGAATGGGTGCTTGTCGGCGTGCGCGTGCGGCCGGTAGAGCTGGTCGCCGAAAATCTAAAACAAAACATAGAAACTGCAAAATTTCCAGTTTTCTTACCTCAATAAACAAATCGGCCATCACTTGCTGCTGTGCCGTGCTGCAGTGATTTTCGATCGTCAAAATCACGGGGTACGGCGATGTTTCGAAGGCCGTTCTCTGAAAAAGAAGGTAGACAACGTAAAATATCTTAAAACTTTTTAAACCTGGTCAAATAAAAAAATATCGTTGCAACTTAAAATTACCTGAATCGATTTGAGGGCATGACGCAACGATAGCGGGGTGATAAACGTGTTTTTGTGGGTGATGATCGGGTCTCCTTGATCGCCGTTAAAGACGTCCACTGAAAAAAATTCAGAATAAACGAATATAGCATTATACAGAAAATTATAATAAATTTATGTAGAAAAAAAACACAACCTACATTCCAACAATCTCGCTCCTTTTTTCAACGCTAGAATGTATCCCTCGATGGTGGCTTCACCCTTCAATTGTGAGGCCGTCAGGTAGGTGTTATGCGAGGAGTTGCAGAAATAGTGCGGAAGTGGCTGGTCCATGTCCTAAAATGACCACGCTGTTAAAAATCGAGAAACAGCAAACACCAAATTAAATTAAATTAAGTGTATACCTGGAATACCGATTCGTGGCCCGGTTTCAGGATATCGCCCCACCGTGACTGGAGAAGCCTTCGAATTCCTGCAAATTAGGCCGTAAAAACCATGAAATAAGACTGAAAATTAACCTTGGCATTTCCTGGATTAAACAGACAGAATCTGGGCTTTAAAAGGTAGAAATAAGCTCCATTACAGCCTTTAAAACACACCAACAATTCCCATGATCTTTTCGCGCTTTCCGTCTTGTTCTACGCCCTCAAACGTCTCCAGAATCGACTCGGCCTTCGATTCGCTGATGTCGATGAACTAAAAAAAGACATTGCTAACGTCATGCTCAATTTTTTTACTTACCTGCTGCTCCTCGAGCAAGAAATTCCGCAGTTCCTTGGCCGTCCAGCCCTCCACGCCGGATTCGGAGTAGGACCTGAATTCGATGTTTTCGGGTGGATCCGGCAGATACCTCAAAACAAATGCCAAATCCGGCCGCTCCGTCAGCATATTGAAAAACTTCAAGAATTCCTCCTCGTTTAGCCGGCCGTCCTTCTTGACGATGTCGGACTCCTAAAAACTAGGCGTAAATGCCGAAAATTTCTATCTTACGCTAAAAACAGCCTTGGCATATTTTTCGGACAACTGCAGGTTTAGCCGCTTCAGCAGTTCCCAGATCTCCGAGAAGGACAGGGTTCCTGAAATTTCAAAATTTTTTAAATTCAAATGTTAGTGTATTTAAGATTTTCAGAATTTCCCTATTTTTGAAATGCACGTAGATTTTTATCTTCTTTTCAATTGATCTATGATCATTTTCTATTTCAGTTTCTGGACCAAAGAAACCTAGCATTCTTCACAGTCCTCCTTCCCCACCCATTGTTTACCGGTCATCGCGCAACACGGGCTGATTCAGCGCGTCAACCCAATAGGCTGTTTCTCCTCAAGGGTCGAAATGGGGTGGGTAAATACTGAAAAACGAGCCGGAGCAAGCAACGGGCTCTCGCGGCGGCGCTGACTCGGAAGTGCGTAAAAATGGACGAATATTTCATGGGCCGTTCGGGAATTATTTATAGCAACCTTTCACCCAGTTCGATAGCGTGAAGGAGCACGGATTTTGCCGAAGTAAACATTTGATATGCGCAAACGGCGTAAAAGATTAAGAAAAACTTTTTTCCATCTTTGAAACTTTAATAAATTAAGTAACCGTCGACCTTTCTTGTTAAAATCGCATCTGTGAAACTGCTGGATCAGCCACTGCTTCTCGTTGAACTGGGCACGTTGGGCTTTTTCGGCGTTGATCAGGAATGTGAGCGCATTCACCCAAGTGTCGCTAAAATCTTGTTTTAGCCTAATATGTCAGTTTCAGTAAATACCGGATTTCCTTGGAGTCAGCCGCAAAGTCCACAGATTTGTGCAGAAATTTGGCGTGCGTGAAAATGACGGAGAAACAGTTGTCTTCCTAAAAATTTCTTAAAGCATAAAAAAAACGAAAACTTACCGGTGCAACCTCTTGAAACTGATATTTCCTCGCGGCTTTGTGCAAATTGTCGGTCCGGTAGCCCGGCCGCACTTCCAGCACCTCGCTGATGTCCACTGAAAAACCTAACTTTTCCAAACATTTTTGCGCACCACGACAAACCAAGTTAGAAATAACCATAAAAACTAATTGAGAGTGTGTCGTTAACTGATTTCCCGCTTTCACGATAAGCCAGGATAACAACAAAATCCAACGAATAAATCAACACCGGAAACGCGAGCCGTGAAAACAATTTGAGACCTTGGTGCTGCTTTGTTCCGCGGGCTCGAATACAGGATACTGACGTCTAAATTTGCGGGAAAAGCGAGGAGGTCGAACCTGATTTCATCTTGTCGGGGAGGAAGTTGAAAAAGTAGTGCGAGTGGTAGTTGAGCCGTCTAGGAAAAAAGGAAAGATCTTTGGTTATTTTGATAGAACTCACTGTTGTTCTTTGATCGCGACCAGATTGGGGGCCCTGAGCGATCCCCGCTTGACCCTCCGCAACATGTGGCCCTTCTCGCATATTTTGATGTCTTCGAGAGCCTAAAATAGAGTTTATTTAATAAGGTAAAATTAATTTACCTTGGCTTTTTCATCTTCTAGCCGTTCGGTCTCGGCTTGGGCCGGTGTTTGATGGGCCCCATTGATGTGCTCAGGGGGCATCTGAAAAATAAACGACTTTTTGTCACGAAATTTAGAGGAGCAGGAAAAGGGGAAGGAGGGGATAATGGAAAATTACGAAACCAAAAACAACAATTGTAATTTCCGTTTTTAGAAGAGGTTCTACGAAAAAAAACACAATAAAGAGAGCTGCCAAAAATTTAGAAGCAAACACGGCAAAAACATCCGATTTTGAGGAGTTTCGAGGCAAAAAACCAGCCCGCTGCTTGAGTTCGTTAACCCGGAAGTTAATTAAGAAAAAGAGGCGCAAAAATGGTTTTCCAATAAGTTTTTAACCCCAAATGAGCTTCTTTTAGCGGGTTCGTAAACAAGAAAACTTTTCTGTCAAAAGGTAAATTAGTTCAAAAGCGGAAAACGTCAAAAATCAGGCGTCAGTTTCGCATAGTCCCAAAAATCCAATAATAGAAAGTGCATAGCGAACCCCAGCCCTTCAAACATCGATATATCCATCCCTTTTTGTGCCGGGGAAACGACCCGAAATCCCCGCAACGAAACGGAGCCCCAAATTGAGATCGAGATGGCCGCGTGGAATGAGGATGTTTAGTGGCGGGCCTGGTCGGCGGCTGGGGCTGTGTAGTTATGTGAGGGCTGCTGGTGCTCGGGCGGCAAGCCGATGGAGAGAAAGGAGAAAAAGAGGGTCGCCTGAAAAAGAAAAGAAAAAAGAGCGGGGACGTTTTTCGGGGCGGAAGATGGCCGCATGCGCCGTATGGTGTCCCCAACTTTCGACGCCCAGGCTTCTCCGCGTCCTCTAGCGTTCCAGTTATCTTTTTTCCTCTGCCGTCTGGGTATCTTGCCTGAGCAACATCTCTCGTACTCCTCCAAAAAGCTGCTGCCAAAATAGCGCCGGTGATAAACATGATAAAAAATGGAAATCCCTTCCTTGTGGGGGGATGATCGTGCGGGGGCGACAAAATTTATGAAAATTGGCCAAAGATCGCCCGGATTTTTAAGAAATAATTTAACTAGCATGTTTACCAATTAAAGAATAAGAAGTTGTGTAAAAAATAGCTTTTCCAGTGCCGTATTTCAGATTTAAAAATACGAAAATATTACGGAAAATATAGCTTCCGAAGCGCCAACTCGATAAAATCGCATTTTAGCAAAATTTAATTCATTTAATTGATTTACTTCAATGAGTTTGTGGCTTTAAGAGTGCAAAAGATGAGTTTTTACAACTTCGTTTGCTATTTTTTACGTAATTTCAAGATTCTGCGAAGCGAAATTCGGCTTTACCAAACCAATTACGCGTTGTAATTTGGCGGCGATAGTACGTCGGGGTAGCCGTAGTTTTGGAAATTGAAGAATTTATGGGTTACTGTTTGTGAAGATTTAAGGTCTCTCGAAGCAAAAATGAATTTTACTAAGCCGATTACGCTCTGTAATTCAGCGTGGATAGTACGTTTGAGGTACAGATACTTTTTTGGAAAGATTTATGAAATTGATCAGGTTTCTTTTAACCTTTGACCGACTGTCGTTCATAAATTGCTCCCGTTCGGCTCGGCTATTAGGGTGAACAACTGGGTGGCTGATAGCCGGAGCAACAACCCCCTGGAAAAGAGCGGAAACAAGCAGAGATTAGGGGTGTCGGTGGGTGTGTGTGGCTATGATCGGGGAACGATTGATCGGGTCAACGCCCAACACAACATACCCTCTAGGCCAACCCACCCACCCGTGATCCCGACGACGACCTTTTTACCTTTTTGTTGCTTCGACTTGTGTAAAAAGTTCATTAACGTTTTGATTGCGTTTTTCGGCGAGAGGGCATTTTTTTTCCGTACAAAACCGTGCCAAAAGTTCATAAATTTGCAAGTTAAAACTTTCAAAGTTTTTCTAAATGATGCGAATTGTCGTTTTTTAACTGAATTTGTGTCCGGAGAGTCGGAATCCATGGTTTACCTTTCTAGGACCTTTGAATTTTTAAAAAAGCAATAGAACAGCAGCAGAAATACTGGTGGAAATTTTGGAAGACTTTTTGCTTAATTTACCTAGCATGATCGGATCTGAATTAATGGATGTTGATCTTCCAAAAACCTTAACATAAAACTCTGATGGCTAAATCGCTAAATTAAGTCAAAAAAAGGTAATAATAATTCGGCTGCCTAACCCCTTTAAATATATCCAAAAGTAAAAAACACGTAAAAATTTTCTAGAACGGATTTTTCTGTATTTAATTGTCGAAAAAGTACGGTAGATTTTAGAGTAGTTTTTGGTCTTCTCCAATCCCTTTAAACTCTAAGCTAAAATAAAAACAAATAGAAAATTCCGAAAAATCCCTAATTCCGGTTCCCACAATTTACATTCCAAGTCAGAGCTCGAAGGATCAAAAAAATCCCATTATTCCAGTACTCCTCAAAAATGTCGGAGGACATTGCGGTGACCAAGTTCCGCGAGTACCTTCGCGTCAGGACCGTTCAGCCGACGCCGGATTACGGTAGGGGAGCCTCTAGAGAATTCGACATAAATTCCGATTTCAGAGGGCTGCGTCAAGTTCCTGTTTGGGTTGGCCGATGAGTTGGGGATTGAACGGAAGCGGTTTGAGGTACGGTGGCTGGCATACTTTGTAGCTTTTCGTGCTTAGGCCCATCCCGGAAGGCCGTTCGTGTTGATGACGATCCCGGGGCAGGACCCGAGCCTCAGCTCGATTATGCTCTACTCACACACCGATGTCGTGCCCGTGTTTCCGGTATGTTTTGAGAGAGAGAAAGAAAGAGAGAGAGAGAGAGAGAGAGAGAGGGAGAGAGAGAGAGAGAGTGAGAGAGAGAGCGAGAGGGAAAGAGAGAGTGAGAGAGGCAGAGAGTGAGAGAGAGGGAGAGAGAGTGTATGAGAGAGGGTGAGAGAGAGAAAGGGAGCCAGAATATTAGCGCGTGAGATATACCCATGCCTACGTACGTATGTATCTACGCGTACTCCTTTTCTAGGAACACTGGAAGTACGACCCGTTCTCGGCACACAAAGACGAAAAGGGCGACATCTACGCACGAGGTTTTTGTGGTTTCATTTCTTGAAAGAGAGCGACAAAGAGAGAGAGATAGAGAGAGAGAGAGAGAGTGAGAGAAAGAGAGAGCGAGAGAGAGTGAAATAAATAAATTTTTTAGGAGCCCAGGACATGAAGTGCGTGGGCAGTCAGTACGTCGAGGCCCTCCGCCGTCATTTCCAGCGTGGACAGAAGCAATTCCTGAGGACGATACACATCGTTTGGGGGCCAGGTAAAACTTTTGTGCATTTTATCGTTATGGTGAAGGCAAAAACACTTTCTAAGCTTAAAAATTTTGCAGCTTGACGAATTCTGCTCGTTTTTAACGAAATTTAACACAAAAAAAAGCCTAAAAGAACTTTGAAAAATTATACCCGGTTCACGGAAAAGTGCCACCTTTCAGACGAGGAGGTCGGCGGCACACTCGGCATGGCCAAGTTCATCGAGTTGCCCGAGTTCAAGGTGTGTTGCACTTTTCCAATTTGTACTTTCTCTCTTAGGCGCTGAACATCGGCTTCGCCCTCGACGAGGGTCTGGCCTCCGAGACGGAGACGTACAAGGTGTACTACGCGGAAAGGTGTCCATGGTGTAGGTGCACTCTAGGTCTTTGTAAAAACTTGCAGGGATCCGAGTGACATTCCCCGGCCAACCCGGCCACGGCTCGAAATTCATCGAGGACACGGCCGGCGAGAAAATGGTAGGCCTTTCGAGTTCAAACTACAAACTACAAATTCGATTCCAGCAATCGTTCATTAACAGCGCGCTGGCCTTCCGCGAGAAGCAAAAGGCACTCCTGGCGGCAGACACGCAGAAGACGCTCGGCGACGTGACCACCCTCAACTTGACGGTCATCCAGGGCGGCGTGCAGACGAACGTGTTGCCCGAGAAGTTTGAGTGCGGTGAGTTTTCTCTCTCTATCTCTCTCTCTCTCTTTCTTTCTCCCTCTCTATCTATTCTCTCTCGCTTCAGAGTTCGACATTCGTGTCCCGCCCACGGTCGAGTTCGACGAGTTCGAGAAGGAGCTGAACGGATGGGCGGCCAAGGCCGGCAAGGGCACCAAGATTGAGTACAAGCAGGTCGGATATTTTGCTTTCAAAATATGCTCTAAGATTTACAATACAATACATATACAATTTCGAGCTTTTTTAGCACACCAAAATCAAGAACATGACGCCGACGACGCGGGACGACCCCTTCTGGAAGGCGTTCGAGGATACACTGAATTCTGAGTGGACTTTTTAAATAATGAAACTTATAAAGCTTTACAAACCCGACAAATTGAACACGTTCAGAAACTGCAAGTTCGTCAAGGAGATCTTCACCGGGGCCACGGATTCGCGGTATTTGCGTGAGGTTAGCGATTTCCTTATACAAAAACGATGAAAAGCTCCAAACTCCAAATTACGACCTGGTTTATCATTTTTTAAAAGATGGCAAAACTATGCATTAATGACGTACAAAAAAAACACATAAAAATTGTATTAATTCCAGAAGGGCCTGCGCTCGATCGGCTTCTCGCCGATGAACAACACGCCGTCGCTGCTCCACGACCACAACGAGTATTTGAATGAAAAGGTAGGGAAGCTTTTAAAGGAGCTTGACCCAAGAAACCCAAGAAAATCGGTAAATTTTTTGACAAAAAACTATTATTGTTGGGACGCGAATTTTTGCAAGGGGTCCCGCCGCGCTTTCTGGTGAAATTAGCCTATTCTAACATTTTAATATATTAGAAACCCGCCTTCCAAGTCCCTTTAAAACGCAAAACCAATTTTGAGGTGTTCCTCCGCGGCGTCGAAATCTACGAGAAGCTGATCGCCGCCCTCGCCAGCGTCCCGAAGGAATAAAGCCGAATAGAATCTCGAAAATTTCACGTTAATTCCTGTGATATCTTTTCCCTCCCATTAATGCTCAAGTTATAATCCCGCCACTTTCTCTCGCTCTGTGATGACGTTTTCAAGGCCAAAAATAAGTCGGGCACATACCTAGTTCGGTTAGTGATGATGGTTTTTGAATAAAGATGTATGCTTATGCTGTTGTGGCAAAAGGGAGAGAGAGAAAGAGAGAGAAAGAGAGAGAAAGAGAGAGAAAGAGAGAGAGAGAGAGAGAGAGAGCATTGACGAGAGAGAGAAGGAGAGAAAAGGAGAGAGAAATAGAGCATGAGAGAGAGGGAAAAAGAGAGAGAGAGCGAGAGAGATAGCAAGAGCTGAGAGGTGTCTACGTACGTACGCATCTACGACGCGTACTCCTGAAAATTTAGGAACACTGGAAGTACGACCCATTCTCGGCGCACAAAGACGAAAAGGGCGACATCTACGCACGAGGTTTTTGTAGTTTCATTTGTTGCAGGAGAGAGAGAGAGAGAGAGAGAGCGAGAGAGATAGAGAAAGCAAGAGAGCGAGAGAGGGAGAGAGAGATAGAGAGAGAGAGCGGGAGAATCGGCGAATTAGTGTGTGTATATTTCAAATTTATCGTGAAACCCCAAAAATTAGCGTAGCCATTATAAAAACGAAAGGTAATTTGATAGAACAGCCCGCTTGATCTCGGAAGAGTTGTGTAGTTGGCATTCCCTCAATTCGGGGAATGGTGCAGCAACACTGAAAAATTGACCCTGAAAACATTCTCGCTCTTTTTCTCTCCCTCTCTTCTCTCTCTCTCCCGCCCTCTCTCTCTCTCTCTCTCTCTCTCTCTCTCTTTATTACCTGCATGATACAAACCGAATCCGATCGTATGCTCTGACAAGTGGAATTGTCATTGCATGTCGGTGCATCCATTTGAAATCCACCGTTTACACAAAACCGGTAGTTATCGCAGCCTGGAATTTACTAAAATTACAAGCTATCCGTTTCATCGCTTTTTTAAGGTATGATTCACCCCATTCTGGGATGTGCGCCGATCCCCGCGCTACGTGCAATGCGGGGCCGACGCTATTCGGCGAGAAGCAAGCTTCTGCTAACCGAACCATTTCCAAAAATATGTTAATCTCGTCGTACACAATAGTGTACGTATCGGAGATTAAGCCGATAAGAACTGAAACTAAACACTTGATCTTAGCCAGGGGCCAGAAGCGATACGTATGAAGCAGCAATTGGCGTTATACGATAAGGTAGTGGGCCAGGTGGGGGGCGAGTCGGGGAGCGCAAAGGAGGGGTTCAACGAGCGATCAGGTAGCAATTTGGCAGATGGGGAGGTTTTTGGGCCAATTTTTAGGCTAGGTATCGATGCATTAAAGGGAGCGAGAAGGCACGGATTAATTATTAAGCCGGGCATGATTTATTAGCGGACGCGATACATCGCGAAACTTAAAACTATTTTTTACTTATTAAAATACATTAAATACAAATTTTTAGGTTATTTTTCAATTATTCAAAACTTACTAATTTGCGAGTACACCGGATACCCAGCCACGCCGCATATATAGCGATAGGAGGTGTCGGAATTGGGCTGCACGTTGGGGTACTGATTGTTATTGTTATAAGGATTCGGATTATTATTATTGTTTTGATTTGGGAATTGATCCTGCCCCATAGCGACTGATAGAAATACGGTAATTAGAAAAAATATCATTTTTATGGTATAGAAATTCGAGTATATTATGCCGAAAATTGACTGCCCGACTTTCAGGAGCCCATCCGATTTCCCAATATTTGCATCCGGGATTTGCCGTTGTCGCACCGGGCAGCTGGGCCAATATTGAGTCGCACGGCGGGGAGGTGCTTTTTGTCGCCGGAGGGCGTGGGGGAATGGAAATTAATGTGATGAATAATATTATTAAAGTTTTTAATGAAACCTATCATTAGACCACCAATTTTCATCGACAAAAACATGGAAAGTATAGGGCGCGAATTTTAGATTATCGATGAAGAAAACGGCAAAATACAACGTTAACTAGCCGGATGAGTTATCTTCCAGTAAATAAAAGCCGGTCAAACAAAATAAAATCGGCCGAATAAAACCAGCAGAACTAAAAAAAATTGATACTAAGAAGTCAAAACAAAGAATAAAAATATAAGGCTGTGTGAATTGAATCCAATTAATTTAATGAGAAAAAGTAGAACCTCGGAAATCGGGGCATCATATTTTCCATCCGGGGGGGGGGGGTTCTATTAGAGTATATATGGGTCGAAGCCCGGGGGCGCCGCCAAAGGCGCCTCCCGAGGCATCCCCTGGGGGCGTGCCGAGTGGCGCCTGTGGCGGCGCCTGGGGCTGACCAAAAGGCGCCGGAAAACCGAGATGCAAAGCAAAAATGCGGTGTTATTATGGAAATGAGATTTGACTGTGTCCTTAATATCAAAGAAGGCAAAAACTATTAGTTGATTGGCCTATAATTTTTCCCTGATCCTTTCGCATTGTAGAGAAAGGGGATGTTTATGGGGGACCAACTTTTTTATAAGGACCTTGTTTTCTAAAAGAAATAGTGGAAGTTTTCGAAACTGTTGTTATTATTCTTAAACGTAAAAACTTTACCAACTGCGACTGAAATACAAAAAAAATATAGATTTTTCTGCCAAAAATGGCCGATTTTCCAATCTCACTTTCAATTTCGAAAATTCCATCTAAAATTCCATCCAATTTTTTATTTTTTTCCACTTAAAGTTAGTTAAATTTTACTAAAAACATTACCAAAAAAGGCTGACTATTGCGATACTAGGCTTTTCTGAAGTGCAAGAGAAAAAGTTATTTGCAGGTTACTCTCTACTGTCCGTCGCTCTTGCGCTTGAAATGAATAATTAACATTAGACTAGAAAATTTGCATAATCTCACAGGCGCCGTTGGTGACGCCCCCCGCCCCGTGAAAAATCATAGGGGCGGCGCCCCCAGGCGCCACTCGGCACGCCCCCCAGGGGTGCCTCGGAGGCGCCTTTGGCGGCGCCCCCGGGCTTCGACCCATATATATATTAGAGCAATACGGTATCTAGAAAAATGAAATACGATACGGTAATAAACACAACTAGAGCAATACGGTATCTAGAAAAACGAAAAAATGAAAAACGTATTTTTTTTTCGATTTTTTTTCAGAAGTTTAGCTATTCTTATGTCATGGCATACTCTCTTAATAGGTGAGTTTGCAGAAACATCGCATTCTACCGGCCGTCATTTGTCTCACCGCGGAATTCGCCCAATCTCGATCTCCCCGATCGGCCATCTAGCATATTTTACCCGCGGCGTGTTCGCATGCATACAGCCAGCCAGCCACTCCCATTCAGAACTCATCGATTTCACGGCGCTGAATCGGGCTGGTCAAAGGCTTTGTCATGCAAACCTACCCGAATTTCGGTTCTTGGAATTGCCGTTCTTGAATTTTCATTTCCGTTTTGTTCAAGATTTTACCGTAATCTAACCTCTAAAAACGACCTACATACACCCTCCCCCCTGTCCCGAAGTGTTTCCTATTCTCAACGCGTGAATCAAAACGAAATACCGATACTTCTATATGATGCAAACATTAATACGACTATATCTAGCCGCCTATACCTATAAACTATAACGCCTATAACATACCCATACTACCCGTTCTTTAATCCAAGCGTCGCTGTAATAACGTAGTTAGTGGCTGAGTACCCGATATCCATTTGAACTCTGCATGTTCCCCGCCCGCGCCCTGACTCGACACCCGCCTGGACCACTTCCCCACCACAACTACTCGCTCACCGCTTCAACGACATCGCTTCTGGCCTTTGGCTAAGATCAATGTTAGTAAACAGTTCTTATCGGCTTAATCTCCGATACGTACACTATTGTGTACAACGAGATTAACGTATTTTTGGAAATGGTTCGGTTTGCAGAAGCTTGCTTCTCGCCGGACAGCGTCGGCCCGGCATTGCACTTACTGCTGGGATCGGCGCACACCCCGTAAGGGGTGAACAATCGAATAAAAATCAATTACAAGGCCTATATTCGTCAACCTACAAGACCCCGAAGTCAACCTATATGGATAATGGATTTAATATTAGCAAATTTCCACATTGACAATTTCGACAGATTAAAGATGACGTGTTATAAAATTGCGAAAATCAAAATTTCGGCATTTATAACCGAAGCATTATGAATTTTCGACATTATGACATTTCGGTGTTATTCAGTTCTAAATCCTGCTAGAAAAATCTATCTGATTACGTCTTAGACTCCAATACAACTATCTATAAAGGTAGTTTCATCCGAGGTAACGTATAAAATTTTTTTACGTCTACCGTAATCGTTTGGTAAATTTTAAAGGGAGCGTGACAGTAGCTGCTCGGACAATCAAGGTGTTTTTTTTTGACCCACCTCACCCGCCTCTCGTCTCAAAAACCTAAACACCAAGTCGTGTGTCCTTTTGCACGAGTTCAAGAATGACAAAATGTGGGTATAGGGATTGTCCCCCCGTTTTCGCATCCCATTTGTACGTGAGTCTAGGTAAACAACCGTATTTGGTATCGCCTCGTAGCCCCTCTACCACACCCCCTTTCCCACCCTCCTCCAAACTGTTAGGTTTTTGATCGTGACAACACCCCGCTCCTGTGTCATTTCCCATCATTTTTGGTCGGTTCTCAGGAATTTTCAGCCTTTTGCACCGAAAATTGAATTTTTAAATAACCATATTTAGGGGTATAATTGTACTTATATATTTACATACCTATTTATATATACTTTTAAGTAATTGGAAAGTCTAAAAATAAAGAGTAGATCTCCTGGTGCCCTAAATTCACAGCCTCATCTACACAGATTCTCAGGGGTTTTGAAACTTTCTCCACCTAAAATTGTTCTGAATTTTTATTTTTGCATAATTCTGATATAGAAATTTCTCATGTTTTAGCTAATTTTACAGTTAATATGATAAAAGATATCGACGCCCGAAAACTGG